TTTGCTAAAGTGGAAGACCACTGCATAACTGAGTAATTCAGCAATAACCTTTCAGCTCCCAATGATAACTTCTAGTAAGCATTACTATGCTTGTCTAGGGAACTACTGCTTGCCAACTAGATGTCCCTCTTTTCCCAAAAGTTCTACCATTTCAGCTGGTTCTAGTCATGGCACAATGTCTAAATTTAAATAGTTTATGGAAATAGGTTTTTCACTATGATTCCAGAGTGAAAAGCAGCAATTGAAATACATGCACAATTTCCACATCTCTTTGCCAGAGATTAAAGGTGCCTACAGAATTAAGAAACAAGACAATAACCCTTGCAGAACTGCTTTCAGAATGAATGTTAAAGCACAGAGGGGAAAAATTAGAGGGGCTTTTAATATTTAAACTCCGGTCTCCAAGTCAGAAATCTAATTTTATATGAAACTTACAGTGTTCAACAGTGTTTATAAGTTCATTAAAAATTCCATGCCATCCATATTTTCAGCTGAAAGTTAGTTTCGTTATTACTCATCCATTAGCACCCAGCTCAGTACGGTCTTAGCAGCATTTAGGTTTCTGACAAGTTTGGGTAGGTTCTAACACTGTACAGAAGCTTGTCATAGAGGAAAATAAATGTGTTAATTCTTTTTGTAGTGAGAATTTCAACTAATCAGAGCTCAGAAAGTGAAAGAAAGCTTTGTTTTTGTTTAACTAAAAATAAACATGTCATTCCCATGAAGCAATCAGATTCTGTTGGGGCATCCGACAAGTGATAACAGAATCTGCTAGATGTTTTGCATCAAAAAATTGTGTAAGATTCAGTACAGACAAAAAATTTGCACCTGTAAAAATATAATATCACATTAAATACTAAATCATCACAAGACTGAAGCAGAGAAAGAAAAAAACCTGAAGCTTAGCAGTACAAAGTATGAGGTTACACGCTGTCCTGGTTAGAACGGCTGGGACCAATTCATCCCTGGATGGGTGTAACCCAAAACTGTGTATTCTATAGCCTCCATGCCATTTCCCAAAAACTGCTGTCAGTAGAGGCCTGCAAGGTGGGAAGATGTTCCTGTACCCTTTTATGGAATTCCCCGCTCTGATATCCTTATATGGAATTCCCCGCTCTGATAAGAGGGACTGAGCATCCACATGCCCTTTTATGGAATTCCCTACTCTGAGGGAGGGACTGAGCACTCCCGCCTGAACTGGAGAGTATATAACTGGGAGTTTCAGAGCCTTGGGGCTCTCTCTCTCGTGGGACCCAGAGGAAGACAGCAGACCACCGCTGCTCCCAACCAGGCTGAGACCACCACCCTCGACTGGACTGCAATCACCACTTCTGACCAGACTGCAGCAGCTCTCCCACCAGCAGGTTTATTCCCTCTCCCTTTGCTTTGGACTCGGGGGGTGGGCCAAGGTACACCACTTTTGTTCATACCCCAGGGTGCTGGGTTTGTACATTTGGGTTTTGTGGATTAAAACCAATTGTCTGTCTGTATAATTGTACTTATTGCATTATTTTAATAAATTGTTATTCTGACTTATAAATCTCTCTTTTGAATTGAGTTCATTTTGCCTTGCTGGTTAACTTTTAAACCAGCACACACACTTAAGGTTCAGTAGAAATATATGGAAAAAATGGGATCTTTTCAAAATTTGTGAAAAGAAAGTGGGACTATTACACCTAGTGATTAAACTGTGATTGTGCAGAAGACATAAAAGAGAAATACATTGGTCAAAGTATTTTCTTGTAGAGAAAAGAAAGCCTCAATGTTATTCAAGGTCTTGAGAAGGTTTTACTTGGAATAGTTGTTGCATTGATTCAAAGAATAAATTCCAGTGGAAACAGTGAGGAGTTGTTTGACACAACATCTGTTGTTGGATTGTCTTAAGAGATGAGACTAAATTCTGAGGTTTTTGTTGGTGAAATAACATAATCATAACACTGGGAGGAACAAAAAGTCTAAGGGGAGGATCAGATGTACAGAAGAGCTATTTTAATAGTAGTGCTAAAAAAAAGGCAACAGGTTAAGTGACTAGTAGACCAATCTGGAATAGGTCACCGACATGGTCATTGGACAGTATTCTATCTAGTTTTAAGATAGAACTTAATGAGTTGACATAAGAGGTTGGCACAAGACTCCAGGAGTCCCATTCTAATCTGACACTGCTGTATTTCTTCATGTGCCTATGAGAACAGAAAGAAAAGAAATTACTTTTTGTATTAAAATTAACCAACATGGCCAAATTGCCAAAGATGTTCCAAAGAATAACCAATATATGGAATAGGGAAGTAATCTGTTGTATGTTGATGAGATCCTTAATTTAATTAACAAAATTTTTTAGCTAGTTAATGATAAAACATACTAACATTCTCTAGACTATAAACAATTAAAAAGATTTATAACAATTTTTTGCCTAAGCTCTTTGATACTTGTCACCAAGGAAAGAATGATCAGAGTCTTGAGTAACCTCAATTTCCTTCTCACAAACCACTTGAAGTTTATGGTTGCTGCTCCAAAAAAAAAAAAGATTTATGAAGTACAATTCTAGCAGCAACCTCTGTCAGCAGCAAAGGTTACTTCTAATAATTCTATTTTAGAATTTAAATCCACAGGTCTGGTTGAAACCATCATCTTCAGAAAACTAAATTCATTCCCTGGGCAATTGCAGGCAATATCACTTCTCCCAGTATAGGTCATGTCTGCCTTGAAGGCAAGTATTGCAAAAATAAGGTTTTCAGCAGTCCAAATAGTATCTTGAACATTATTCTCATATTCCAAAATGAAAGAAAATTCACTCCTTTTCCAACAATCTGTTGTCAATTGCAAGAACAATTTTTGAGCTGGAGAATAACCATGGGCTGGATATTTTAGAAAACACTTGACCATTGCAATTTCTACTCGAAGACCACTTTTGCATCCTTCTTCTCTGTGATAGCACTTGACCTCAGGTCTCCAAGAAATAATTCAGCCCAGTAGAAAAAGAAAGATGCTGGGCATGAATCCCTAGACTCTCTGACACTCACAAGCTCTTTTCTGTTTGCCTTTTTTTTTTGGCTTTGTTGAAGGGGAGGGTTTATTTTGGGGTCTGGGGGTTGGAGTTTGTGAGGGGGAGTAGGTTGTTTGGTTTTGTGTTGAGTGGTTTTTTTATAAAGTAAGACCTTATGTTCTTTTTTGTTGTTTCATTCACATTCAGACTCCTATAGCTTTATGGTATCTGATGGAGACTAATTGAGGGATACAGGATAGAGAAAAAAATATTCTAACATTTCAAAAAAAGTTACTTCCACTCCTCTACCCCAAATACTTAATTTCTGTCATAATGCAATCATATAATGAAATAATTTTGATTCCTTTCACTCTAACTATTAGAGGCTTTTAGATATCTAATAGAACACATTATATGGTATAGTTATGTTGTTCTTTACCCACACATTGATTATATCACTGTTTTGTTTCTCCCTTGTGCCAAGGCATAAAGCTAATTTTTTAAAAAAGAAATCTTTGAAAATCACTGTCAGAGAGGACCATTACCCAGAGATGAGAAGTCTGGCTTTCTCACTTCCCCCCACCTCTGGCGTAGCAGTGGATGACAGCAGAGAACACGTTTCACCTGAACACCAGAGCACATTCGTGATAAGACTGAACTGAACAAGAGACGTGATTCAAGAAGACATTTTTGTGAGACAGGTTTAGAAGAAAAAAAAAACAACTTTCAAATATGTTGAAAGTGGATACAAATGTTTAAAACTGTGAAATAGGATTCAAGTATTTTTTTCTTTTTAAGCTACTTCTTGTTGAACAGACACTGTTAACATCAAAGAGACTACCTTCAAAAGACAAAGAATGCCTATAAGAAAACCAGTTTACTACTCCATTCTCCCTAAATTATTCAGATTTTAGCAAAAGCAAACTCTACAGAAAAGGTTACACAACTCTTACCAGATTTTCTCAAATGGAAAGGATACTTAAAAAATTTATTCTTAAACTGAGAATTGAGCTCCTATATGGCTTTTCCATCCAAAGATGCACCTATTTTAGTAATACTTTCGGAACTATTGCGCCTCATGCATTTCTAGACTGCACTGCAATATTCCACATCAGAAGGCAAGCTAAATCCTCTCACTGCCTGCCATAAGTCTCCCATCAATTTCAAGAATGCATTTAAAGCTTTTTTTTTTTTGTTTTGAGACATTTTAGATATGTATTGGTATTTAGCAGAGTTTAAATCCAGTGATGGCAATAGCAGTCTGAAATGTTATGACATGCAGTACTTATTCTGCATTGCAGTTACTAACGTACCCTACTTTATTTGGTAGTTCAACAACAGGAAAGACAACTAATCTAAATTAGGTTATTATAAACTATATATATTCAAATTCTTGTGTAATGTAACTTCCTGCCTAGAAAGCTGTTCATCATGTCAGCTTAACCTTTAATAGAAACTATTAAACATTTCTAAAAATGTATCGTTCCTTACTTTATACCTAAGAATAAAGGAACAAATCCAATGGTTCTTTGAACTTTATTAAAACTTTTAAGTAGACCTTGAACACAAAGTTCTAAACAATTAGAGAAGTGAAAATATTTAATCAAGTCATTTAGCCATTTTCCTACTGCAATCTCCTCCTCTGTAATGAATGTCATTCTTCCTAAACCAAAACTGTATACACATACCTCTATTCTCTAGCTTGCCCCCAAATCCTTCATCTCAATTGTTCCCTCAGAAGAGAGAGAACAGTTTTCAAGTCCAAGTCCTACCAGTGTAACCTGAGACAAGAATGAGGCAAAGACTCAGCAAATACAAATAAGTATGGAATTAAAGTGCTGATACTTGTATTCATGCAATAAACATGATTTTCTGGCAGATATATTGGGTTGATCCCTTCTTTCATGATACCATGTTCAGTTAAATAGAGTCAGTACTAAAAATTCTATAGCATTTTATTCACTGCTTTTTAAATAGCTCAGTGTTACAGCCTACCTAAGAATACACACAGTAAAATAACTTCACAAATAAGGCACAAAGGACAGCATCAGAGAGAGAGTAGGGAATAAACACCAGCTGACTACAAGCATTCTGCAAGATGCTTCTGGCAAATGAACTCTTTGAAAGGACAAGTAGGACAATATCAATTGTAGAGGTAAATTAATATTATATCTTCATAGAAGAAGTACTGTGTCCATTTCTGTCACCTGTATTTCAAGCTCTTTATAATTGCTAGGAGGTTTAAAAGCAAAACAAGCACACACATAAAAATTATTTGAGGTCCGAGAGGCAGATTGAGTTATTTTTTTTGTAAAGGATCAGCATATTTAGTTCAAGAGCAAAATCAGTGAATTCCCCTAATTAAATCTACAGATAAAGAATAATTTCTAGCTGTAGATAATCCCTTAACTCAAGCAGAAGTATAAAGATGACCTAGTGTCTGGGAGCTGAAGTAAAGTCAGATTAAGTATAAAGGTAAGTTCACAACAGTATTTTTAGGTACATGAATATATACTGTATCACCTGAATTTTTTGAGATAAAAACTTTGTAAAAAGCAGTAAAACAGAATATTCACACAGCATCCATTTGGTTTAGAAATTACTATTCTATTGACTTGCATTACAGAGGCTAAGAGAACAACAAATTAATTTTTCTGATAAAAAAATTCAGACAACTAATATGGGCTTTGAGTTATCACTATTTACACAAATAGAAGTATTTTTTGCAAATGTACATAGTGCCCCACTTTGAGACATTTTTAAAACAGTTAATGTAATTTAAAGTGAATGAATAAATAAATCCAATAGCAAAGAATTTTTTAGAAATAATTTTCTTTAATTTGTCTTTAAGACAAGAATCACGTTTTTAAACATCTAAGAGGTGTTGTAAGCTAAATAATACAGACTACATGTAAGATATTTTATTTAAAAATTAAGATGTTAGTAAGTGCCTAGCTACTACACAACAAGTAAAAGACAAAATATTTTTAAAAGCTCATTTTTTTAAAAACAAAAATATACTATATTGATTAAGATATATACATGAGAAGTTGTCTTGGTAAATCAGTAAGAACAAATTGAATAACACTTTCAAAATGCATATTTTTATATGAAATATAAAGAAATGAAATATATGTAGAGGAACAAGATTAGGAATTTATGAGAAAGGGAAGAGGAATCAAATGTAAGGAGTTGTATGCCTTACAAATTTACAGTCTTTTTAAATTTCTTTTGCTTTGGGCACTTCCTGGAGGAGCATCTTTTTTGTTCTTCCGTTTTGCAGATAAACTGTTACATTCTTTTGAGCCATGGAATGCATGCAGACATAAAATACAGAACTCGAATGCACATGCCTCTCTGCTACATAATCCCCAATTCTTGACCAGTTGATATTTAGCAGGATATTGACATCTTGGACAGGGTTTTAGAGCTTCGTCAGTGAACAGAGTTTTAGCAACCTGTAGCAAGAGGAGGAAGAAAAGAGCTACTTAGTTCTTGTAAATGAAAACTTCCTAAAAACTAAAAGTGAAGCATTTCTTAGATACCTACTTTCAGGTATTCTTCCTGTCTACTAGCTGAGTAACTAGTGTTACTGGGTGTAATTTCAGTGTATGAAGGTGGTGTTTGTAGTACAGGAGTTCTGGCTTGAGCTTGAACAGGCCTTAGAGCAGATCTATTGAGAATATTAAGTCTTGTGGCAGCATCTTCAGCTTTCAATAAATATTCCTGTTAGTTTATAATTATAAAGAAAAGGAAAAAAAAGAAAAAACGAAGAAAATTAGGGTTTTATTTCATTTGGGATTTTCAGCTGGATTTCGCTTGTTTGGGTTTTTTTCCCCTCTGCAACAACACATTAGAAACAGAAACTATGTATAGTGCAAATATTTCCCATTAAATGTTTATATTTAGTAAGGGATAAAGAGACAGGAATCATTAAAAACAGTCCCACAAGCAGGGTAAAAAGCCAACTGTCTTTTAGCACACTTTACTGGTCCTCATGTTTCTGAATTAGGACCACATCTCAATAGCACACTTTACTGGTCCTCATGTTTCTGAATTAGGACCACATCTCAATATCAAGTAAGGAAATAGCAAACACAGCTTTTGTCACATTTAAAGCAAGGTTCCACTGAAGTGTGAGTGTATCATGTGGGGGATCTGAAAAAAATATACTGCAATTAGTATGCTTACTCTTCTAGATACCCCTTGAACTTCTATATGTCCTTCTGATGTTCACAAATACACTGTGATGCTTAGCCACAAGCAGTCCTGAAAATAATCAGGAAGTATTCTAGAGTGGGTCTTACAGCACTGCAGACTAGAGTGAAATGCAAAATAAGGAACAGCATGGAACAATGGTATGAACAGGGTTTAAAAATACAAAGCCAAAATCAGTCACAGGATTCTCAAGAAAGGGCTGGAGGGGGAAAGAAATAGTCTTACATTGTTGAAAGACTAGTACTCAAACTGCAAACAGCTGAAAAGCAGTAAGAGCCATTACATTCTCCTGTTAGAATCCTTCACATACTCATGTTGGAATTATCTCTATCAGCTCCCTTTCTGTAACTTTACAAGATGTTTCCTCTTTCCTTTGACCTGTCTTCTTTCATGCTTGAAAAAAAAAATATCACTTTTGAGAACCACCTTACCTCAGCTGCTTCTTTCTGCTGTTTTATATACAACTTTCTCCTCTTATCTGCCCTTTTATCTTGTACAACAATTTCACGCCAGTTTTTGCTTACTTTCCAAATACTGGAACAAATTGATGAAAAAAATTATTCACTTTCACATTTTTCCAAGTAGTTCAGAAGTCATGATAGTAAGACTACCTGGTAAATATCTTTGCAGTTTCATATACTTTGGTAATTTTACAGACTACTGCAATATACTAGTTCATGATATTGTTTTGAGACACAGATCTCATATTGTCATGCACCATTCTATAGAATAACAGAAGAGTCTAAAGAACGATTGCAATATAAATAACAGAGCATAGCTTTGACTTAGAAAATTAAATCAGTTTCTTCTCTCCACTTAACAAGACACTTACCAAGATTGTTTCTAAAGTCACGTTTTTGTGTTAAATGTTCTGAAAAGATTCATGGCCTTACACTTCCACCTATTCACCCATTCCCTTTGTAACTAACATGTGACGCTCTTGATTTCTTTGAAATGTGACAATTTCTATTGATTATAAATTAATCTAGAAGATTTCTCATGGATCAAAATTCTTTGGGCATTTTTGTGCTTGAAAATAACTAAGGAATTAAAATGCACAAGAAAAAATATAGAAAACATGTTTTGAGTACTATGCACTATTGGGGAACTTGTAATGAGAATAAATTACTTTCTAGGCTTAAAGGAACTTTTAATATATTTCAAAGTTTACAAGTACTATGATTTAGTTTTAAGTTTATTAATTTTCATGTTTGTTTTGCTTTTTTAATTCCCCTACATACTTTTAGAACTACACAGAAAGACCTACTTGATCAATGGTGACAAAAATTTTTATTTCCTCAAAACCAAATGAATTATATTGACAACACCTGGTATTCTAGAAGTTATTCTAATTTGTTTGCAGGAGTGCATATTTTTGCCTTTGTGTGTGGGGGGGGGTGGGTGGATGTGAAGCCGTAGTACTTACCTGCATAGACTTTCCACTGTCAAAGCATCTAAAACTATAGCAAGAACATGTTTTAAATTTCTGTCTTTTAATTCTGTTAAAATATCTAATTTTTCAAGGCCCATTTTCTTGCCAATAAGTCCAGGAAGAACATGATCTAATGCAAATATTTCTGTTCCATCAATATTCTCTGATATTTGCTTTTGGTCCGATCTTTGTCTTTGCAAGCAAATTTCATGAACTATTTTCAGAGCTGGAGTTCTTGAGAGATCTCCATGACTTACAACCAGGTCTCCATTAGGTTGTTCTTTTAGAACTAATTCATGATCTTCCCTGACAAAATTTCTTTCTTCTGTTAATATATGCATTGAAGTAGAACTGCCATGATTATCTTCTGTCTCTGACTGTGAACCCTGTTCCTGAAGAGTGGATAACCTTCTAACTCGTTCAAGTTTTCTTGTCTTTCTTTTATTATCTAGAATTTTGGAATCTTCTCTGTGCTTTTGGAAGAGCTCTTGGAAAGATCCCTCATGATCAGACAATGAGTCTCCTGATTTGTCCAAAGGAAGTGAATTATATCCACTATCCTCAGGTGTTGAAAGATCTGCGTAATTTACCACCTTAACAGGGGGGGAGTTTATATCACATAGTCCGAAATTCAAGTTCTCTACAGGACTGTTGATAGAAGTTAGGAATTTACCCTCATTGGCCTCATTGTAAGTAAGAGTCTTAAGCACCCCGTCACCAACTCTCATAAGAACACTTCCATTGAATTCATTAGCGTTACTAACAATTACATCCTTACACTGAATTGGAGATAAACTTTCCGATTCTAGCAATAAGGGGTCTTTGCACTGGGACTCATCTACTGTAGAAGTCCTTTGCTGTGAAAAGGAAATTCTCCGTTTTGGAAAATGAGGATTAGAGCCCTCAGGTTTTGAAGTGCTAGTTGTCAGAGTTTTGTAACTTTTATCTTTTGAAGAATCTCCAGAAGTTTTTGGAAGTTTTTCTTCAGAGTTCAAAACACAAAAGAATTTTTTTTTCCTGATGCTTCCTGAAGAACTAGCTTGCCTTTCACAGCTTTCTATAGTTGTGCCAGCTTCGACAGTCTTGGGTAAAAGCAGTCTCCTGCGTAGCGAAGAGCTTTTTCTACTTGATTTAGGACTTTCAAAAACATCTGCACTTCCATTTGCTTCTCTTTCTTCTGATATTGAGATAGAATTCAGTTCTTTTTCGATAGATGATGACATGGGAATGAAGGCATTTGGATGAATGTGCTCAGAATGCCCTTGTAGCCTTGTTACACTTCGTGCTTCTTCATGTTCTGCATCAAGATCTTTTACTGACTCATTGTATCTGCTGTCCAGAAATGCTGAAGTGCAACACATGTCTTTAAAATTTGAGTATTTAAAATTGCTGCTGAGAGATGTTAATCTATTTCTTTTAAGAATATTGAACTTCATTGAATGACTGTCTGACATCTTCTGCTTGACACTTTGGCTTTGTAAAAGAAGATACCAGCGTTGTTCCTGAAACAAACGATAAAGTAGTCACCAAAACACCCTCAGATTCATGAGAAAGCCCTGTGTAAGTCTATCAAGATAGCAGTAGTCATGACAAAAGTATTTTCATTAGTCTTAGGAGAAACTGCTTATAAATGTACACAAATATAAATTACTATCAAGTAGGTGGTTAGAATGAGTGATTAAAATGCATAAGTATATCATCAGGCAAATTCAAACTTATATCCAGTTAGCTAATTGATGTGCCAGTCCTCATCCGTGGAAAAACACTTCAAATAAGCAACACAACAACTAGAGGCTCATTAGTGCTGAAATTGGCAACAAAAACCTCTAGCATTCCAATAGGGCCAAGATTTTTATTAGCATGGGGTTATTGGTTCATCCAACATTAACAGTCCAGTCCTCAAGAATGAGCAGAAGCTCTGGTGATAGGTGAGTTTAGACAAAAAGCATTTTCTCCTTAAGTAAAATAAGAAGATTAATTATGAAGTCACAAGTCTACAAGTCTCCCTATTATTCAGATCCCTGCAGTCCCTGGAGGGAATAAATTTCAAAGTGAAAAGTGCATTTTTGTCTTCCTCAGCATTTAAATGTTATTTTGTAAAGAAGGTCTCTGCTTTTGTTCAGCTCTGTGGGTAAACAATGTTCTGAAGCTTAACACTTTAAACAAACTAATGGACTGACCGTTCACACATTCACCAGGTACAGATCATTTAAGAGCTACTATATATTTTCTTAGAAAAGTTAGAAGTGGCTGATGAACCCATCAGCCATGGAAAAGATGCATGGAAATAGGCTTATTTTTTGCAATTCATAGGTGGCAGTTTCTCCACCATGACCACAGTGGCATTGGGTCATTTCTTTCTGCGCACAAGACACGACAATTGTATAACAGATGTTAAGAGTAATGGCAGAAGGAGGGCTGTTCTCATGGACACCAAAGTAATTCACCTCAACACTCCAAGATTCTCAGAGTTGGAATCAGCGCCTTTCACTGGGGTGTGTTACTGATCTCCAGAACTGATATTTTGAAACGTAAAGCCTGGAAATAGCAAGTGTACTTTCAAAACAGACAAAAATAGGAATCTTTAAATGTGGCTTAAACACCAAATACTAAGACATTGCTATTATCCCAACAGTCCTGACTTAGTTAAGCCCTAAGCCACCAAATACAAGCAGTGGGAACTCAGACTGCATGAGACAGGTGAGGGGGGGACTACTCTTTGATGACCTTGAACCATTAGCATTTTATACCCATGCTGAAGGCATTTTAGACCATTGCCATATAGAAAATGCTTTGTTTTGTTTTCTACTGTAAGGAGACAGCAATATATAGAAGTTCAAAAGGAACAAGATGTTAAACAGCAGACAGTAACACCTTAGCATAAAGACCTACACAATCTTGCTAATATCAGTATGAAAACAAACAGGTTTAAAACAAACAAACAAAAACCTAGACCAACATAACTGAGAAAAATTCTTCCAGGAAAGACGGGTACGTGAAAATAATTTCAAGACAACAACAAGGTCTGAAGTCTGGCCTCCTTCCTTTCCTTCCCTCATTTACCTCTACAAGTACCCTATTTTCACATTTGTTTTCATCAGTGTTTTTTTCCTCATTCTCTGTTTGACTCTGTGAAATAAATGATAGCACAAACAGGAAACACGGACATAGCTTTAAGCTAGTGCTTACATGAATTAGGGATAACTGCCATGGCAGGACCAACTCTAAACTGCGTCTAGTATTTCATCTACATCACTTCCCAATGTTTTAGTAGACTTGTCACTGGTGATGTCCCCCCAAGGGTCGATACCGGACCCAGTATTGTTCAACTTATTCATCAATGACTTGGGTGAAGGGTAGATGCCTCCTCAGCAAGTCTGCTGGCAACACAAAGCTGGGAGGAGTGGCTGACACCCCAGAGGGCTGTGCAGCCCTTCAGAGGGATCTCAACAGGTTGGAGAGATGGGCACAGAAGATCCTTCTGAAGTTCAGCAAAGGCAAGTGCAGGGTCCTGCACCTGGGGAGGAATAACCCCCTTCAGCAGTACAGGTTGGGTTGATCTGCTGGAAAGCAGCTCTGCGGAGAAGGACCTGGGGGTCCCGGTGGGCAACAAGCTGTCCATGAGCCAGCACAGTGTCCTTGTGGCCAAGGCAGCCAAGGATATCCTGGGGTGCATTAGGAAGAGCATTGCCAGCATGTCAAAGGAGGTGATCCTGTCCCTCTAATCAGCCTTGGCAAGGCCTCACCTGGAGTGCTGTGGCCAGTTCTGAACTTTCCAGTTCAAGAAAGACAAGGAAATACTGGAGAGAGTCCAGAGGAGCACTATGGACATGATGAGAGAACTGAAGGACCTCAGTTATGAGGAAAGGATGAGGGAGCTGGGCCTGTTGGGCCTGGAGAAGGGAAGACTGAGAGGGGACCTTATCAATGTCAGTAAGTATCTGCAGGGAGAGTGTCAGGAGGATGGAGCCAGGCTCTTCCCAGTGGTGCCAAGCAACAGGTCTCTTCTCCCAGGCAACTAGCAGTAGGACAAGAGGGCACGATCTTAAGCTCTGCCAGGGGAAGTTTAGGTTGGATATTGGGAAGAAATTTTTTGCAGAGAGAGTAATCAGACATTGGAATGGGCTGCCCAGGGAGGTGGTCGATTCACCGTCCCTGGAGGTTTTTTAAGATGAGACTGGATGTGGCACTTAGTGCCATGGTCTAGTAACTACAGCGGTGTTGGATCAAGGGTTGGACTTGATGATCTCTGAGGTCTTCTCCAACCCAGTTGATTCTACGATTCTAAGAGGCCACGAGCAGGAACTGGAACACAGGAAGTCCCACATGAATGCGAGGAAAAGCTTCTTTACTGTGAGGATGACAGAGCACTGGAACAGGTTGCCTAGAGAGGTTGTGGACTCTCCTTCGCTGGAGAGATTCGAAAGCTGCCTGGACACAGTTCTGAGTAGTGTGCTCTGGGGCCCCTGCTTGACCAGGGAGGTTGGACTAGATGCTCTCCATCTTTCACTTACCCATTCCATGATTCTATGATTTTAGGCAATAGGCTGAAAATGCTGTGTCATGAACTAGAAAATAACTTTTTCCTGTATTTTTAAAGGTATGAAGTCCCTGGGTACTGCACTGCTGCATTTCAGTGAATTAGTTATGCTATGAGCAAAGGACCACACCAACACAGCTCTTCCTTTTGTAAGAGGAGGAAGACCTGTAAGAAACCTGCTGTAACAATACGCTGTTGTCTTTGTGTAGTTTACAAAAAGAATAGAGGCTTCATTTTTATGCTGAATTTTGTGAACTGCAGTTAGTTAGCAAATGTTGCCAGTAGATATTCCTTCCGAAAATGTTGATGGACAGAGGTTTAAAATTGAATGCTACTTAAAGACAGCTGTTCAAAATCTCAACACTGGAAAAAGACATCCCCCCTAAAAAAATCCCATATCAAACCCAAATAAATAATACAAAATTACATACCCACACTTACCTTTAAAAATATTAATATTTTCCTTAAACACAGTCACAGTCAAACTAATCACACATCTAACAAAAGTCCACAGGCTTCCAGACTTAGAAAATTAATTTTCAGGCAGCAGGCTGAAGAAACAACAAGAGGAAAAACTCATGCTTGCAGCTTCATTTTGAGGCATTCTATGGGAGAAATTATCTAATAACTCTGAACAACTGAGAGTAGAAAAAAATTAAAATATTACAGTATAAAATAATTTAATCAAACTTGTGTTTCAAGTAGCATAAAAATCACAGCAAAACAAGGTTTTTGCAGTTGTAAGGGAGATCAAAATAGTGGAGTTAAAGGAATGCTGTTAACTCAAGCAAAAGCCAAAAATGTGCTGTGCATAGTGCAACGTCCGGCAGGGGGAGCCTGTGAGCTCATTGAATTGATTTTATCGACATTACAAAATATTATAGGATAATATAAATAAAATTGTCGCTTCAGTACAGACACCAAATGAACAATGCCCAGCAAACTGCTTCATTTCCCCTCTTTTCTACACTTCATTCTATACTTGTTCATTCATTCATATTATTTTATACTTCATTTTACTTCTTTACCTTCTGCTCTTGTGAGACCCCACCTGGAGTACTGTGTTCAGCCATAGGGCCCCCAAAATATGGAGGACATGGACATGTTGGAGCGAATCTGGAGTAGGACGTGAAAATGATCAGAGGGATGGAGTACCTTTGCTGTGAAAACTGGCTGAGAGTGTTGGGGTTGTTCAGCCCAGAGAAGTGAAGGCTCCAGGGAAACCTTGTTGTGGCCTTCCAGTACCTAATGGGGGCCTGCAAGAAAGCTGGAGGGGGACTTTTTAGAAGGGCATTTAGTGATAAGACAAGGGTTAATGGCTTTAAACTGAAAGAAGGCAGGTTTAGGTTAGATGTTAGGAAGAAATTCTTCTTATGAGGGCAATGGGACACTGGCACAGGTTGCCCAGAGAAATTGTGGATGCTCCATCCCTGGCAGCATTCAAGGCCAGCCTGGATGGGGCTCTGAGCAACCTGATCTAGTGGAAGGTGTCCCTGCCCATGGAAGGGGTTTGGAGCTAGGTGATCTAACATCCCTTCCAACCTGAATCATTCTATGATTTACTGTAAATCCCAGTATACAGCTCAAGCTAGTATATGCATTATTTTATTTTTCCAAAATGTATTACTTGTACAAATTAAGATTTAATTTAACACAAGATCGCATTTTACAAATACAGTACAAAATGGGAAGCCTTTCAGAGGTGCCAAACAGCTCTCATAACAATAGAAGATAATATTTATATTCATAAGAGATGCCTAATAAAACTTCTTATAACTCGACTGACTTCTATAAGCAATTCTTTTCTATTGAGAGAAAAGTTTTGTCTACTAGATTTGATACATAACATCAAGCCCTTTTCGTTTGGGAATCTTGAAGTAGTTCCTGAAAATATGGTTAACCTTGTCTTAGACACCATAAACAGATGTGCAGGGAAGAAAAGGCTGGTTGCACAACAAGTCAGTTACAGAGCAAGTAACAAAATCCATATCTGCTAAGTGCAAGTGCTCTGTGCATTTCCCATATCTATTATTAATTTTGTAGTTCTCAAATCGATCTACAAAACAACTGCAAAATTTCTGGAAGTTTATGGGACAAAATAAACTAAGCTGACCCAAACTAAATGCACTGCTGAAGGACAGTATTCACATACTTAGACAAAGAATCATTTTTAACAAGGTTAGTCTTACAAAGCACCCCAAAGAGGTAAAAATGTTGGTAACTAGAAGGCAATGTAAACAGTGCCTCTTAGACATAAGTTCTAAGATGCTCATGATACTAATTTACACTCCCCAGTAACACACACTGAACAATTATACCTTGAACAAGATGGTTTCTGACTTTGTTTATCACTGTTCACTATTGCTAACAAAACAGATTAAGACAACATTCTGGTCATACAAGAATATTTTCTCTGTTATTTAAACATACCATATCTGCAGTAAAATTGACTATCTGAAGACTCTGCTCTTGACCTCCCTGAGACAACAGAGAAGGCATTGATACCTTAGAAGATATTAATACAGAAGACGACATAGTCAAGTCCTATCCAAATTATGTGGGCCACTTACCCTAATTTGTGAAGCAACTCGAGATCTTCCACAGTAAATGTGCTGTATTAGAAGTATTGCTTGCCCCTACTGATAACCTGAAGTAAGAAAGGATGTGAAGAGAAAAGAGAGAGGTGTAAGACAAACATTACCCAGCTGAGGCACAGTTTTCACTCCATCTATGTATGTGTGCAATGCCTAATTACCCAGGAACCAGCACCCGAGGGTCTCTCATCCACCTGGGATGCCGGACACGAGCAAAGCAACCGCTTCACCCCCTCATCTGGGAAATCGCTGGGCACAGGAGCAGAGCCTGGAGGCCGCCCTTCCACGGGGTGCGGCTGAGGCGGCAGCGGGGCCCCCCGAGCGGGGCTGAGGGCGGGCTGGAGGAGCGGGGCCGGTGCCGCCCTAGCAGCTCTCGCCGCCCGACCCTGGGCCCGTTGCCCCTGGCGAGGAGCCGCTTCGCCTCTCCCCACCCACACCGGCCCCTCGCGTGCGGCCACCGCCGCTTTCCCTCGCTCGGGTTTGAACTACCCGCCCTCACCAACCGCTGCCTCCCCGCCCCCTCCGTGCTGCGGGCCCGGGGCAGGGCGGGAGCCTGAGGAGAACGGGACAGCCCCGCCCGCTCCTCCGGGACGAGAGACGGTACCCAGCGGGCCCCCCCCCGCTCCTCACGCTTTATACTTCTGTCCCACGGGCCCCGCCGCACCGAGCCCACTGTTAAAGCGCCCCTGGGTCGCTCCTACCCCTGCCCTGCTTCTCCTCAGGAGGCCGGCGTTTCCCCCCTCAGGAGGAGCGTTTCCCGCCCCCGCTCCGCTCCCTGCGAGGAGGGGGCGCCAGCGCTGAGGGGCGGCTCAGGGACGCGGGTGAATCGCGGCCGGGCAGTGGCTTTCACAGATAATGACCTTTATCTGCACCACAGCCTTTAAGCTTGAGTTGTAAGGGTGCTGATTAATTCCAGTTAATTAGTACGTTCGTGCCCGACGGTCCAGGACCGAAACAATCATTGAGCATTATTTGTCAAGTGCATCGCCTTCAAAGCAGTCGGGTGGGAGATGCCCCGTGACGGCGCCTGGGTTTTGCTGTGGGTTTAGTTTTTCTGTACACTAACCCTCCCACTCCCCAACATACTAAACAAACACAAACCCACCAAACCCACGAACACGTGGATGTCTATTTTTCCTGGGCTCGGTAAAGATAACGTGGAGCTACGCAGGCTCACCTACCTGCCGGCTTCACACTGGCGGGATGGGGAATGTAAGACCCGAACGAGAGACCTACGTTTAAAGAAGTGCAAACTCGAGGCTTTCAAAAGAAACGCCGAAATTAAGTCACGTAATCCCTGTAGATGAGATCGGGCAAATTCGCGACATTCCCTTTTGGCAAATCCGCTCCTCCAGCCTCTCGCAGCCTCCGGACGGCGATATAAGACAGCCTGAGAAGGGCTCGAGTAAACATGGGTTCAAAAGTTCCCGATCCAGAGCCGGCGAAAACCGTCATTTTTATGTAAAGAATATCGGTTTATGTGACGACAAAGTAACAGTTGTGGCTAAAAAGAGAAAGGCTCTTGGGGTATCTCCCCCTTCCTTTTTTAAAAGGAGAAAACATTAGAAACTTCCAGGAATGTAATAAAACTTTTTTTAAAGTGATTTCTGTAGTATCATCTATTTCACAGGAACTGGATAAAATTGTTTTTCAAATACTTGTATTTATTTATAAAATAAACTATCTTCTGAGTCAAATTTGCGGCTTGCTGGTGGGACACAAGAACTGAAAGCTGCGTCTTCATTCACTGAAGCCTCAACTCACTTATGCGAGTTGGATCAAAAATATTCAAGAAACGTAACAAGTTGTAATTGCGGCATTTGATTCAATACACACAAGCGTCACACCAGAAAAGCGCGATTTAACAAAAAAAGCATCACAGAAGCCCCCCCAAGCAAACAAACAAACAACAACAAACCCCAAGTAAACAACACCCCTCTCCCCACCAAAAAAAAACCCAAACAAACCAAATAAACAAACAAAAAACTACAAACAATCAAAACCTCAGAACATTACTTCTAAACAAGCAAAACGAAGTAAGATATTCTGCAACACTCGCGCTGCACTCGGCTACGCCTGCATTTTCTTCCCATCTCAAAAGTACCTGTACCCCTTGTACCGCCCCACCTCGCCCCACAAGCCTTTCCTCTAGCTTTCATGCCAATTCCCCAAGAGCTTTACGGGACAGTGGAGGTCTCCCACATAGTCGCAACACTTTCAGCTACTCTAAATCCAAGAGGCATCTTTAGGGCTAGAGTTTATCAGCCCGAGGGAATAGGGCTTTGCTGTTAAAGCGCTCCGCTCGAAGGGGGAGGGTTTTGTTGGAAACGGCTGAAGTAACCGAAGCTTTAACATCTGGTTAAACATTCTATTTTTCCAAGAAAACAGCTGAAGGATGCAAATAATCGAGCGATTACATGACCACTTTCTTAATATTGGCGACATTATTTTCACAGGATTAACTGAATTTTTCATGGTGGTATTTTTACTAAGTCCTTTTAAAATTATCGGTTTGACAAACGCATTTTCAAAATATAAATGAGCCTAGAGAAATAATACCAATTGTTTTTTCTTTGCTTTTTTAGGAGATGATAATTACTTAGCGTGCGTTTACCAGGAAAGTTAGGGCTCAGGCTTTTTTTTCTCCTCTGCTTCAACCTTTGGTACCCACCCACACCCACAGGTCCCTGGCGGAGGAGAGGACGCAGGAAGTCAGAATCCAGATGGACAGCTCTGCCTTTCACACACTGTTTTTCTTGCATGTGCTTTATTCTGGCACCCTAAAAGTTCTGTTTAGCTTTATTCGTACAAAGCAGTATGAAGAAGCAAGTCTAAAGTCATTACTGTGTCTTCATTACGTTTACCTTAAACACAAAATTAGGAAAAACACAACTATTTATTATTCCTCAAGTTTATTTTAGATAAGATATAGGTCATGTATGAAGGTGATTTGCTGCTAGGAGAACACCAAGTAATGACGACTGTTAAAACCTCAGCATTTGGGTGCTGAGGAAAAAAAATAGTATTCAGTATTCAGAAACAGGAAGACCTTTCCTTAAAGTGCAGAATCTTTTTAACCATGAAGTAATTTAAATTGGCATATTCACAAAACACAGTATTCGTTTAACATTTTTTTCCGTGAAAAAAGCAAAGATACATAATTCTTCAAAATGCCAATCGAAGATTCAAATTTCCTACCGCTAGCGAAGTGGGATCAATGACAGAGAGCAACTGGTGTCGTTTCAAACCTTGTCTGCACCATTTCAGTTCAGTACATCGGGAATCACCTACATCGGAACTTGTTTCGTAATACGACCTTACGCTGAAAATACGTAGCATATATGCTTGGAGTAGGTAAGTTTGGCTTCATGTGGGTACATGTGATACCGACCACAGCATCAAAATATCAAGATGCAGGTTTCACCCACGAATCTTAAGGAAAACACTTCTGAAAACAGACCGGTCCTCGAGGTGAAACACCTCGGCGGTTTAAAACCCCGCAGCCATATGACCAGATCTGGCACAGGGTATTCTGTGTTCCGAGTAGGTCGGGTACAGCCAAATAAAAAAATAAAAGCACCGAGTACCTTGGGGCTGATTTTGCCCAACCACGCAGCTGCCTGCTTTCTTCATGGGAAACTGACGCTGCTATTGATATGAAAGCTTGTGTCTTAAAAATTGCTACCAAATATTTTCTGCCGCCTCCCTCCCCTCAGCTGGTTAACACCGATAGCTGAACATTTATTACTTTCCCAGGCTAATTAACTGTTCCGCAGGGAGGTGCCGGAGCTGGTGCTGGGCGACGCGGGGCCCGCCTCCGCCGGCGCGTCATCAGCGTGCGCCGGGCAGCGGCGAGGCCGGCGGTGAGCGAGCGAGGGGGCGAGTGAGAGGGGTCGCGTCTCCTCCCGGGCTCGGGCTCCTCCCGTCCGACCGGTGGTCCCTGCGCTGCTGGGCGGTGGTGGCGGGGCCGTGGCGGGTAGGGATAGGCCAGGCCCAGCCTCGTGGGCTTCGGTCCTTCGTACGAGGCCCGGGGGGGGTGGGGGGGGGGCGGTGCGGGAGGTCGCGAGGCGGAATTGTGGCGGGATGGAGAGCCTGGGCCGGAGGGTAGGCTGCCCAGTGGGTTATGAGAAGGGCTGTCCGTCCTTCTTCGTCGGCTCTGCGGGACGGGAAGGAGCGGGTTGGCCTCTTACGGATGCGTAAAAGACGCACTGAGAGAGGACCTCATTAATGTGTATCCATACCTAAAGAGGGGTGGCAAGAAAATGAAGCCGGGATCCTCTTGGTGGTGCCAACCACTAGGACGAGAGGCAACGGGCGAAAACTGATGCACAGAGAGTTCCACCTGAATATGAGGAAGAACTCTACTGTGCGAGGGACCATGCACTGGAACAGGTTGCCCAGAGAGGTTGTAGAGTTTCCCTCGCTGGAGATATTCAAGGACCATCTGGATGCAATCCTGTGTCACGTGCTCTAGGACGACCGCTCTTGAGCAGGGAGGTTGGAGCAGTCCCTTCCAGCCTTCCCCTTGCCATGATTCTGTGTGGTGCTCTCAGCACGTGGACGATCCCTTGTCTCTCTGAGGAGTTCCAGTGTGTTTCCCAGTGTGTGTCGGTGCATTGCTATGCCCGGTGGCATTTAGGGTTGCAGGGTACGTGAAGGACAGCTAAACCAGGCCACCTCTCTGCAAGACACACAACTGTGGGTCACTGCTGACCTTATCAGCGGTGTTATTTTGCTGCACGAGCAGCACGAACTCAAGTTATTTAGCTACAACTGTGATCTTAGTTCAGCTCTGTGTTTTAGAAGAGCTGCTGTTTCCTAGTGCTAATGGGTGACTGTTTATATCTTACTAGAATGTACTGACTCAAAAAGACTGTAACACATGTGGATTAAGGTGCCACTATGATTATGGTATAGCATACTTGAAAGCTGTAGAGTATAATGAATTCTTTCCAGTTCTCTTAAATGGAGTGACACAGTGGGAATTTTAACAAGGTGGTCTGTAAAGTGCTGATCAGACTATAAAAGAAGGAACTGTCAAGCTTATCCTTCTGTTTTCAATGCCATAATTTTCCCACTTGAATTTATACTGAAAAAAACTGTGAAGATCAGGTTAATAATCCTTGCAGTAATATTAAACAAAACCATCCAAGAGCCATTCTCATAAGGAAGCTTCAAGAATGTTATTCACTAGGATAAAGGTTAGGAGTTCTTGCCTTCTGTGTCAGACAGAACAGCAGTACAGAAAATGGCAGCCTCAAAAAAATTACAAGGAAATATTAATGTTCTGGTCTAGACTTAGATTGGGTGGGGGAAAAAAGTGTTTACTATATCTCTGGTGGTAGAGTAACTCCCTTAAAATTCATGGTTTCAAGCACATTTACATGTTAGGATAGGATTACTTAAAGCTTGGTAGAATGTTTGTGGAGTATAAGTAACTATTTAGTCTGATGCTGTGAAGGAATACTTGTCTCCAAATAAGTCTGAAAAATCAAAACCATTACAGGGCATTAAGAAGTGATTGAAGAATAGCACTGAGTTATTACTCTTGATTTGGTAATCATACACATCTATATTAGGATTTGAAGGGTGGAATTTCTTCTCTTCCTATTATCCTTCTACCCACAGTCTGTTCCCAGGATTTCTAATACCTTAGATCAGTGAAAAGGTAGATTAGGTTAGCTAGTGTGTCAGAGGGGAAGAAAAGATAATAAGGCTTATCTTGTTTCTGATGGCACCATTGTTACATGAGTGATGTGTAAGAAATTATTGAATTTTATGTTTCCTGCAAGGAAATTCTTTACATTGGCAGGAGGAAGGAAAGAAAATACTATTTGCCGAGTGTTAGTGTTTAAAATCCTGCTTAATAGAAAATTGTGCTGTCTCTGTCCTTGGGGGTTTTCTATAGCAGATTGGTAAAGCTCTGAGAAACCTGATGTTACTTTGCTTTTGAGAAATTGAACTAGATGACTTTCTGAAGTCTATTTCAACCTGAATTATCCCATGTCCTCTGTATCAAATACAAACTATATTTGTTTGTATTTACTTTTAAGGAAGAGTTTTCATTTTCTGTTAGCTTTAAATTGAGATATTGAAATGATTGTGTATGTCTTGGGGAAAAAAAACCCCAAACACCAAAACCCAAACTGATGGGCATGTTGTGTGTTTTTTGTTTAGAACATGGATTCACAGAAGGATGTTCAGCCTCCAAAGCAGCAGCCAATGATTTACATTTGTGGAGGTAAAGAAAAGACTTTAGTGATTTTCTTTTTTTTATTACATGTTACTGGAGATTTAGTGTTTTAATAATGAAGCCATTATAGTGAAGAGTACATGAATGCAAATAATTGCAGTGTGCATCCCGATGATCTTTAAAGTTTTACACGTTGATAGTAACATGTATGGGTTACCACATGGATATGGATGTGGAAGTAATTTCCTTAGATCTTGTGTAGCTGTGTGGAGCTCCTCCATTTCCAGAGTATACTTTCTCTAAGTGTCCGCTTGTGGTGCAAATAGTGGACCTTCCATTCAGTGCATCTCAGTCTTTTACTGAAAATGCTATATGGGCACTCAGCTTTTACTGAAATACAGTAGTCAAATTCTCTCTTACCGATAGGTAAGTCAACAACTTACAAATTGGTGATTTTGAGTCAGCACTTCAGGAATCTCTGAAATATTTTGTCTTTTAAGAAAATAAACTGTGGGCTTTTGGAGGGCTGAGCTAAAATTTTTGTTAGTAGGCAGTCTAGTATCAAGAGTGGAATGTGTTCTGTGCAGTAATATTTTGGTCATTTTTAGCAAGATTCTCTTTGACCTTAATATAAGTTAAACTTGCTTTTTCTATTTTTCTCAGTGTCTTGGTGTCATTTAGCTTTTGATACAGATTCATTACAATTAGTATGTTTGCCACAAACAGAAATTGATTATTTTGACTTTTGAAAGTTATCTGTGCATTAACAATGCTGGTTTTGTTTACCCACTGTCTTTGTCTTTCTCTATAACATTAGAATGTCATACAGAAAATGAAATAAAGGCAAGAGATCCTATCAGATGCAGAGAATGTGGCTACAGAATAATGTACAAGAAAAGGACAAAAAGACGTATCCTTTTACAAGTGCACTTGAAAGCATTTGGGAAGCTGTGGGTGGAGATAAGGTATGTAAGGGAAACAGAAAGGAAGGTTTGAGTAATTATGTAACAATCCTTCAAGGCAAAAAATCAATGCAGGAGAGCAAACTACTATGGGGCAATCTCTGCAGAGTGATTTGGCACCTTCCTTTCTTTCCTGGCACTTTCTCTTTTTTTCCATTTTCTATGCAAATATAGTAAGTTATGATAGTCTGCTGGGTGATGTACTGTGAATTGTTGATATTATTCAGCCTTTTATTAAAGATAGCTTTTGGAGTATTTTTATGTAGTTAGTTGTGACCTTAGATTTAGGCAGTCTCTCTCTTTTGTTCCCCTCCCCATCTTTTTTTTTCAACCACGACACTTTTTTTGTCTTTAACTGAGCTATTCCAGTGGTGGTTTTTGATGCCCGATGATATCTGCTGAAGATACAGTGACTTCATGATGCAGTTTAATCTTTCTGATAACTTTTCTCTGTAAAACTATTTGTGTACAAATGCACACTCTTATTTGTCTTTTAAGAGATTATTAAAGTTTACTGTAATACTAAATTTTGTCTATACCATCTTCCAGCAATAGATTTCTAAAGCTGTTGTTTAAATTGTCAGAGTATGCAGTATTTTTTAAGTTCGGTCATTTTGTATTCTTTTTGACTTAACTGTGTTTTCATTACTGTCATCTAAACTTTACTTGCATTTTAACTTTGTTAAATGTTCTTTGGACTTCTGTGAATTGCATAAAATAACTGTGGTTTGAATAAATTCCACTGAAAATAAATAGAGGGCTACACAAGGCTAGGTCTGAAGTACAGATCTGGATTTCTTGAGAAAATCTCAAGGGACTTGAGAGCACCCAGTTGTGGATGTGTTAAAAGTATGGATGTCTTGTGTGGAAGTGTCAAAAAAATCATCTCTTGGGAAAGAAGAGGGAGAGGGAGGCAAGGTAAACATTAAGAAACAATGTGGAAACAGAAATTATGAAAGTGCTGTTTGACTTGTACTCAAGGAAAAAAAATGTCTTACAAAGATAAATTAGGTAGCATCCCAAAACTAAAATAGCATCTTGTTTTGCTTTTCATATGACTTCTCGGGGGTCTGTAAAAGAGGGATCAAAGTGGTGATTTTGTTTTGAGAAGCTGAAACGTTTTGCATCTGGCTGTTTGGAAGGTGTGTTATGTAATAGTACTAAATTCTGCTACAAAATACTGCTGAACTGTGTGTGCTTGTTCTCAATTTGGATGGTGCTAATGATGCTGTTATGTTGAGATACTGTGTTTAACTCATGACTGTAATAAGGTATCTTTGTTAAGGTGTGCATCACTGTACTGGCTCATAAATGAGCTGCAGTGGCTTATTATAGGGGATAAAGAAAAGCAGTCAGAGATGATGTTTTGGAACTGTTTGGTTAAGATTTTCTTAGGTATCTGATCTTTGCTGTTAAGACTAGGTTTTTCTGGGAAACCAGATACATTCGGGTATAAATGATAACCTTTTTGCTACACCAGCCTGGCCCGCATAGTGTGCATCTTATGCCTGCATAACAGACAGAAGGGTCACTACTGCTATGGCTGCTCAGAAAGGTGAGGAGGAGAGGGCAGGAGCAGCGCTGTCGAAGGTTTGGCAGGATTCAGGCGCGGGTTTGGCCGTACTGCGGGCACAGTGGGTACTTCTTTCTGCCAGACGTGGAGAAGAGCATCCTCTGCCATCGGGGACCTGCTGTAGGGAGCAGCACCGGGAACTGCAGGGCTGACGGGCAGCACTGGTATGGGCACGGGGGGGCGCCGGCATTGGAAGGGGACTACCTGAGTAAAAATACTACACTGGAAACAGGAGAGTGACGTTTATTAAACCTTCACGCCCAGGTGTTGTATTTCTGGCCCCCCGGAGCAGGTGGGGGCGGGCGGCGCCGCTGTTCCCCTCAGCCCTGACCGCAGCCGCGCCTGCGCGGCGGGGAGCGAGGGTCGGGCGGCCCCGGCTGAGGCGAGAAACGGGCAGCGCCCGTGTCCCGGAGGCAGCGCGGCACCGGGCAGGTGGGTGCTGGAGTCGGGCAGGTGACGCCGATGTCGCCGCTGGAGTTCGGCGGGGCTCTGTGGGAGCCTCGCCGGGGTGTCCCTGGGGAGGACAGCGCCGTGTCCGCGCCGCCATGTTGTACATAGCAGCAGTTGCTAAGCTCGGGCTGGCGGCGCTGCCCGGGCCCCGGCGGTGGGTGCCGCTCCCAAAGTAAATTCCTGACTCTGGGGGAAGGGGGATGTGTGGAAGGTGCGTTGGAGGGGGGCGCACCGGGCTGTGGTTGTGCCGTGCACCCGAGCAGCCGCGGTGTCCGTGTCAGCGCCGTGCCCTGGTCAGCTCCCTCGCCTCCATGGGAATGTTGAAACGGGAGAAAACGCTGATTCGTGATGAGCTTTTTACTCCTGCGTAATTATTTACTGCATTCGTACGGCTTTCCATGCATGTTGTTCCTTTTTCAGTACTGAAACTGTTAAGTCTTGGGGCAGAATCTCTATTATGGTCACCTAATTACGACTAGTTATTATTTAAGTGATACTGTATTGTAAACATTTTTTGTGCAACTATAAATTAATAGATGTAGTTATGCTAGATATTAGAACGCAGTTATTTTAACTGGGTTTATATTTGCACATAGTTGTTATCACACATTAGCTAGCTGCCCTTATTGTACTTGTTAAAAATAACTTATCACTTTATGCACTATATAAATGGGGAAAGAGTGAAGAATTTCAGCTCCATAGAGCTTGGGATCAAAACAGAAAAAGATGCAGATGAACCAATCAAAGGAACGGGGAGACAGAAGTGTCCCATTTGAACCCCTCACTTCATCAGTTACCTACTTACTGGAAAAGGCTTATATTACTACTGTAATATAATCAGAGGCCCAGAAAATGCAGTTAGTAAGCAAAGAAAATTGGATTTATTTTTGCTACAGAGAAGGCAAAGGTTATTATTTCTTTAGATACTGTTGGTTATCGTCTTCCCTCTGAAAAAAGCAGTGTCCTGCACCATCTTATCCTTCATGCTTATCATACTTGCTTAAATAGCTAATATTATATTGTATTTAAAGAAAAATTGAGAACGTGGTAGGCAAATATTGGCAATTTTTCTTTAAGCAGTCTTTCTGAATTGTTCTGCTTTGCAGAAGCAGTAGAGTTACATATACTCTTCATACAAAGCATCTGTCATACGCAACCATACTTCTGTCAGTGAACTCTGTCAAGGACAGCTCGTATGATCAGGTCTTCAAATCTGAATTTTTTTCTTTTGTGGCAGTAGATCTACTTGCATAAGAGAGTGGAGTATGAGCAGGTTTATTCCTTAAATTGGCATTGCTTCAAAATGTAACTAAGTGCCTACAGGATCACTAAATTTTTTCCTTTTAATATTTAGTTATGGGTGATGAGTCAGTACCATTTTTGCTGGACCAAGGAACCACTAAAACATATCAAATACCTATTAGTCATCTGGACTACAAATTCATTGAAAAATGCACAGATGTTAAGCACCTGGAAAAAATTCTCAGAGTATTAAGGTAAACATATTTTCTTATCTTCATAATAATTATATTCCTGTTCTGTAAAATTTGAGGGAACCCTTACCTAAATACTCTTATTTGCCTGAACCTTTTTGTGACTTTCTAATTTAAAAATTAAAATACAAAGTTATAGTAATCATGTTAAAAGTGTCCCAATGATAGCACTAGAAATCCATGTCCTGATTTAACCATTGAAAAAGTTTGAGTAACTGAATGTCAGTTTTTTCTCAAAATGCTGCTGCTGTATTTTGGTTCTATTATGATCCATCTTGCCTGACTCTGGTAATTTCAGATGCCACACCTGTTTAACTTTTGCTGAAAATGACACAAAATTTTTTTTATGAGCACTGTGATGATAATTTGAACTGTATATGTATGGACATTGGAAAATGGTTGAGGGTTGACTGGAATTTTCTGATGAAAATGTTATTAGATGACAGTAAAATTGAGTTGTAACAGGGAAATAGTCCTCTACAGTCACTGTAGTGACTACAGATGGAGGGAAATATGGAGGACACAGTGCAGTTTAGTTCTTTTTTGTTAACTTTTATATCTTTGCATTTGAAAGGTCTGGTGAAGAGGGATGTTACCCTGAACTTACGGAGGCTTGTGAAAAGCGTATTGAGCGTTTAGATCCAAAGAGCAGAGCTCTGAGAACAGATAAACCTGCAGCCACACCTTCTGATTTCACAGCTGAGGAGTGGGAAACAATTAATGATGAGCTGATGGTACAGTATCTAATTTATAATGGTCCATAATATTGTCACTCTGATGTATCAATCTTCCTCTTCTTGTGCGTAAATAGAATGTAATTATTTGATTAAATGAGGAAATGATCAAAGGATTATGTTGTGGTTTTTTAATTGTTTTCTTGAGTTAATGTCACTGAACCTTTAGTGCCTATTTTAACTCTACAGATATTTTTTTGGTAGGTTACTTTGTATTTAAAAAAAAATATTGCTTTTTTCCTTAATTGCTTTTCCCTGTTAATAGCAATGTTTTGTAAGTATAGTTGTTAGGGTGACTGTAGACTGTAAAGTATATCTTCTCTACTACCTTAAGGTACAGATATATTATTTATTTATTTTCAGAGCTGGCTGACAGAAATGAATGAAGATGATAAGAAATCACAGTTCCTGAGAACAGACACACCAAATGAAAATCAAGATAACTTGCCTCCCATTCGTTGTTCCAGCAGCTGTCTTCCTGCTAATCAGGTATCTCCAGTTTTCTAATGTGTGTTAATTATATGTTTTTCTAAAATTGGGAAATTTTATATGTACAAACTTCCAATCATTGAGCCTTTCTTACTAGATTTATTTTGTTAACCAGGAAATAAAAACCTTTAGGCTCCCTTGTGAGAGACCAACGCTTAAACAAAAGTGCTTTCTTTGTACTAGCTTGTGTCTTGTAATAATGTTTTAATTCCGATCAGGAATTCACTGCTGGAGCAGATCTCCTTAAACACCCTTTTATGATCTTTGATTCATGTTTCAAAATGGTTTTTAAGCATATGAATCAAGTTCCTTTTTGGATGAAATTATGCCAGGAGATTTTCTCCAGCTGCCAGTATGCTTTTGTTCCATGGGGCCAGACAGGAGCTAGTCCAAAATAAATACCCTGAAACACATAAAGTGAGGATGTTAGATCTTCTGCACCAATTGTTTCATTCTATAGCCACTTCTGTATTGGGTTGTGCTGCCTTTGATTGCCCTTTTTTTTTTTACCTTGAGTTGCCATTCCCACTGCAGTCATATAGCATACTTCCTAATTTAGCAATTAAGCACACTTAACAAATCTTCAGAATTAAGAACAAATACTTACATTTTTCCTAGGTATTAGTTTCCTTATTTTTTTTTTCAGTTTATTTATCTGCCTAAAATCAGTTTTGTCTGTGACTGGCTTTTCTTGCTAATACTAAATGTAGTGCTACTGGAGGGATTGGCAGATAAATAGATATAGGATGGGATTTTTCTGAATTGTCAGGTGTTTTCATAGATCACTTCAGTCTGATTCTCAAAATTTTCTTTGAAATTCTGGGACACTGCTATAACAAATTCCTTGAAGTATTGTTCTTTTCGGATGTTTGGGAGTCAGAAACGTTATGGAAGGATCCTTACAGGTCATGTGATATTTCTTATTAATTGTTTTGGTGTTGGTTTTTTTTTTAATAATTATGTATTAGTAAATGCCTGATTTTTGTTCCTATGTTGTCAGAAACTACTTCTTGTTGTCAGCTAGTACTTAGACATTGGACCAAGACATTTGGGATAGCAAGGCAATCTTAGTATTGAGACTAAAGCATGCTTTTGTTTTGTTTGTTTTGTGGTTTTTTATGTCATTAATCTGTATTCTTTCACATTTTGCAATATATGTTCCTCTTGACTATCCCATTATGCTGAGATGGAGAGTGCCACTGTAGCTTTACTGTTGATTCATGTCCTGTATGAGTGCTTGTTTCAACAGAAAATGGTAAATAAAATACCATGTGAACTCAGTGAATCCAGATTAGAATGTAAGCATAAAATAATGGAGAGTGTCTTGAAATCTAGGATACACGGTTTTACTAAAGAGGATGTGTTCTCCTTTCAAAGATAAAAATATTTATTCACATTTTTTCTCCTACTGTAAACCATGCAACAGTCTTCAGGTCAAGCTTTGTTCTTTTGTTCTTCACCTTTTGTTCTCCATACAAGGTTTAGGTGTTAGCAGTATTACTCAGGAAACCTAGATATAGCCTTACACTTTATCTGTGGCATGTGATTTCCATTCCTTTTGTCCAAGCAAATGGCCTCTGAAGTAACTGTAACCTGTCCTGGAAGAGAGAAGGGAGGCCTGAAACTAAGTTTTAGAATTCAGTCTTTTTATGCAGCAGTACAGTTACATCACTACTAGATCAATACTGAATAAAAAGAAACTGTTTGTATAGCATACACTAAATTTATATTTGTAATATGAAATCTCAAAAAAATTTGAATGTACATAATCGGCTTTTTTTTCTTTTCTTTCTCTTTGATAAAGCTATGTGTAATCTTACAATTTTTAAACATGTTTTGCTAATCAGTCAGGACTAATTAATTTTCAGATGGGCATCATATAATTTTTTAAGTGGTATCAAGTTTAAGGTTGGCATGATAAATTTCTCCTCTCTGCTAGAAAGAAATGCACAAATCTTTCTGTGATTTTATGTTATCGCTTGACTGGAGACTATTCCTCTGATCCAATGCATAAGAAGTTCAGCATCTTCAATTAAGCCAATTTTGGAAATCCTTATTGACCCTAAAACACTGGATTGCACCAATAGATACCAGTTTTATAAATGGAAGCATCTTGTTTTATCTATAAACAGATTTTCTTGCTGATACAAAATGTAGGTAGAGTTTCAGTTCACTGCTGATAGCTTATAATTCTATATGGTGTTTTCTTTTTATTGGTGTGAAGTCATGGGCAAGATTTTCCAAAAATGAATAGAAAAAGAATTAAGTTTATGCAATATTTTCCTCTTTAACACAATGTGGAAGTTTCTGTCTTACATCCCTGTTTTTCTGTCACACTGCCTTACTTCTTCAGGAGAGAACTAAAGCATGGGTTTAAAGATATTCATGTTCAAATAGGGTTTTCAGCATAGGTTCTTTTGCCAAATGTGGTTTCCTAATACTATTCCAGAAAGATTTCTGTCCTCAGATACCTCCTCATGCTACTGTCCAGGGCATGCAACATGCATTCCAAGGTCTACGTTATAAAAATTCACTGTGATAGGATCTATATAGCCCTCATGTTATTTTGGATATTCTGAACTAAAAAAGAATACTTGTTGGCTGACACATTATAGCAGTGTCTTAGGCCAGCATGCAGGGCCCACAGGAGATCCAAGGACAAATTCTGTGTCACCTGAACAGCCAGTCTCTGTGTTGCTCTTTGGCCCATTGAAAATGTCCTATGGGCTTCAGAACCTGTGAGATCCATGCGTTGTGAGTTCTGGCACGAAAAACGACAAGCACAAAGATTTTTACTTTTTTTTAGTCCCACAGCATGCAAACATATATTTTTCATTGGATGAGATGCTCTGAAATATTACTGATGGAGAAATTCCTGACTCTGCTGGAACCACAACTTGATAACAATTGTCTCAAGAATATGAAGCCTACAATTTTTAAAATTGTGAATTTTTGAGTCAATACTTTTGCCTTATTCCTTAAAAGTACATGCTGTAGTTCTTTCCCTAAGTTGAAGTTGCATTACTGTAAGTACCTTATGCATTTTCTTCTGACAGTTTCAGCATTTTTGTGCTCATTTAAATTAATGACTTCTGGTTTGAAAAAAAAGATTTGGTATTTATTAAATTGGTACATTTGTAATATACACCAGGATGCATATATAATGATAACTCATGTTTCAGGAAGGCATATTTAGGAGTTCCCTCCTCCAGACATGCTCTGATCACTAAAGGTATTTGTCATTTTGTCAAGCTTCTTGAAAGACAGAACATTAAGAGTAATTCTGAAGTTATACACTATAAAAGTTTGTGTAACCTAACATTATAGATAGTCAGAAGTGTTTACAGGAAGGGTCACATTTGCATGATGTAAATTGAGTTGTTTACAAGCAACTACAGAAGTATGTCCTTGTTACAGCATCACCATTGGTAAAGCAAGTTTAAGAAGCTGCTGCTTGTTTCTTTGCACCAGTTGAACTGGTACAGATATTTGGGGATTGTACTGTGATCTCTATTGTTTGTTTGAATCCAGAAAATTGTAAATCTGCAACCCTACAAAGAATTACAGTGGTCTAACTTACTGAATTATGGATCATAAGGTATATGGCCAGGACAGAGTAGATGGGAGTATTTTGAACTGGCTGTTCCACTTTGAAATACCTGTTGGGAACCACACCTTGCTGTTAAGTATTTTGAAGTCAACAAGCAGGGAGGGACATATCAGAAATAAAGTCTCATGAGAGAAGTAGAATCAATGCCAAAGGTGACAGTTATGGAAATAGGTTCCATTAGTGTAGGAGATGGATTGCAATACAAGTCAGTCAAATCTGTTATTGGGACTGATTGCTGCAGGAAGATCCTAAAGATAAATATTAGGTAAGCCAAACCCCAGTGATGGAGCTTGTCTAAAAGCTAGAATGAATGTAAATCATCTTAGGAATTAGCTTTAGTGGTGTGATAAATAGTCAAAAGAAGTCCAGACACTATTTTGGAGTCAGTAATGTGTAAGTTTGTTTGTGAGGGTTCCAGGGACTATCAAAATCCATGCATTGCATTCTCCTGGAAAAGGCATGCCTCAAACTAAGTTACTGATTCAATCTTCCTGTGAAACACCTGATCACAAGGCTGGGTTTTCCCAAAACTGAATTCTCCCTTGCTGTGTTGAAAAGATGGTTGGGAAGGTGGCATCACAAGATACTAATTAGGAAAGAGCAGTCTCTGAAAGTTTTATTCAGTGCCTCTGTGACATGTAACAGGGCAATGGAGAGAAAGTGTGAGACTGAAGAGCTCCTCAGATTACAATGATATGTGAAATGCATGAAGATTTTCTTTAAAGCAACACAAATTACATTTTCAAGATTATGCTAAGTCACAAATAGCGCTAGTAACTCAGAATGTGTTGCAGAAACAAAACTAAAACAAAAAGGCTCTGCAATTTCTACTGGAAAAAATTATCTTACTGGCTATTTGGTTCTCTTTCAGAACAAAACACTGCAAAACAAACAAAGAAACAAGAAAAACATTCCACGGGATTACAGTGAATGGGAAAAGTATGTTAAATCCTTTATATTTAAGTTTTTAGTAAAGCTTATTTATTTGTTTAATTAGGGAACAGGGTGGCTGTATTTTCCAGAAACATAGTATTAAGGTCAGCACTTCAGGGAACTGTAACACTTCTATGAAACTTCATTTTTTCTTAATAAATATTCATTTAAAACACAAATGATGCTTTGTGTTGCTAACACCTGAGAACAAGTTAGTTTATACTTTTGGACCAGCTGTGTGAAGTACAGCAAGTCATGAGAAAAATAAAGACTGATTTTTTTTTCTCTTTTCAGATTTAATTTTTCTGTTCAGCATCAAAGATATGAATCTATAGAGGTACATAAAAGCAAGGAATTGCAATTAACTTAATTACTGAGTTTTTTGAAAGCAATTCTAGGGTTATTTTATATGGGCTTATTAATTTGATCTTCTCTATACCTAAAGCCACAATTCTGAATTAAAAACAAAACTGATGAATACTTACTCCTGCACTGAACCCTACTGACCTCAAAGAATGAGCTTCAGGCAGGTGCATCAGTTTACTCAGATGCAATTACACATAATAGAGATTTAGACAGTAGCTGTTTTGAGAGTGGATGGAGCCCTGGTATAAAGACACTCTTTGCATCATATAATGATGGCATATTACCATCCCAAGTTATGTGACAGATTGATAGCTAAATTGTTGAACACAGAGGGGGGAAAGCACATAATTCTCTGTTTTGCATGGTAGAAGCATTTCTCAAGTTCCTGAAATCTGGAATATGATGCTGTAGAATCAGAGTGAGGAGGCACAAGTTTCCAGTGCTGTAGATGGGGAGCTAAATCTAGATATCGGGAGAGTTGGGTAATGAAACTCTACCCCAAAATGCCTACAAAAACCCTGTTCTGCGTAAGATGTTCTTACAAACAGTTGTGCATATCAGTTATTTTCATGTGTGTACTGGGACCTTCCTGCTAAAATGTGGACAAAGAAAATAGGTTATCAGAATAACTTCTGCAACAATTTATTCTTTCATCCCTCTTTCCACTGTAATCCAAATTTCCAAAGTAATCATCTGTGGATTTTGTTTGCAGTTTTATATATGCAATCTTTAAGTGCTTTAGCATGCTGATAATACTACAGTTTGTGAATTTTCCCCTATAATGTATTTATTTTGGATTATGAGTATACTGAAACAGAATTTGTTTGAAAGAAATTTTCCAATTTGAAGCATATCATGTTTTCAAAACATTTTGTGGATAATTTCAAAACTTTCAAGTAGTTCTTGAGGCAATTTCTGAACAAAATGTTTAACTTCTTATTTTAAAAACACTTGAAATGTGGTTAATTTATAATAAAAAGGTAAAAGTAAGCTAGCAAAAGATCAGATTCAAACTGGAGTACAGTTAGCCCTACCTGAAAAGATTTTGATTTGGATAAATTTTCAAAATGGTATCTCTATTTCAGATAGAAATTATTTGTATTGTCAAGATCACTGTGGAAAGAAAATGCTATTTTTCATTAAGCCCTACACAAAAAAACATCAAGCATAGTGTTTCTAGTTAGTGTAGGAATTGGTTATTACCATATTTGTTTTATAGGACTATGGCAGCAATATTTCTTTATATAAATTCCTAAACACTGTTTTTAAAAGCTGCTTCTGAGTAGCTTTGGAAGTGTCTGAGACTATTTTGAAATTTCTCTCAGGTTTACTGTATTAATTGCTTTGAAGCTGTTTCTTAGGTATTTTGGCAAAGGTTAATAGAGATGTTTGATGGGACTGTGATTGAGCCTGATGATACTAATTCTTAAATGTTATCTTTTTTGGGGAGATAGTGAGGAGGTGAGGCAGAGATTTTTCTGAGGAGGAAGAGAGGTGGTAATGTATAAACAGGAGAAGCACAGAAAGTACACCACAAGGGAGGGAGTTAAGACTAAACATCTTTTTCCTAACTAGTCACACATAATTGAACACTTTATTCCTTTTCTTTTGGTTTATAATGGAAATATAGTATGACTTTCTGTTAGTCAAGGAGTCTTGCTATGCAGCATTATTGAATTTGTCATTTTTGTTAATTTAAGGTTCGATGTGGAAAAGGAATGTTCTAAAATTGATGAAAGCTGTGAAGAAAGTAACTCAAAATCAAGATTCTTCAATAGGCCAAGTCTGCCTATTATCAAAAATACAATAGACACAACTGGTAATGTCTTAGAAACATAATTTGTCTTTAATTGTAATAATGTGTTGTAGAGTGTGAATACAAGTTGAAGAGGTATATCATATAGTTCGTGTCTTTATTTTTCGGCCTCTAGATATGCTGGAAGGTGTTAGGTCATCAACTGAGCTTGAAGGCATATTCAAAAAAATTCTAGTCTTGATGTTAATAATCATTTAGATTGTTTATATTGTGTTTAGGTTGAGAGCTCTGGGTAAAGAAGAAAAGCATACATCTGGTATTATAAATGAATGGTAGAGGTTAGCCAACCGCTTTCAGCTAGCACTCTGAATTGTATGCCTATCAGAAGAATTTAGGTTTTACTACAAAAAATAAAATACAAATTTGTCTTTTAGTAAACCACATGCTTTTTAAAAACAATATGGAGATTATGACATTCAAAGTATTTTAGCTGACGGTGTTTTGATTACATCTGCACAAGTTATTAGTTGTTGTTATGTGGAAATATTTTTTGCTAGGAATGACAAAGAGAGAGAAAATCTTTGTTGCTATTCGTGAAAAAGAAAAGGGCAATGAAGCCTTTGCCATTGGCGATTATATGGAAGCAGTGACATATTACACTCGGTGAGTAAATACTCTTGTGTTCTTATATTTTAATGACTGTTACTTGTGAATATTATGTTTAGAGCAATGTAATTGAAGTAACCAATGACAATTAGCTTATTTTCAAAAGGGCAAAAAAGATTTGACAGAAAAATACTTAAAGCACTGTTCCATACTGATACTAATTTTTGTTTATCAGGAAGAGACGTAGCTAGTGATGAAATGCAGTGTACAGGTGTCACAGACTTCTTCAGATTTTTCAAACAGTTGAGATTCAAGGGCATGTTTACAAAAACAAAAGGATAAGCAGCGTGTTCAGAAACTAAATTAATTGTAATTAAGTGTTTTTGTAGGATTGTCTCATTGGTAGGATTGTCTCAAGTGTGAATAAGTGCAATTGCTTCTATAATCTATTCTTAGGAGATTAAAAAAATCATTGTTTGCAGCTTAATCATAACACTGTAATTAGTAACAGTCCAGAAAAAAAAGTGTGTGAACACAAGATTAATAAAAATAAGACCTTTAAAAAGTGCTCGTCTTATTTAGTGCTCAGTGGACTACATTCAGACTTTGGCTTTATTTATGTAAGTAGAGGTTGTTGCTACAGGACCTCTTGTATTTGTTTCAAAAACAGAAAAGTCCAAGGTGAATGGAATTGAGTGCACAGCTTATCCCACCATCTCTCTTATCCCACTGAGACAGGCCTTTTATTTTTTTATTCTTTTTTTTGTTCCCCATGTTCCCTATGCATTGTGCATTTGTGTACAAACACTTGATCTTGTCCGTCCTCAGTCATGCTTTTTTAATAAGGAAAGTGTGAATATGCCAGTGTGCTGTGCCCCCACCACTTTGCTATTGCCCACTCTTCCCAGTGAACTCAGTTTAGGGTTGTCCTTGCTGGGTTAGCAAGGGTGTTGGCAAACATTCTCATGCACTCCTTTGTCATGTGCATCTTAGCACCCAGTGCTGCCGGAGTCTTCCCCCTTTACAAGCAAGATCAAGGAGAAGCCCATTGGTGCCCCTCACCCCCCAAGCTCTTCACCATAACCTGCAGAGCTCTGTGGTTACTCTTGGCACTCTCAAAGGTTTCATTTGACAGGTTTTTTGGAGCCTACATGATGGCAGGAAGAGGGAGTAATTTAAGTGACAGATGAACCATAGCATCTTCTGTGCAACATCTCAGGTCTAAGCCCTGGCAAGCAATAGGCCTCTGAAGACAGTAAACTAGGTGGTGGATGGTTGCCTCTGGTCTCACAGGAGGGAGTTTCTAACCACTGCTGTGGTTAGAATATCAGTATTAATATTGTTATAATACTGTTTTCAGCTTTTAGTAGTGAAGAGTTTCTACCTTCAGGTTTTCAAATTATCAGCCCACCATGGTTAGTATTCCCTTTTTTTAGGAGTATATCAGTAATACCGACTGCAGCTGCATATAACAACAAAGCTCAAGCAGAAATCAAACTTCAGGACTGGGACAGTGCTTTGGAGGATTGTGAGAAGGTACTAGATATGGAACCTGGCAACGTAAAAGGTAAAGTAGAACATAAAGTTGCCCTTCTATGTACTATTTTTTCTCTGGCAAATAAGATGGTATATACCCATTCATGTTGTTAGTTGACTTAACTGAGCTTTAGATTAGGTCCAAGTATAATTAAGGAAACAGTGTAGCTCCTAAAAGTAATTTCAACAGTTTTTTGGGGAGTTAGGGATGTTTTATGCAGTTCATCCTGTTGATCTGTAATGAGTATTCTTATATGGTGGCATGGTGTTAACTCTTGTTTGTTATATAATGACTGTAAGCCCTCTTGTATTCGTACAGCGTAATACTTCCATAATGCCCACACTGAAATATTAATTAACTTGAAAGCTACATGAAAACAATGAAAGTTGCTGATTTAATCCTTTGTGAGGGCAAGGACTTGAATGTAGCTAACTGTATTTGCATGGGTGTAGGGAAAAAAATTTAATAATATGAAAAGATGCTTCAGAATTCATAATTGCTGTCTGAAAAGATGTCATGTGAAATTGCATTATTAAAAATTATCAAGAGAACAGTTATTACGAATATAGAGTCATTATGAAGTAAATGCGAAATTTAAAAAAACATATAGACACTTAATATGTCTAGAAAAAATAGTGTACTTTTAGCCACTTTATGCTTTAAATACATAACTAATACACTTTGTTCCTTTGTAGCTCTGCTGCGCCATGCTACTGTACACAGTCAGCTGCAGAATTATCAAACAGCCATAGAGGATCTGAATAAAGTATTGGGTGTTGAACCAGAAAACCCTATAGCTAAGGTAGAGATCAGTGAGTTGAATATGGCTAGAAAGACATTGTTTGGAATTGTAGCATAAAGTGAGTACAGTTTATGTTCTTTCATTTGAATATGAGTTTTCAGGACCCGCTCAATCTGCTGTGCCATTGATCAGTTTCCCAAGACCACGGGTGGTGGACATTAGGTACTTGTGGTCGGATCTTCTGTTCACAACTTAATTGTCAGAAAAAAATCTTCTCTATTGATTTAGATAATTTAGGTGCCTAAAAATTTGCTGTTGAATATGCTTTCAGTATTAGTGTCCTAGCTGATAAAAATTATTTGGAAATTTCTCTGAAAAAGATCCATTGGGATAGGTGCATTTAAATTTGACACATAATCAAAAGAAAATTCAACAGAGATGCCAAGCTTTTATTGTTGTAGTGGTAAAGTCAACACAAAAGGAGAGGACCTGGGTTCTGTCCTCGCTTCAGCATGATCCTCATCTCTCACCTCCAGGCTAGAATACCTTTGATACCTTCTGATAAATCTGGACCCTTCATAGCTAATTTTGGATCTAAGAAAGCCAGATACTTTCTTTGAAAATCAAGGTCAGGATGTGGTCCTTGCGCTATTACTTCAGCTGTTTAGGAGAGGATTGATTTGGGTATCCTGGGGGTGTTTTGGTATCTTGGGGGTGTTTTGTGGGTTAGAACACAGTCCTTGCACTGGGACTCTACATGTCCTGACCATCTTCAGTACTGGGCAGTTTTGATAGTTAACTGCTCTTTTTCTGTTATTTATGACTCCATCATACTGATTCCCCCCACTTTTTTTGCTTATGACTTCTGAATGCTGTTGAATTGTCTCATCACCTGAATTCTGTCCAGTTCTTGTTGGTGGCATAGTGTAAGCTGCCAGCAGCTGCTGATTGCTGCTTCTTTCCATGGAGTTATTTGATGACTGCTATTGCTTGAACCAGTGAGAGAGGTACAAGTCTGTTGTGTCAAATTCACACACAGCATTCATGCCTTCTAAGGTGTTCTTGGAGATAAATTCCTCTCCAGAATAGTTCCTGAGTTTCACATTAACCAAGGAATTACATCTGTCTTGAGATTTGAGTTTCTAAAAGAGATTTGGGGTTTTTTTTTCTGTTTACAGGAGTGAATCACTAAGTAGCTCGTGAGTCTGTGATGAAAAACTCCACAACACTCTTTGTGAAAAGTTGTATCAAACAGGCTGTGCTGAGACTTCTTTCAATACCAGACATAAATACTGATTTTGAGTACACTCTTCCAGAGATCTGAGTGCATTAGTTCCTTTGCTGAGCAATGCTTTTGTAGCTCAGAGCAGATGTCTGTACTTTGTCCTTATCTCAGCTATTATGCCTTGGCTGGCACATCTAGAAATGACAAGTGCTTAGCAGGGCATTTTTTTCAAGTTGCTCTTTGCTTGGAGGATCCTCAAAACCCTCTTGAGCTAAATATGAGTGTATGAAACATATACAGAGTGTATGTTTATGTCCAGAATCCCTAACAGAAAAGTAAATTGGTTGTCAGTAACTGAATTTCCTCAAGGTACTTTGTCCATGTGAATCTTTGCTTCATGCTGTTCTTATTTTTGTCTTGAGACAGGGAGTACTGAGATGGCACTTCCTTGCACAGCATTGAATTAGATTCAGAATAGTGCATAATGTTGGGTGTATCTTACTCTGCTCTGAAAGTGTAAAGTGGTTTAGGAGTTCAAGGGTTACAGTGACAGTGCAGGTTGATGGTTGGACTTTATGATCTTAAAGGTCTCTTCCAACCTTGACGATTCTATGATTCTAAGTGCAGTTAAAATTGGGATTTTTTGAGTAATAAAAAATGTTATGGAATGAGAAGCTGTTTGATCATCTAATTGTAGCTCTTACAAGAAGAGCAAACCCTTTCATTATTCAACAGTGACCTTCTGCTACACTATTAAGACATGGTTGTCTCTTGGTTCTAATTTTATCAGTTACATTCCCCCATCAGACATCAGACATCACCATAGCATAAATTTTGATTTTGACTTTAGGCTATTTTGGAGATTTTTTAGAGAGCCTGTTTTCTACATGTGTCTTCTTAGTAGATCATGCCCGATATCAGAATAGTAAATCTTTTTTTCTTTCAACTTTTTTTTTGCTTAAGCAGTTAATTCAAGAAAAATGCTTATTTATTTCTGTGATATCTTCTGAGAGAGACAGAAATTGAGTGTTAATCTTGCTTTTGATACCAACTCTTGGGAAATTCACATTTATTTACTATCTTTTTATATTGGTAAATCTTGATAGTTCTTCAGGATCTCATGTGCATTATTTAATAGAACGTATTTGCTGTATATAAATAATAATTTATATACAAAATAAAAAAGGCTTCTGCTATTCCTGGTTTTTTTTCTCTGTTCTAGAAAAATCTGCTGGAGATTGAAGAGAAACTGAAAGGTTTAAAGTCTGTATCTGAGATTCAAGGCAAAGGAAAACGAATACTTATTCAAGAGATAGAGGATTCAGAATGTGATGAAGAAAGAGGAGAAAATACAGAAGAATGTGAAAGAAGTGGCAGAGATAAAAGTAATGTCATGTCATTTCCTATTTTATTTTAACCTGAGGAAAAAATGTTGCCTTTGACGTTGCAGTGTTTATTCATCCATATCTGCTTTCAAAGAATTTTTCCTGTTTGAAGACTAGAATTACACTCACAACGTAAAGTAGATCCAATTGTGAATCTAGAATCCAGTTTTATTACACATCTTTGGAATTCTTTCTGTAATGGATATAACAGAGACAGAGGGAACATGTTGCTATAAATCACCTAGTTCTCTGTACCCTGTGTAATTTTATACCTGTCCTTTGATGTGGACCCAGTAACAAATATTTTTTGGTGTTAAAGAATATTTTGTGTTTCTTTGATCCTTCTCTCACACAGCTCTCCTGCGTTCCCATGTCATATTTTGGTTCTGCATTTTTCTTCCCTTGATTGGATCAAACGATGTAAAAATGATCAAGTGGTCTGTAACTTTTGTTGTTGTTTGTTTTGAAAACTATCAATCTTTTTTTGGTTTTTAATGAAAGGGTAATGAGACGTGATGGCAGTGACTTCTATGTTTTATGTGCCTACATAGTTCTTGGTCTTGAAATTAAATCGGTCTGTGGGTTTTCCAGCTTAATCATGAATATTAGACTGTACATATGTGATATAATGACGCATTATTTGCAAACAAGTTTAAGGAAAATACATTTTTCAAAATCAGTTGGTGTCCACTAAGTATCCTCAGATATAACCCTGGAAGAAAGGATGGATCATGTCCCTAGCCTTAAATATCAGTTAATTTGGGCTTGCTTTCTATTGGGAACATTCAGATGACTATGTGCCTTCTAGCTCCATAGGAAGACTCCCATTCTGTTGATGAAAGGTTAGGCTTTTAAGCATAGGGAGGATTGTCAACTGACGTCAGTGGCATATGTGTTCATGTGAAATTCTTCACTGTTTTTGAGATTTAAGTGGCAAGCATCGTCATAGATTACTCCGTGTTTTCTTGTGCAACTGGAAACAAATATGAATTTAGTTCAGTTAACGAATAAAAATGTTCTGTGAACCTAACAGCAGTAGGTAGACTAAACATCTTGTATGTCTTCTCTATACATCTGGTCACGCAGTCACTGGCAGTCCAGTAGTCCATGTAGTCCTGTCATGTAATCACATTTATTTCACATTCTAGTTGGTAAGCCTAATGCATTCTTACTAAGCTTACAGTTTAGAGATTGCGGGAAAAAATCAAAATATTTTTCGTTTTCTTTAGCCCTGAAGAGCTACTGTGTTTCTGTTTCATGGCCTTACAGTGAGTAAGGTCTTCGATTTCCATTTTGAAGTTTTTGATTTGTTGAGAAGCAAAGTATGTTTGATAGGAGACAATTAACTATCAGTTGTGCTTGCTGTAGTATTTTTGGCATTCCTAGTATTGCTTTCTGCTCTTCTCTACCACTGAGGCTCTGAGGTAATTGAGATTAACCAACCTATAATGTTGGTTAATGCATACTGACTGCTCTGTATCCTTAATCTCCTGGCCTTTATGCCAAATATGAATTCTCACCTATACAACTCCTGATTTGTATTAGTCTGTGTGACTAGAATGTTACTGTCATAGAAGTTTCTTTGCCATTGTAATCTTGAGTAATTCCTTCTACTCTGTTCTTCTTATGGCTAGAAGGCTTGTTGATGAGGTCTTGTATGAAGACATTTGGCCACCTTGTTATCTGATGCAATAATTATTCTGTATTCCATGATCCTCTTTCCAGTGTGTTTGTTCATTTAGTATTGTTGCTTTGGGGTTTTTTTTGAATTGTAATCTCTCTGAAGAAGGAACCCTTATTTATAATTCATTTGTACAGTGTGTAACACAGTGGGGCCCAGCCTCTTGCTTTTAGGCTCTATTGCAAGCTTGCAATATGAAAATTTTGTACACGTTAAAACAAACAATATTGAAAATGCACTCTAACATTGCATTTGCAATGCATATCCTGAAGTTAAGAAAACCCCTCAATTACAGTGTCAGTCATTTTTCATTTTTATAAACAGAGATCAGAGTTATTTGAGAAGTTTGTTTTATTTTCTGGTTCAGAAAAATCCAGGTACAATCTCAATAATCTAAACGAAGAACACATAATACAAAAGAGATACTTGCTGACAGTGTGTGGCAAATGAAGAAAAAATATTTTAAAATTTTAGAAGTTCATCTGTAGAGATTTGGAACATTCCAGTTGCCTTCATATGTAGGTAGTCCAGAGTGGATGAAAGAGTTGAAAATGTTTACGAGCTTCATAATAGGTGAATTCACTGTGAACTGAACTTAGATACATTGTTTTTCATTCTGCCACTGTTATTCTTGTACCATGCTTCTGGAGGATAAATACTGTGTAGCTGGAAATTAATTTTAAATGAAAGACAATGGCATCCATTAAAGAAACCCCAAACTGCAAATATTCCTTTTGGAATATTCAGTAGGGTTTTTTTTTTTTTAGGTTTATGATGGTCTTTCCATTTTAAGTTTCTTACTGTAGTAGTAACATAAATTAAAATTCTTTCTAGATTTTATTTGTTGTCATTCTGGTCAAAATTCTGCCCATACTTCTCAATACCTTTCTTAAATTTTCATTGGAATTTATAATGCATCTAGATTTTTTTATTTATTTAAGAGAAGTTCATAAGTGCTGATTTTTTTTTTAGCCCAGAATACTGCTTTCACGAATACATTTCTTTGCAGAGACCAATACAAGAACTTTGTTTATGTTATAAAAACTGAAACTGAAAGACAGTGAGAACTATATTTGAGAAATATATCTGTACAGTTTTGTGCATGTTGTTTACTAAGTCCAGAAATATTTAGGCATTAGTATTACCTACCAACTAAGCAAGGTAACTGTGAGTATTCCTATTTTCCAGGGCACTCCAAATGCTATGTTTCCAGTTTAATTCAGGACTGGTTCTGTGCACTTCATCTTCAGGAAATTTTCTTCTCTATTCAGGAAGTGATGGTCACATTAATGACATTCACATCACATTTTATCTGCCTCCCTTGGTTTTTCTTTGTCTCTAGCAGTTGGGATGCTTTTCGAGAGTGTTTCACTGTGTTTTCTAAAAACTTGTCCTATTACCTGTTTGTCTGTGACATTTGTTTTATGTTTTGTTGAATGTATGTATAAATAATTAAGTTTTTTAAAAATGTCTGTGTGGGTAGATTTATCATATTATTGTACCCACATGGTATTTCAAAACAGACACCACAGCTAGGGAAGGGGCAGTTGAAGCTTTTTTCTGTTAGACACTAGAGAATTTATTGTTTTTAAAATTTTTATGCTTTCCCATCCTGTTCAGTTTGATTTCAGTAACATTTTGCTCATTAAAAATATAAATTCGTTTGTAACGACCTGAAAATCATCCATGTTAAGTCAACTTCAGATGTTTTGTTTGAGTCAACTGGAAGTATCACTCCAATATATGAAGGCATGAAAAACTTCTGTTGGATAGATAAACATTTCAAGTTAAGGGAAGGTGAAACCCCAGCATCTTAATAGTACCACAACACGGAGTTGCCTTTCTGTGAGTACTAATATCAAGACTCAGGCACTCTGCAGAAATCTCTACTTGAATGCTGCGACAATAATCTGGTAGGGATTCAGGTGAGTAAGGAAAATGGAGATGTTATTATCTGATACCCTTGTTCTATAATTTTTCCTAATTAAATTGGTAATAAATAATAGTGCAAGTTGAATGATCAGAAGTACGTATGAGGGATTTTGACATGATGTTTAAATGAAAACTCCATAAGAAGGATTTAGAAGCTTTTATCTCCCCTCTTGTGTGTTGTATTTGTGGAGAGTTTTGAAGTGTACAACGTTACTGGTTTGTTGGCTGTGTGATCTAATTTTAGCATGCAAGCATTTTGATTTGGTCATGGAAAATCAAAGTATCCGTGTTGTAATAGCCAGTATGTAAAGAGTTAATTTCAAGGTGAACTCTACCATTCTAACACTACAGGATAGGGGTTCCCATGTGCCCAGCAAGGAGAAATGACATTTCATAGTAACACCTTCTCAATAACAATTGTGAATTACTTGTAAGTAGGAATTTTCCTGTGTCCTTGGAAGTGTTTTCTGAAGCAGATAAATCTTGGTAGCATTAGGATACCTGCAGGATTTGGCCCCCTGTCCTTTGGCAGGCCCCCCCCCCCCCCCCCCCCCCCCCCCCCCCCCTCGCCCCCCCGCGTCTGCCCCCCCCCCCCCCCCCCCCCCCCCCCCCCCCCCCTTGTTGGCAGGACGATAGTTCGTTCCGATGATGCAAGCTCCAGCCCAGCTCATTAACTTCCTTGCAGGAACCGGTGTGCCAGTGGCAGCGGAGGCAGCGGCCGGAGAGCCCGCGATGGGCAACGCGCACAGAAAGTTCCGTAGTAAAGGAGGCGGCGGTAAGGCGGAGGACAGAGAGAAGCAGAAGCAGAAGGAGCCCACTGAGAGCGGATTAAAAAAAGACACATCAGAGAAGAAACCAGGAAAGCATTTGTCAGACCATGAAGGTGAAGTTAATGGCTATTTACACAGCGATCAGAAGAGTGAAAGCTCTGAATCTGGGAGCTCCAGATGGTATACCGCAGGGTCTCAGTGGGCTGGTGGTGCCAGTTCTACTTCACTTCCCCCTCTTGCAGCAAAACTAAAAAGTGAAGGAAACGAGTTATTTAAGAGTGGACAGTTTGGAGAAGCTGTGCTCAAATACTCGGAAGCAATTGAATATGTCATTGGTCTAGGTGAGTGTAATATCTTATACTTAAATCCAGGACTGTTTAGATGATTTAAAGGAACTACCGATGAACTAAATTAGTCTGTTGCTGATTTTTGGCAGGAGTTACTGTGCAGTAAGTTCTCATTTCAGTAGACAGCAATTCGTGTGACAGAAAATATAGGAATAAAAGTAATGTTTTAATTTCCTTGAGACAGAGCTTTTGGCATTTATTTATGTTTGAATAATTACGTGTTCTAGGTGACATGATAAAGAAAAGCTCCTTACAGCTTTGCAGTGTCAGCAAACTGCATCACTGCAGTGCAACTTGGAGCAGGCAAGTCTTTAATTCTTGAGTGTCATTTTAGTAATGGTCTTTGATTTTAATTGTAACTTCTTTTAGGAGAACGAAGTCCAGATGATTTAAGTATCTTGTACTCAAACAGAGCAGCATGTTACCTCAAAGAAGGGAACTGCAGTGACTGCATTCAGGATTGTAACAGGTAAATTGAAACCTCCCATGTAGAGCAACATTCCTGATGATTAAACATTTAACTGATATATTACTATTGCAGTTTGACTCAGAAAAATATCAATAAGGTCTGATTCCCTGTCTAAATGACAGATATCTTTGTCAGTTATGTAAACAGTCACATGGAACCTAGGGAAGGAGCAACTTTTAACTTACTGTCTTGCTGTGTAAGGGCAGTTCTTAAGCTTCTTATGTACATAGAGATGCGTAGCAGGATTAAAATTTTTAATGTAAAAGCAGGTTTACAATGGTGTTCTGCAATAACTTATACGTAAAAGCTTTGTTAAGCCAGATGCTTATCACAGAGTTGGAAATTGCTTTCAAGCATGTGTATGGTATATATGTGTGTGTCCTCTGTGTTTGGTTTGTTGTTTTGATTTGGGGTTTTTTAATATATACTTTGCATAGTTATAAACAGTAATTACAGCTGTTCAGGAATTGAGCTGAAGTCCTTTCTGCTTATTCTGGCTCTTAAGGATACAAGAGTTAGAAAAGATCAGACACCTTCAATAACTTCCAGACATTGCCTTCCACTAAATTATTACTGTATTTCTGATATATATTTTTTAAATATTTTCATAGATTGAGTTAGTAATGCTGAGGCTTAAGGTGCAAAAAAGTATCCTAAAGCAATTAGAAATCATATTAATTAATCAGTTGAGTTTTTGTACAGCACAACTCAGCTGCTAAAAGCTTCCAAAACTAGAAATAAAATAAGCATGTACCTTTGTAGTAACAAAATATTTAACTTACTGTATATATTCTACCTGACAAAAAAGTTTTCTGAAAAAAAGACTTGTTAGCAGTATTTTGTTAAAACATGCAGGACTATGGTCAGCTGGTCAATAAGTTGAGAACCATCACATTTTTCTGTCCAGGATGTTTGATGTGTGTAAGACTTCAGCTGAAATGGTTTTGGGTTTTGTATTCTTACCAACTGGGAGCTTATTTTCATACTACTTAATGATAGTGTCCTTACTGTCGTGCTTATTTTCTGAATATACAAGTACCCATGATGCTTAGTGGTAGAAATAATTTAGAGACTGGGAAGCAGGAATGCAAAACTACAAACGTGTAAATTAGACAATGTCAAACAAATCTTCCCTAGGCAACACAACATAAAGAAAGATCTACAAATAGGTTACTTGATTTCAAAGTAAAAAATTCTGTAGTGCTGACACTTGTGATATGAAAATAAGTATTTAAAATTTATCTTTTATTGAGTTTTAGCTATTTGGGGCTTAGAATTGTATAAAAACCCCTGTGTTGGATCTCTTGTCTCAAGACTGTGGTTTGGTGTGCCTTTGATTCTTGTTGCAAAGAGTGAAAGAAGGCTCCAATGTACCGATGTAAATTTCTTCAGTACTATTGTGTGTTTTGGTCCCTGGCTGTATCATCTTTGCACTCTACCCTGAATATGTAGTTTTCCATTCCCACTATTCTTCAAGCAGTGTTGTCTTCTACTGAATTTATTTATGGTTGTTTTTTCCTTCATTCTTGAGGTTAGAAACTTGAAATTGTGTTAATATTCTTCTGAGTTACAGAATTTCAAACATTTTTGCAGACGTTTTGTAGAGGCTGTGATGTTGTGCGCAGTTGTAGCAGCATAAAAGAAATGAACATTTGAACTATTTATGTGAAATTCAAAATGTTTTTTCTAGAGATCATAGTTTCTCTAGCTTTAGAAGGAGTAATGATGCAAAGCCAATTTACAGGAGAGAAGGCCAGCAGCCTCCTTGCGCTTATAAACAGGAGCACAGCCAGTGGATTGAGAGAGGTGATTATCCCCTCGTAGTCAGGACTTGTTAGACAACACTATGATAACTTCTGGTTTTCAGCTTCCTCAGTACAAGAAAGACAGTGATCACCTGGAATGAGTTCAGTGAAGTGTCACAGAGCAGGTTGTGGACTCTCGAGTATTCCCTTAAGAGGAGAGGCTGAGGGAGCTGGATTTGTTCAGCTTAGAGGAGAATGGCTTCCAGGGGTTCTAGGAGCAGCCTACCAGTACCTATGAGGAGATTATCCACAGGTGGATCCTGGCTCTTTCTGTCAGTGGTGTGGGAGGACAAGAGGCAACAGACAAAAATAGAACCACACAAGGTTTGGGACTGTGTATTAGGAGAAACCTCCCCATAAACAGTGTGGGGCATTGCAACAGATTGCCCAGAGAGGTTGTGCAGAGGTTCCCTTGAACGTTTTCAAGGAGTCAAGCCCTGAGCAACCTTGTCTGATGTTGGGAGTTGACCATACCTGGGTTGAACCAGGGACATCTCAGCCTGAATTACTTTATGACTCTATGAAATCTAATTGTCTAGACTCATCTTAATTGCAGTATTTCAAAGCCGATCCTTCTTTCTCTTAAGCAAGAATCATTGATTGAAAAAAAAGTAGTCTTTAAGAAATAAAGCCTTTGTGGACTGCTTCATCATGTTGCTGGAAAAGCACATGGTGTTTGGGAGGACTTCTGATGGCACAGTGTTGAACTCTGTGTTCACCAGGCAGACAATCAGAAGAGTAAACAGACACAAGACAGGCAAAAACCCAAAAGCCAGAGAAAGACAGGTGTACATTCCTGTCTTACTGACTGTATTTTTTATGTGCATACTTTCCTGTAAGGAAGAAGAATTGAAAGTTACATAAGTGAAAGCACCATATACTTGTAACCCTCATAGGTCTAGGCATGTCTTAAGAAAATAGTTTTTTCACTTAAATAACTGCCATTACATTAATCATATCTCGGTGATAAATGCAGTTTTCCAGATAGAGTAGAGTAAACTGTAGTAAAAGCACTAACCATTTCAAAACTGCGTGTAATTTAGGGTATTCATGAATTTAGGGTGAACCACTTAGTCCCATTTTCCTTAGTTATGTTACTGGAAAGCCCATCTAAAATCACAAAGTTATGTATAGTTGCGTATATTATAAAATATTTTTATTATTATTATTTCAGTTACTCTGTTTTAATCCTGCATTTTTCTGTTGTTTTCTCCAGAGCTCTGGAGCTTCAGCCATTTTCCCTTAAGCCTCTTCTACGACGAGCAATGGCAAATGAGTCAATGGAGCGGTATCGACAGGCATACATTGATTATAAAACAGTCCTACAAATAGACAGCAGCATCCAAGCAGCAAATGATAGTGCTAATAGGTAACTCCACTTACAAATTTTCTGATATGAGTTAAAATAGAAAAGTAGACTTTAAATTTGTTTGTTTTACATGCTCCCTCTGTTCTGTATCCCTCATAGTTGTCATCACAATTAGTATATTAGAGGACTGGCTGTTTCATTTGGTTGTTTTCCCATAATTTCACAGTTTTCCTCTGCCAGCAGTAGGTAACTTTCTGTTTTTTAAAAATGTAATATTTTAAAGTTGGGGGTTTTTTTAACTAGTGCTTCCACTTGTTGTCTTTCCTAACTTGTATTTTGTACCCTATAAAATAATACTCTAAGGTCCATACTTTTTCTCTGACATTTCTGTTTACTTTTCATATTAACAATCTTTCTGTGGCAGTTGAAGATTTATGTTAAGCATGAATCATTCAGTATTCTGCAGTTGTGAAAACTCTGAATTAGCTTGATACCGTGGTTGGCTATAAAGAGGTGTAAAAAACATAATTGAATATTATCTTTGGCTTAAGTATTAATCTTCCAGCATTAATTCTTGCTGCCAAGAGAGGTTTGAATTTGTATAATTATATTTTAATATATAAAATCAGAGTATGCACACTATTGTAATTGTGTTCTTATTAACATAGAGTAAGTACATAAGTGTATGAATTATAGGATTTTTCCATTCCCTTTTCTTTCCTTTTTTCTTTTAATGGAGAAAAAAAAAAGTATATGTGAAAGCAGAACAGCCATTAATCATTGAGCAGGAACACACAAGCATGTGACTTTTAACAATGAAATCTAGTACCTTTTTTTTTTTCTATTTAAGGCAAGGCCATGAACACTTGCACTATTACTTCATTAAAAAGTCCATAATACCTTTCTTTAAATTCTGCTTATTTGGCCAGAGAAGATCATGACAGATATCATCTGTTCTTACAGTTACTGTTTTTGATAACACAAGGAATAGTAACTAATCTCCTGTATCTATGGTGATAATAGAGCACTTGGATTGGTGAGATAATTGCTTTTCCTGGTATTTATGTGATTATTACACTTCTTAAAAATCTTGTTGGCTTTTTTTGTCTGCAGATATTCTTTTAATATTTCTCCTTGACTTGTAACTTGCTTACTAATAAGCTTATCTCCCTTTTTCCCCTTAACACTCTTCCTTTTCTCCTCTCTAGGCCTTCCTTATGTTTTTAGCTTCACTGCTCATTACTCTTTCCTCCCTGGCAACCCATCACCTTATTTCAGCTGCTTCTTCCTTCTTCTCTTCTGCTGGTAATTCATTTTTGCTTGCAAATTGTTAGTTTCTAAACCATAGACCTCCTGCATAATTGAACTTTTACTATAATTTTTCTTTAATATTCCATCATTTATGAATTCAACTGAAACTGTTTACCAAAGTATTCATTTTAATTTCTGAAGTAAGAGGCCTTTCTAAAAACGAATTTTAATAAAACATTACAGTTACTGTGCTGCCTTTTAACTTAAAGGGGCAACACCAAAATGTAATTTAATTTTTTTTTTTTTAATATTAAGAATATCAGGTCTTAACAACCTGCTTATATTGGAGGATTTCTTTGATTTTAAGTTCCTCTGGGAAGTTGGATGGTGATGCTGTAGGAAGCTGATAGAAAAAACTCATCATCCTACTTGTGTCTGAGGGTGGGTTTGTTAAACCATGTTAAGTCTTGTCTCTCTGTGGTTACATATCTAAGCAGACTTTCAAAAAACCTTAGAATCAAATGCATATCTTTAATACTCACGTAAAAAACATGTAGACTTTTAGTATCAAGCCTTTACCTGATCATTTTGCAATTAAAAGGAAATAATTTGAGTGTAAGTACGAACAAGTATAAACAGTTATTTGCTTATCTTGTTTTTTAGATGATGTTGAATTGTGTCTTTTATTGGTTTCTGATGTGACTTTTTAGATAAATTGGAAGGACTGTTTCTTTTAATGGTGTGTGACAAGTAACTGGAAATTGCATTTCAAACATGCTTTTAATTAGTGGCATTTTCCTAGCTTTGTGAACATCAACGGATTTCCTACTTTATGTATTTTAATTTCCTCTTGAGTGAGTATTTTATTATTTGCTTTTCACAGTTAGAAATACGGAAGCTCTAACATGTAGGAATATATTCATGCAATTCCTCTTACTAAATGAAAGTTTCATTCCAGTTGTCTCAACTTCTTTAATATTAGTGAGGAAATCGCACGAGATAGCTGTATTCAGGTAGTATGTTTTTTACACCTGTGTTAGATGGAAATGCACCTTATATAAAAAATTTTAGGTTTCTTTGCTATAGTATCAATGTGACTTGCTTTGCTACTCAATTCAGAATTTTCCTCTGTTAAAGTGTGTATTAGACTTATGACCAGTTGAACTTGACAAGCTTATGTTGAGATGAGATGATGTTTATCTCACTATTATTCTCATAATTGATTAAATTTGTTCGTTTTTTTTTTTGAAAAAAAATTACAAAATTTCTAATGGAACCATGAAGTCTCATGTGGCTTCACTTACTGTGTTAACTTTGGTCTTTGAAATGTAGCACGGCAGTGGGAAACTCCCACTTGAATGGAATTTGGATTGAGCCTCTCATGGTCTGAAGTAGTTGACCTATATATATGCATTGGTTTAAGAAAGACTGAACAGTTTTTATATACAATGAAAATGTTTTTAAATGGGGATAAGGAGTGATTGATTAATGAAATTCTGACTATAAAGCTCTAAAACACCACTTAATGCAGGCTACGTTGTGACCTGCATTGGTTATTTAGACAATTATTGTTTCATTTGACATTTGCAAAGTTAGGTACGACACTTTGTCTGAGGATATTGTAATCTACATTTGTTATAAATAACACCTATGAACACCTGAGAAGAATAAACAAAATAAATACATCCATTTTTTTCATATTTCTTTACTGGATGTGGTAGGAAGCATTTAGAGCTTAGTTGCAGAATCAGTCATTGGCTTAAACATTAACAGGTCTTGTCTTCTAAATGCCAGCATAAATACTCTAAAAAGTGGAAAAAGTCTAAACCTTAAATGACTTCAATACCATTGACAACTGTGGAAATATTTTTTAAAATTAGTCTGAAGAATAGTTGTTCAGTTGTTTTTTGAAGAATTAGAACATTGCATTATTTAATTAGGGTGTTAGTTATTGAAGTGTGAGTTAAATATATGAAAAGTCATGTTGGTGGGGCTGTTCTCTTTCAGAATAACGAAGACTTTATTAGATCAGGATGGTCCCAGTTGGAGGGAGAAACTGCCACCAATTCCCGTTGTTCCAGTTGCTGCTCAGCTACACAGGTGGGATGGAGGAAACTCCACTTCAGAGAATAAGCCAGGAAGTACTATAGACATCAACAGAGAAGAACAACTGGAAATAAATTGTATGTATAACTAATGCAAATACATATACAAAAAGAAGAAAATAATTTTAATTGAAAGATGGAATATGTTTTAGTAATGTCAAAGAAACTGCTTTAGAAAATACTTTTCAGAGACCTTTGTGAAAAGCCAAAGTAGATGACTGTCATTTACATGACTGAGTTTAATGTGCTTTATGGAGCACAGGTATGATGATTTTTTTAAACCAAATGATGTAGTTTGCAGCATGTAATTTCTGAAATTATATAAAATCAGCAGAAATACTCATCGGCAGTATATTGACTCATATAATGAACATCAGGTATAGTTATATGTCTGACATCATAGTATAGTTATAAAACAGTTTTCTCCCCAAAAAACACCACCCAAACAAACATCCAACTTTGACAGAAGACATTTAGGAGTCATCTTTCAAATATGTCAGTTCTGCACTTGTCTATACATAATCACTGAGTGCTAAACTCTAGGAAACTAACTTCCTTCCTGATTTTTTTTTCTCTTCATTGCAGTTTCCATTTTTCTTCTTCACTAAATCAGATGAAGTAACATTTCTGGTTCATATTTGATTGACATTAAACATTCTTTTTGCAAAGGCCTTAACTCTATGATATTTTTACTCAAGTATTAATTGGTTCCCCTTTGAGTTTATTTCAATATAAACAAAAGTAGTGCTGAAGCTACTCTCCCCTTGATGAACACAGAAGTGGCTGCGGTGCATAACTGGGCTATTGGCCAAATGTGTAACAGTGATGGGGTTATCTGTCCATAATGCATTGTTGCAATACTGAATGTCCTCTAAGTGCTTGTCTCAATCTGTTTCAAATAGAGCAGGCTTTGGTTAGGCTTTGATTTTAGAAATGTTAAATGAAGGCTGTGTAACTCTTTTCTTCACTGAAGGACGGCTGACTCTAAGGTTCTTGTTGCCTTCTCAGGACTCTGCTGCATGTGAGACCTGACAGTGGTAGCTGGTGCTGAAAGCCTGCCAGCAACAATGTTCAGTCAGCAGTTAAACCTTACTGTTGGCTGACGCTTTTTTGCGACAGTTGTGTCTTGTTTTGTGTGTTGTGCAACTTGAGTTATAATTTAGTTGTGTGTTTCATGTAGTTTCCTAATTTTTTGCCGAGTTCAAGTTTTCTGGCACAGGAGACTGCCATGTTTTTATAAAAGAACTCACTGAGTTTAATTATTGGTTAAAATTGACAGGTTATATACAGTGTTGAATACCTGAAGCTTGGCAAGGTGCTTATACTCTTTAGCAAGGTGCAAAAAGTAGATTATAATTTACTTAGAGCTGTGTTGGTACTTACTGTTTGCTTACAGCAGAGACACGAAACACAGTCAGGATCTGTTTTTCACCGCAAACACAGCTAAAAATTGCAGTGTAACCCAAAAGCATATGAAACAAATGATGTGGAGTTAAGAATGAAAGGCAATTATGGTATAACACAGTATTGATAAAAAAATAGTGTAGTTAAGTGTTTCCAAGTTCCTCAAAGCATCTTTTATAAATTGTATTAACACAATGTAACTGAGATATTCCTAACTCCGACTAATGTGATGATTTGTTTGTCATTATCAGCATAGTAATTGTGATAGTTACTTGCAGGAGGAATATCAGATCAAATTATGGCCCCCTTGGTATAACGGTAGAGATCTAGAAGGCCTTTAATACTGATGATTAAATCTCCACCATTGTAAGTAAAACTAACATCTCAGTGGAGATAGGTAGGCCCTTTCTACCCTCTAGAAGGAGGTGAAAGCTTAGAGCTGTCTGTTGCATTCCCATTATTTTCACCCTGGTGCATGGGGAGAAGTATGTGTTGAGCCAAATGTAGATATGGTAGTTTATCCCTTTTTTAGAGCAGCGGGGAGATAGGGGACAGAAATGGCAATGTGCAGACTGATAATGACACTCCAGTTGCCAGGCTTTTATTCTTAGTCTGCACAGATTATTCAGCTACCCTTGATGAACTGACCTTCTTATGTAACACTGTGATCCCTTTGTGATGTAGGTGAGGAAGCTATGGAGAAGTTCAAGAGATTGAAAAATGAAGGGAATGATTTTGTAAAAATGGGGGAATATGACGAAGCCATAAATAAATACAGTGAATGCATGAAGTTAAATGCTGAGGAATGTACGGTCTACACTAACAGGTAAAAATCCAAAATCTAACTCTGCTTTGTGGGATATATTTTCTCACTGCAAATAGAGATTTTACATCCCGTCAGTAACTGTTGTGAAAAAGGAATTTTTTTCCCCACTTGATAAGTATTTCTAATAACAAAGCTGATTTTTTGTTAAACCACATTATTTTCCAAGGGGAGCAACTATTAATGTCAGTGATATATATCTTAAAATCTTTTATCTAAATAGAGTAAGCAATAGTAAAAGTTACAATTAACATAGCATAGTGCAGCATTTTTTGAGAATACTGGCATGATTTGAATTAAAAACTTAACATGCAATAGTAGTACCTCAAATATGAAGAGTAATAATTCAGAGAAAATGTACATTCTGAGAAAATAAAAGTAGGAACACAGTCATACATCAGCATTATTTTAAGGGTTGACCTAATTCTGTAGTATAATTCTTTATGCTGTAATCTTATCAGCTTTCACAAACTAAGAAGGATTTGATTAGATCAGTAGTTGAATAGGAGACTTCCAAGTAATAATTAGGTGCAGAAAGCAATATTGTTTATTTAGTCTAGAGCACTTTTTTACCCAGAATGGCTGTAAAATAATCCATATTACCACTATACTATCATTTTATTATTATTTATTATATTTTATTTATCATTTTACATTAACCTCTGTACTGTCATATTGTCCTAACATAGCCTCTGCTTTTAAAATACTTGCATATCTGCCTAACTTGGAGCATTAGTCATACTTGAATTTTGGCTTTTATTGCAGGAATTGCCCTCTCTAAATCCATCCAGTGATGTTCTTAATACTTAATGATTTTGATGTACTTTAAAAAAATACCACATTGAGACTGAATTGTGTGAAGTATTGTAATTAACATTTACGAGTCAGATACTGTTAGCACTACAACACTGTAGAATTTACTTATATTGCAGTGTATTCTGTTTTTCTGTGTTAGAGCTCTCTGTTACTTGAAACTGTATAAATATGAAGAGGCTAAGCAGGATTGTGATCATGTTCTTCAGATAGAAGATTCTAATATTAAAGCTTTTTATAGAAGAGCACTAGCGTACAAAGGATTACAGGTGAGGAAAAAGAACATGGCAGGTATCCTTAAGCACCTCTAAACTTGCTTATCCTCTTCAAAGGCAATGAGGTAGTTGCAGTCGATGGGTGAAAGCAAACAAAGTACACAGTGTGATGATCTATTACTTTGTAGAGCGCTATACATAGATAAAACATTATATAAATATTTTTTCAACATAAAAACCTGCATGTTGACCTGTAATGATTTGAGAAAACACAAGAATATTGGAATAATGAGATTTGACTGGAGATTGTTTAAACAAGTTTCAAATCTCTTCTAATATCCTAATATCCTGAGTATCCCAGTCGTTTCTTCCTGTCAAGGTGTTTACTATAACTTTGCTGATGACAAATGGATTCTTTCCAAGTCTGTCTTTATCTGTCCAAACTAAAATCTCAGGCTGTCTTTGGGCATCTGTTCATGTTTAAGTGCCTGTCATATTAAACCAGGGTTTTAATTATCTTTGTTTTCTCTCTCTTCTTTCCCCAAAGACATTATGAACCTTTGTCAGTAATGTACTTTGTGGAAGTGTTGGTATTCAGCCTTTTCCTTTCCATCTGCACAGTGATGTAGATGTCTGTACAGTGCTTATCTTAACATAGAATTCTTAGAGTATGCTTTTACCTGAGCATCATAAATGCAGACTTAGATTGCTCATATCCATCCTAAATGTGACTGCAGCCCTTATGTTCTATCACTTGAACTACACTGCTCCTTTTGTCCATCCCTCTGTTGGTTCCCCTTCTTTGGTGATGTTAAATTATCCCCTACACTTCATAATTCTTTCACAGCAATCCTTACTTTGCTTGTCAGCTCTTACCTGGTATTGAATTATCAGCTTCTCACTTCTGTTGGCTCTCGATGGCAGTTCTTGTCATCTACTTTGTATTAAATGTTACAAGTGTCCTTAAACAAGCATCTTAAGTGCTTCCATGTTGCTCTTTGTTACTGGAGTTCTGCCAGATTTCATTGTCTTTCAAATGAACGGAGTTACCTCAGACCTCTGTTATGTTTGATGCCTTAACAAAGAATTACCCTATTGTCTCTCAGCTTTCAAATCACCTGAGGACAACCTGTTTGTGCTTGGCACCAGCCTATTCCCATCCCATGTTGTCATTCCAAATGCAAGTCATAGGAACCAGGGGATCTTTTGTCCTCCATTACAGTAGCAATGAAATTTTGAAAGTTTGATTAATTTTCAAAAAAGGTGAAAAGCCTTAATTTTGTGTAATATTTTTTCTGTAACTGTGCCAAGCTACCTGGTATTAATCACCTCTAACTTTGTTGTTGAACTTGGTAAAAATCAGTATAAATACAAGTATGTAGTGATTCTACTAGTCCACAAAAAAGGAATTACACACTTGTGAAGAATGTCAAGAATTGGAGAAATAACTTCTGCTTTTTTGAATATTCTAGAAAAAAATATTTTTTTTGTATTATTGAAGACAACCTGAAACACAGTGTTCATGGATTCCTTCAGAACAGTCCGAGCTGGGGACTCCCAAAATGTTTTGTTGTGGTTGGATTAAATGCTTCGTTATTGCTAATTCCAGGGATGTGAGTGATGTGTAAAACAAGAGGAAGCAACAGAAGTGATATGAAGTTGACAAATGACTCTCTAATGAAGAATTTTAAGAGCTAAAAGCATGTAGTTTGGCAAAGACCTAACTAAGCTGGGAAGTGTTATTTGTATATAAATATCCAGATATTTAACCACAAAAGCTGCAGTGGAATTTAATGTAGTAAATTCAGGGGTGTTTTAATAGATTTACCAAGATGTAATTAAGGGAAGATCAGGAAAGTATCATGCTTGTGTGATGAATTAGGCCTGTGACATAGGACACAGGACTCCAGATGACATCTCCTACAGGTATAGTCCAGCCTGGGTACTGCCATCTTGTATGATTTTTGCTGAGGAGTCTGGGAGGCTGCAGTTTTAAATCCAGGAGGGTTGGGTGTTCGCTGACCCTTGTTACTGTTTTCATTTCTCTGTAGGTGTGAATCTTTGCATCTGTAATTCAGATGGTTTAGCTTAATTAGTAGCGGATTTCTGATCTGTGACCTGCCCCTTTCTGCATTCATTTGCTAAGGCTGCGTAATCCTCGTTCTCACTCTTCCTTCACAATCTAAGAGGCTTCAGTTCACCTGCAGGCTTAGTGCAGCATCTCTGCACCTTGAATACTGGTCAGCGGTATTGAACAAAACACTCTGTGTGCAAAGGAATGAGAGTGACTGGTACAGGAGTGCTTTTCTTACACTTGAGATGCAAGGAAATACCTCAGCTGGTACATGAGGATTTTTTTCCATGACAATACAAATGACTTAACAGTAACATTATGATACTATTTGGGAACAAAAAAAATACTAGGTCCCTCACACAAGAAATTATGTTGGTCTTTTACTGTCTGCATGGTCTTTTACTGTTTACTGCTACATTTCATCTATATTGTTGATACTCCAGCCCTTGAGGTGTCTTGATATTTTTCTGTGATATTCCAGTCTTCTTCAGAATTGATGCTATTAACTTTGTCTCTCCAGAAAATTTAGTCTAAGAAAATAGTAATTTCTGATGTAAAAATTTGAAATAAAAGCATTGAACAAATTACAAGACTGATTATTGAGGAACTGTGTCCTACTGCCACTCTGTCACTGTGTTTGTCCTAATCCTGTTTATCCCAGAGTTCAAAATATAATCCCCAATCTTTTCAAATACTACCAAAAATTTCACTGTAAGAGATGGTCTATTGGATTGAAGCCCAGGAAGATTAGGTATATTTTTAATCAAAGCTCAATTTAATGCTCTTTTATTGGCAAAGCAAGTATGCAAACTTGCTGTACTCACATTAGTCTTGAAGCAGTGTTATAGTGTAAGCAATTATGCTTAAAAGCAGCAGTCTTCAATAATTTGTTCTTTGATACAGGGAATATATTTCTGAAAATAAATTATTTCATATTACATATTTAATTGGGAGTATTTAGTCACAAAATATTAACTCAAACTCAGTTTCCTTTTTTCCCCTCTAGTGAAATTACACTGTCTGTAGTTAATTTTTTTTCGTCTACTTTCTGTCCAGATCCTAGGATTTTTACTTTTCTTATTTGTAAAGGACAGTATGGTAGTTCAAACTTATTTTTCTAGTGATGATTTTCCCTTCTACTTACAGAATTATCAAGCCAGTGTTGATGATTTCAACAAGGTACTTCTAATAGATCCAAATGTTCTTGAAGCACAAAAGGAACTAGAGGAGGTAACCCAACTGCTTCACCTTGACAGCAGTGCTGGAGCTGGCAGTCCACAAAAGCAAAGGAAGAAAGTAACCATACAAGAGGTAAGAACAGCTGTTCATTTTTTAAAAACAAACAGTACAGAAGCCACACATTCAAAGAGATAATATTAAAACTTTTGTTTTGCCCATCCTAGCTCTAGATTTTTTGGGGGGACGAGGTTGTATTTTTTGTGTTATTTTGAGGTCATCTTGGAGGACGTTTACATATGATGTTTTCAGTGTTGATTACATTCTATAATAAAGCTTGGACTGCTCTGAAGTATATGGAAAAATGGAAGAAGTCCTTTTAGATGGCACTAAACTTGAGGATATGCTCCTTGTAAACAAAAACTGCATGGACTGAAGTAAGTGTTTTACAGAATGCAGCTGTCACGTAGCAGTTTTGCTTGTAAAGTCTGTGCTCCTCAGGCAGCCTCTGGGGCTGTGCTGGCCAAGGTCCATGGTCTATAAGCGTGCTAGCTGCTCCTGTGCTGGTCCTACAGTTATGGGTCTGAAAAATGAAATCTTACCTTGAAGAGCAAGAGTAAAACATCTGTAGGATCTTATCAAAGAAACACATGATGTAATGTTATGTAGAGGATCAAAATGTCAGCCTTGCGCAGTTCTGGGTATAATTAGCTGATGAAAGGATTTTCTCAGTCATCTGATGTTTTTGGACTGTAGCTTTGCTGGTCCTTTAAGAATTTATTTCCCCCCCTTTCATTTAAAAATGTATAGTTAAAATATATAGTGACCAGTCTGTACAGTGATAGTGTAATTTTATAATGTAATTTCAGAATAGTGGTATAATGGAAATGCAGTTATTTATACAGAAAAAACTTGTTTTCTTGAAATGCTTCACATTGTCACGAGTTCATGGAATTTTATATAATTGGCATAATCTGGGTATAGTGTTAGTTAAGCTCTGAGTTGTGACAAACAAAGGGACCTGGAAAGTGTTTAGAGGAGGTTTGGTAAGTGACCGCATTGCTCAAAGAACCAGCCGACTACATTATTGGCACTGGTAATTTTTCCAGGGGTGGGGCAGGAAGCATTTATGTTTGCTGTCATAATTACAGCTCCTCCATAGAGAGCCTACGCTGTCTGACCTGCTGTGGTACACAGTAGTTCCATGAAAAGAGACTGCAGAGAAAAGTAAGGAAAATTGGAAAATTGATCTATCATCATTATGCCATTTAAATCAAGCTATAATTATATAAAAGACAGTCAGGATTTCTTCCTTTATTCTAAGGATTGTTGAAAAATAGAAGAAAATGTCTATAAGTCCAATGCAGTATTTTCAAAAAATGACTAAACCCCTGTACTACACAATACAGTATCTTCAGACTTCTCAAAATACTTGGCATCCTTTGAGAGACCCTGTTCAATGAATTTTAGTGAAGTTTTACTAATTGCACAACTCTTGATGGCTTGAAATAGATTTTAGCAAATGTAGTTGAACCCACAGTTAATATTCTAGCAGCTGATTTATGAAACTTGATATAGGCTGCAATTTCAGAAGTGAAGTGGATATTCAGGCAGTTAACCATGCTGAGCTTTCTCCTTCCACAGTGAGACTTCAAACAGCAACCTGATAGAGCTGCCATGTACCTATACTGTCCAGGAGGCACAGCAGAGAAACATGGGTGTCTGGTGCCTTGACTCTCTCCACATTTAATATATGTATATGTTCCTCCTTAGCTTTCTCCTTATGGTCTTCAGGCATCCTTCTGCAGTGGAGTGGCAAGTGGTGAAAAGAAGTGTAAAACACACACTTTTGACTCTGAAACTTTAAAGATGAATTAGAGAGGTGCTGTTCTGGGGGTCAATAGGACACAGAAGAACAAAGGTGCCTTTCTTTTATGAAGAGTAGAATGCCAGCTTTAACCTAGTGATGTGATGGATATATGCTGCTCATGAAGATTCAGGTTATCTATATGTCCACATTAAAATGATTTGTTGCTATTTTCTTTGTGAAGGTGACTGGACAAGATGAACAGGAAGAGAGACAGTTTGCTACATCAGATGATGTTGTGACTGATCACGTTACTTCCAAAGAAGCAGTTCAAAAGAATGTGCCACTGAAGTCCTCTGAGAAACTGCGCATTTGTGAACCATCTAATGCCTATGACTTTGGTCAGATTATAAATGCAGTGAATGCCAATAAGGATAAAGCTGCTTGTGCAGATCTTTTAACAATTACTGATCCGAAAAAATTGCCAGTGCTGCTGAGTAACAAACTTGAAGGAGAAATCCTTCTGATGTTTATCCAGTCATTGGAACATTATGTAGCTGGAAAAGATCCTGGCCTTGTATATCAGCACCTTTTCTACTTGAGCAAAGCAGAAAGATTTAAGGTGAGAACCTAGATTGAATGTGTACTTAAATTGCACAGAAACTTAAAGGAAATTTTCATAGCTTAAAAGGAAATTATACACTGGTTTTGTATCTCTGTCAGATACTATGATTTTCAGTCATCCTCTGCTATTTATAATTACAAAATATAAAAAACAATTATAAAATAATTGTTGTGGGTTTTTTTTTTCTTCAGGTGGTGTTGGCCCTCCTTAGCAAAAATGAAAAAGAAGAAGTGCAGCAACTGTTTGATTTACTTTCAGAAAACCAGAGTGATCAGTACTCATTGGAAGATCTTGAGAGCCTTAAAAAGGTTTATGAACTTTAAGAAGTTAAAGTTTATTGTCTGCATGTGGATAGTTCATGTGTAAAAGATGGATCTATGATCTGCAGACTTCAATGAGTTCAAGTGGGTCTTTACCTGGACTGCTGAAATTTTATTTTGTTTTGACAGCATATGCACATTTAAAACTTGCTGCTCTTTTTTTCTTGTAGTTGTATACATCTCTAGAACCTAATGCATGCCTGTGTTCAGTAACAGAGTTCATTTTATTTGGCATACTGATTTTATTTAGACTGTATTAATTATATATAGAAAAATATGTTTTACATTATATATATATAATGTGAAATATCTTGATGGTGCAATAGATACATATACTTTTAGTCATCACTTGTTATATCATTTGGTGAGTTCTAAGTTCTTGAGATAAAGTGTCTTCAAGATAAATGGGTCACTTAGCAGTAGTTTTGCTAAAATAAGTTTACAAAAAGTATTAACACTTCTCAGATAAACTACTACAGGCCATCTGTTTCTTCACTATCCCTGGTCTATACAAAACAGATTTAAATATTTTGGCACAATACAACTTAGTAGCAAAGGTGAATGAATTAGCTTGTCGTGGAACTCTTTGAAACAAAATTGTTAAACATTGGGTATGTTCTAACAAGTGAATAATTTTTAGTGCACGGAGAATTACTTTTTTTTTCCTGTGTGTGCTGAAGGACTGCTGGTTTGCCTGGCTTTTTTTTTTTGCAGTGACAGCAGTAAACAGAAGAAAAAGTGGCTGCACTTCACAATAGAAATATTTATCTCTGAGTTTTGTTTAAGTAATCTCTGGATTACTTAAAACATCAGCTGTTTCTGTTTACTAAAAGTAAAATAATTTTGTGGATCAGTATGATTTTTTTTTTATTTCAGGCAGTACTTATGTTTTATATTTGATTCTGACAATGCTTCAAAAATGAAGCTTTTAAATTTTTCAAATACCCGATGCCTTCTTTGTGTTATAAATAACGTGTGTTATAAATGTATATCAGACTCACAAGAACTGCAGAAATACCATTAAGAATGTTGTTCTAATGAAATTTTTCCTCAGGTGTATATTGATAAAGTTCTCTTCTTGAAAAGGACAATTATCGATTCTCTTTTCTGGTTCAATACTCTTTAGGCTTACAATTTTGAAGCGGATTATGAGTTTTGTCTTGGAGTGCCAAGAACAAAGCTTTTAGTTTCTGAAGCACCATCAGAACAACCAATGGTTTTTGATTTTAAATGTCCTCTTTTTATGATTTTTGTAGTCAAGACAAATCATCTTATCTAGTTAAGCAACAATGTGCCAGTTTCATTCTTCAGTCCTGGTGTCAAAGTGTTCACATTCACACATTTCAGTGTTACTGATTTCAATCTTTCAGTTTTGTTCCACTATAGTTTAGTATGTTCAGAGAAGATTCATTGTATGCGTCCAACTGTAGTTCAGAAAAGAGAGCATAAACATTAGGTGTGTAGTTTTAAAATAGTCTTAATTGCTTGGTAACTGTAGCTGAGTAAGAGCCCAATGTCAGAAGCTCTCAATGAAGTCAAGTCTTTCTCTGTGCCATCCAACCCCCCCAAGTACTAAATGCTCCTTAGAGACAAACTTCAGCAGTCACAGCTGTTTCTCAGAAGGTATCTCATTTGTAAAGGGTTTTTTGACACTGAGGACAAAAATAAGAATGTCTGCAGCAGCAAATCATAATATAATTTAGTAAATTTAGGAGACAACCTGACATTATTTAAGAGATAATGGCTTAAAAAGAGATTTTGAAATGGAAGGTTCTTGACAAATCATTTGTCTCTGAAGAAAGAGACAAATAGGTGTTCACAGACAGGCATACAGGATCATAGTTAATTTTAGGACAGTTTTAATCAATCCCTAGTGATTAAACTAGAAACCTAAAAGTTGTCCACAGAAAAGCAGTCCAGTAGTCCAGAAAGATACCTTTTCTTTTAATACCTTTCACCTTGAGTGTCAGCTGAAACAGAGTGAATTCAGTTTGAGGTAAAAATGACTGAGATCGCAGATTAAGAACCTCAAACTACCCCTTGCTAAGAAGTTCTAAACTGAGAGCTGCAGCAATGATTGCAAGTGAACCCATTACCCAGCTGGTGGCAGGGAGCTGTCACCAGCTGCAGGCAGAGCTCTGTACCCTCCTGTGTCAGGTGTAGTCAGCACCAGATTAAATAACAAACACCCCCTGATTTGACAAATCAGGGCTTGGCTGTGCAGTCACCCATCTTCTGAAGCAAAGAGCTGATCCCGAGGATGTCTCAACAGAGACTGTCTTCAACAGACTCATAGGAGGGCACGATTTGCTGGAAAGTTTATACTGAACCCTGAGGAAATACCCGGCAATAAACGGGTTTCCCCTTTCTGTGTGTCTGATCTTGTCAGGTTAAGGCAGACCAGAAGGTTTGGCTTGTTGAGTTATATAGACAACCCCCCAAACTACCCCCAATGCTGTTTGGTAAGTAGCCCCTCTAGTCTGGCTTGACACTGGTCTCAGTACTTTCAGTATGTTCCCAGCCCTGGTCCCATACCAGGAGCTGCTTTTTAAAGTTTATTTAAATCATTCCAGTCCGCGATCCCAAAAGGGGAAGACACTTCCTTGATGACTTGCATTCCTGAAACTGCTGCCAGGCTGAGCTTGCGATCTCAGCAGATCCTTGGCATCAGCCCCGCTCTGGGAGATGTCCCAATGTCCTCCAGCTCCTTGTTGGGTGCCTCACTCCCCACTGAATTGCTGAGGCAGAAGCCATTGGGCACTAATCGATGCAGGAATCATGAACACCCTGCACTGTGGATAGCAGACCCCTGGAGTTTCAGGCACTAATCCTTTACTACATCTCTTCTTTAAACATCAGGTCAAGCTGCATTATCTGCTAGTCTCTTCTGTCTATTGTTCCCTCATACCTGTCTCAACTAGGAACTTTTGGCCTCAGCTTCCAAAGTTAAAGAATTATATGTTGAAGTACAAGGGAACAAAGAAGAAACTGAACCCCTGAATGTTGTAATGGCTGAAAAATGAAGTCGAATAGTCAGATATATATTTCTTAAAAAAAAAAAGGCAACTCTCAAAGGTAAGAAAAACAGTCCATGAAGCTGAACAATAAAAATGAAAGAAGTTTGACATGACCTGTTCATCTGTAAGGCCACCAGTGGATTTGCAGTGACTGCAGTAATTTTGGTGATGGTCCTCATTCAGATTTCATTGAGATTGACTGCATTTTCAGACAGCATTTAGGAGGGCCTGAGGGACAGGCAGAACAACTTTTAAAAACACAGAACTTAGAAAAAAATAGAATAAAACATGTTAGGGACTGTACTGCTGATTTGACCTGAACAGCTCAAGCCAAGGCCTCCAGGCTTCAAAACCTGCCCTTTCTGTGGGGCAGCATTAGATCACTGAAAGTAATTTTGTGGGCATGGGGTGCAGAAGGGAATATCTTTAGGTGTGGATTTCCTAAAACCACTTGTTTGGCAGGTAAGGGCTGCCTTATGTCCCTCTTGCCTTAGTCTGGGGAACAGCCTCAGAGCCAGAGGGAGAAATCTCTGCAGCCCCAAGTAGTTGCAGCTGAACAGCAGATGCAGAGTCACCTGTCAAAGACAATGTCCTTGGCCAGGTGACACGGAGTGGCCTCTGCACAGAGGTGGCAGCAGCTTCCCAGGTGTGGAATTGGGGATGAGCAGCTGCTGACCAAAAGAGTTCCCTGCTCACCATGGCACGGAGTGGGACATTGATGTGAACACAGGGCCCAGAAACAATAGAGTGGAAAAAAGGGAAAAAAACCCACCCTGTTTTACTGGTATTGGTTTTTTACATTCTTTAAAGATTAAACCCTTTTCTCTTTAGAAGAGAGCAAGAGAACATCAAATAGTTGACCTGGCTTCGTGGCAGGGAGACCCAAATCGTAGCACAGTCTTACGTTCTCAAGCTTGTCACTTACCCCCTCAGCATTAACATCCACCTTTGTGAAAACAAACAACAAACCAACCACACCCAACAGCCATACAAAACCAGGAGGAGACCACTGGTTATGCAGGTGACAGGGACAGGCAAGTGAAGTGTGATCCCCAGCATGGCAATAAGCTGATCGGCCACACACACAGAGCACATGCCCTGTACAGCTGAGCTAACTAGTGACCCACCTGCTCATGGATACCTATCCCTGCCTGGGACCTCCCCACTGCAATGTAACACGTCAGTATTGCACAGCCTCCAGCTGTGGCAGTGCAGGGCACCAGTGTCAGTGCCACTTCCTTGCAGCCCCGTGCCATTTCTCAGTTGGTGCTTGCTAAATGCCACCCTTGTAAATAAATTCAGCAACATGAGAGTGGATTGCTTGTAAGCGAGAGGGATTATAAGGGGATGAAGTGCCCATCACACAGAACGGGGTGCTCAGAAATGTCTTGAGCAGGCAGCCAGCAAGGAAAGGGCAGCTCAAGCACCCTAAATGCCATCAGCACTGGTCTGGTGCCTAAACATAACAGCTCAAATTTAGGCCATTTTGAATTTTAATGTCCTTACTGTGGAGATGGTAAGTAATAATAGTCCTTTTGTCAAGCCGGCTCACCAGGACCTTGTGCACATCTGTGTTATGTCAGCTTTGCCCACCAAAACGCTTCCTGCGGGTACCTGATGTGCAGACAGGTGCCAAGGTTGTCACATGCCAACGATACTCAGTTACCTGGCCTGGCACATGAATGAGGTGCAACAGCAGGCTCATGTTTGTTGTTGAGCTTCCAGCTGTTGCGAGGAGCCTGGATTTTCTGCCAGATGGATACCTGTTCCCTCTGCTGCCTGATCCAAGGCCAAAACATTTCAAAGGAATGATGAGCAGTTTGATCACGTTTTAGGCATCATCCCAGAGGCCGGCAAGGGGATGCTCTTACCCAGCTGTGCTTGCAGGCACTTTACCTCCTTCACCTGTCCCACGGAGCGCATGTTAAAACGAACAGCCTGGAGCTGGAGACAGGGCCAGGAATGCTACGGCAGGAGCTTTGCACACAGGTCTGTTTGCGGGTGTCACTTGGTCCACTCACTCTTGGACACTGCTGTGCAGGACACAGCTAAGGAGCAGCAGGACAGATTTGCACAGTGGTACCGTCCCACTCCCTTTGGGCTTCCCACGTGCTGCTGCAGTGCCAGCCCTGCGCTTGTCCCCATACCGAGGCAGTGCCCAGCCCTGCCCAGTGCTGGGCCAGCACAGCTCAGCCCTGGGTGGCCACTCTACACTTGCAGCTTTCCGTGCTCCATGAGAGCCGGGGGGAACCTCAGGTTCTTTCTGCAGAGGTGAAGCTGAACAAGGTCACGTGGCAACCCCAGCGCAGAGCCTTTGCTTGCCTTGAACACTGCATTTCCCTGCTCCAGGTGGGGATTGCCATGATGGGGATGGTGCAGAGCCGAGACCCACAGCACATCCCTGTCCACAGCGACCTTCAGCAGCAGCAGGGCCTCTATCACCCAGGAGGACAAGAAACCAAACTTCAGGATTAGAAAGTGACATGAAGGGAATTAACAAGTCAGATTTAGCATAGAGGGGCCCACAGCAGGCAAGGCCTGCAGCCTTGGAGACAGAGGGTAGGGAGCAGCACAGACATCCGAGGAGGGAGCACAGCTGGGCACGGTCACGATCAAGCATCTGTCCCTGTGCTTGTGGCTGCACTCCAAGGCCTCTGGGCAGCAGCCTCCCACCAAGGCCAGAGAAGCTATCACAAAATCCTAAACTCCTTCTGAAAAGCTGTTGCAATCTTTTTACAAAGAAACAAATAATAAAGGACAGAGAAATATAATTTATATATGTATATAAATAATATAAACATAAAATCTGTCTCCTCAGAAAAAAACACTTTTTTTTTTTTTTTCACAGTGAGTGAACCCTGACAGCTGAGTTGGGTCTTGACTCTAAGATTTTGAACAACCTCAGAGACAACTCTTGCTGCCCCTAGTTCTCAACAGCACTTTAAAATACCCGTTTCAATCTAATTAAGTATATGAGACAGACTGCTATGCTACTCTATTTTTGCAATAACTTTGAATTTGTCTGACAGTGACAAGGAGGAGATCTAGAGGCAGCTACTCCAAGCAGCTCTTTCAGCACAGCCCAAGGTGTTCCTTCACAGCAACAGAATGCACCACACAATCCAGTTCCTCTACCAAAAAACCCTTTATAAAAAGCAGCACAGCCCAAGGAAATGCTGCTGTGCACTGAATTCCAGCTCAAGTGAAAAAGGAATCAATGTGTCTGGCCAGGACTTGTCAGCACCTTTTCCAACCACATCTTCACAAGATCGTTTCATGCCCTCACAGATACTATTCCACCTTCTCAAGTTTCTTTCAGCAGCATTCAAAACCTACATGAAAACTTTATATCTCCTTATAAAGATATTGCAAAGCCTTATGCATGACCTGGTAGATACTTGCCAAAATCTCCTCTTTGGAGGCCAAGAGACTGCCCACAAGTTACACTACACTGTGTCTATGATGCTGGTAATAAACTAGACCTACAAGAATGGCCTCTTCTCCTCCTCTCTAGGGAAAGTATTGCACAGCCACTGTTTTGCGGAACTAAAGAAGGGAAGATGGCAACCCATCGTGGCGTTGAGGAAGCCAAACAATTTTGGTAGCACAGGCAGCCTTCACACAGGCAAGCAGGACGGTACAAGACTATGCCCCTTCCTGGGGAAAATCTGGGAGCTCTTCATTTAACATCACGTTCACCTGTCCACAGTCTATACCCTCAGTTCATGTCATATATCCTTAATATATAATCATATGAACAGCAACAAACCATAAATCGAGACTAAAGGATAACAAGCTTCAGAGCCATCTTCCAAGACCTGGGGTCCTGTTTGGCACAGAAGTTCAGTGGTTTGTGTATCAAACTCCCCCTATGCCTCCCAGACAAGTTTCTTGGTTACCAGGTACCCCATGGCCACCTTTCTCTGTTTCTCCTACCCTGTGAGACTGAGGGTAACAAAGACATCGTCACCACTCAGGGATCGTGTTTCTCACCAAGATGTGACCTCGGGTTCTTTGCCACTTACAGAGAGAACGTTTTGCTCCCACAGCACCACCAGATTATTAAATCTGAGAAGACCAGGTGGCTGTCACCTTTGAGGCTGGCAGGAGCAGCAGTCAAGGTGGTAACAGTGCTCTTCAGACCTTTTTAATTTCATAAAGGCATTCCAAATAAATCTCAGTGTTATTTCCAAAGTTTCTGCTCAAGATTGCCTCAATTTCACCTGAATTGGATGGAATATTAATGTTTTTTAAGTTCACTAACTCTAGTATTTTTCAACCTTCTACTTGATTATCCTTATTAAGCATTATTACCCATAAGAGTGGTGGCATTATTAAGTAGGCAACTATTTAAAAATCAATTTGAATGATTTGAAGAGATGTAAGTCAGTAAAAAATGTTTACATATCAGTAAAAAGTAATCAGCTCATACATTCAAGTTTGTGAAATTTATTAAATGAAAGGAAGAATAAACAAGTCCAGATGCTTTACTACCAAAAAAGCATATGCAAACATCACAAGCTTTTATGATGGCTTTTATCTATCTAAAATTTTAACTATCTCAAATATTCTCAGATATAGCAGACATTAAAATAAATTTCCTCAAGATCCACAATCTGACATGAATTAGTCAAATTGGCCAGGAACCATGAAAAAAAATTCTGAAAAAGAACCCCTCTGTTGGGAAATCAGATGTAAACTTGATCTTTCCTGTGGTTTATTTCAATGAAAGAAAAAAGGTCCCTTTTTAATTCTTACACTGGTTGCTCTATAAATAAGAGAAGCATCTCCTGCATTACTCTATTAATAGAAGGGTTCTGTCTTTTACTTTTTTATAGACTCAAGATAAAATTCAGTGCATTAAATTTATTGGTGCTTTAATTATTGCTGTTTAGACTGCCTTACACATGAAATATTACCTCTGAATAAAAAGTCACACAATGAATCAGCGAACAGCTTTCTGCTAAAAACTTATCCAAAAGTAAACTTACATGTTCTCTCTTAATGAGGAATGTAAAGCTGTCAGATTATTTCAGTGACTGAAAGTAACGCTAACCTATTGATAAAGTTTACTTACAAGAATAAACTATATTTCCAATTTCCTGCACAGCAAAACTGACATAAGAAATTAAAAGTTAGGTTTAAACTCACTGAAATGGGTCTTCCGCCTCCCAATTCCCTGCTGTCAGCACTGGGTTGCACTGCTGCATATTGATGTGTCAGCCATTTCATAGGTGTACTGGATAAAGCCAAATCACACATTTTCAAAGCTTGAGACATCAGCAATAACTTTATTGCTGCTGCACAAGACATCAGACTCAAAACTGAACTGAAAGCAAAAACCAGAGGGGAGGTTCACCCTCTGCCCTATTGCACAGAGCAAATAACATCTGGCTTCAGAAAACTAATGGAAGTGCCTTATGAGATTGCACAAAACTTCACTTCCTCAGAGGTTAAAAACAGGAGGCCTTGAAGGACATTCACCTCCAAGGTGAAAGTCTGCACGTGCAGTGACAGAAGCATGACTGGCTCACTGAGTCACTGCTGTTCCACTCTCCAGACTCTGCATAAAGAACCAATTAATGCCTCAGTTCATGACTGTAACAGAGAAATGTCTATATAGGCCTGAAAAATTACATCAGAATTCACCAACTGGCATCAGATGATCAACAGCAAGGACTTTGTTCAGTTAATGCTGATCTTAATTCAATACATCTACTTCTCATTAATTGCATTTCTAAGTGTTCATACTGGGGGAAAAAAATATCAACCAGGAACAAAGGACAAAAAGGAACTGCTAACACCAACCCCCTACAAAATACAAGATCTGTGGTTATTTCCAGTTCAGAGTGCCTGATGACAGGGCAAAAATTGCCTGAATGCCCTGCTACACTTTCTAGAGTATGTGGTTTCACTTACCCTATTTGTTATTCTCTCTTTGAGCACCTGCCACTGGAAATGGTATAAATAATGCTCTAATTGTAGCTTCAGAGTTGACCCAGCATAAGAGTTACTCTCTTGTTATTCACTCTGATGGAAGTACAGCTTACATATGGGTTTGGGATGAGGCAGATCCAGCTGTGTAATGCAACCCCATCAGTTTTAGTTTCTTACTTCCCAAGTAAGTGCAGGTGAGAAAATGAATGCAATGAACAGGCAGTTCAGCCAAGCAAAACCCACCAGCTGTTACCCAGAAACTCTGGCCAATCTGTGGTGTTTCAGAATGAACTCTGTGCAGGTCATGTGAACTGAAAGAGCATCACTTCAGACGGAGAAGGAGTTTGAGTTTAGCTCAGCAATCTGATCTGACTTGTGCCAAGATGATGCAGTTTTGTTTGAAGAGTAATATGCTCATGCCAGAGCCGCATCCCTCTCAGAAAACCATTTACTGTCCTGCCTGCCAGAGGCAGATCAGATTTCTTTTCATCTTAGAGAAGAGCAATGAGGTTGAAGTCTTGTACAAAATGCAACTGACTTTAGATCTTACATTTCCAAGTATCAGAGCACTCAACTTTCAAAGCACACCTAATAAAATAAAAATGTTTAAAGGCAAGAAGAGATGAGAGCAGTCAGCAACTTGCAGGAAGAAAAGCTCCTGCTGGGAACATACACATTTTCATAAGGCTGATCAGCACACTAAATGACAGACCACTAGAAGTCAGTATTTAGACATTTATTTCAGATATGCAGTTTACACGCATATTATTGAGCAAAACTGAATTGCAAATATACAAATACTGTAACAAGCATTACCAAATAACATAACTGGCACTAGTGTTATAAGCCTATTACTGAAACTGGTGAGGATAAGTCATGGAAGAGGACTGCAGCTCATGGCATTTTCTTTTTTATCCAACCAAACTTCCAGTAGCACCATAATGGCAATACATGAAACACAAGACAGAACATTGTTAACCATTATGAGATTCACAATCGTTTTTTCCGTTTTAGTGAATTACTTAGCAAAAAAATGTTAACAGTACAGGCGCTTTGGCCAACTTCAGCTTGTGTTCAGCTGTATATCTTTCATATGCGAAAGAAAAAAAAAGCCAGCATATTTGGAACCCATCTTTGCACTTGGGCAGTCATTGCACTGCACTTAGATTCTGGGACTGAAGACAGGCATGTCTTGCAAAGAGATGTCAAGTCCACTAAAGCCTGAGTGAGTCTTTGGTAGGCCAATAACTCTATTATATCTACCACAGTCGTTTTATTCACTAGAATTTTCTTTTGTGATCCAAGGTGGCCAAAGAGGACATTCTGGAAAACATTACAGTAAAATCCTCAAACGACCAGGCACTTCAAACCCAGTCTTTTCCAAAGGCACCAAGAATTGATGGGGCACCGATTTTCCCCCTAATGAAAGGTGACTGCATCTGCTTTTCTACAGTGTTTATAAATCACTCGATTGTTATTTTACAGTTTTTATACACTATATAGTAGCCTTACCTGCCGCATGATTGGCTGCATGAATGAATAGGTAACCCCACTGATCTTCCCAGGTAACGTCTCCATTCCACCATATATATGAAGTACCAATTTTTTTTGTTTTGAAATTATGTAAAATGCCAAAACCCTGCTCAAAGTGTACACACATACAAACACTTCTGACACAGGCTACATCCATCTGCAGATATGCAGTTCATTCTACATGCACTCTAAATATGGTGTGTCCAGTTATGAAACGAAATTATCATTCCAAATATTCACTATTGAAGTATGTTTGTAGAGGTCTTTGCAGGTCTTCTACTTCCCTTAAATTTAAGAGTTCACACAAGAGTGGTTTTAAGTCACTAATGCTCAGCTAACACCATTTTACCGAAACCCCATATTTTCCAAGTGAACAGTGCAGGACATATTATTCATTTCAGCATTTAACATATTAAGAATTTACCATTTTTTCTCTAAATACACCAAGTATATACTTTCAAGCAAAGTTGTGGCAAAAATACAAAACATGGACGTATTTGTACTGCTGTAATGCACTTGGTTAAAGCCTGCACGCCTCTTCACACAGGTTGAAGATCCATATGAAGTATTTTGCCTTATCAGACAAGTATATAGAAAATGCAGTTGTATCAAAACCTTGCTTCTGCTGGTCACCTGAAACTTACGGAAGCCGCTTGTAATTCAATCAGCTTTCAGACAGGGTTCTCTAGTGGCAAAGATTTTTGCAGCACTTACAGACTTAAATTTCAGTCTGAATAGCAGTGCTTAATTCCACAGCATGTTGTGAATGATTGTTGTTTGTTTCTTTCAGTGCTTCACCAACACCTAAATCTACATCTGTCGAAGATCCATTATTAATGCTTTCCTCAGCAATGTAACTCAGCTGTGGAACATCAGTGCTTGGTGCTGTTGGAACAGGCACAGGGATTCCACTTGGCTGTGGAGAGTTTTCCAAGCGATCGTTTTCCACCTCAGGGAGAACACTGACTGTGGTAAAGCGAGTATGATAGTCGCTGGAACCATGGCTACAGGAAGTTTTCATACTTTCCATATCTGAGCAACTAAACTCAGAGAAATGACTGGAGTGCGAATCTGCTACAGATGGAATACTATCACTGAGAGAGGGAGAGTCAAATTCACTGGAGTTTGTGCTTTGCTGTTCCAACAGCTGAGCATCCATGTCCTCTCTTGTCTCATTAATCTTCATGCTGCTCTTCTTTCTCAGTTTACCTTTGCACTTTTTCCCCGCCGTGTTGTCCTTGGACCACTTGGCGGCGCCGGACTTGCCCTCCTGCGGGCCGGCGGAGGAGCAGCCGGCGGTGCCGCGCCCGGCAGCGCTCCCGTCCTCCACGCTGCTGCTCCCGCTGTGGTGTCGGAACTTGGCTGGCTTGGACTCGATATCCACCTGCACTTCCAGGCTGTTGCCCTCCCTAGAACAAGAAAGAATCCACGAGTGTAAGTGGTCATCTAAGCCAGCTAACATGGCAAACCAAACTCCTGAAGCTTTTCAACATACACAGCAAAAGTGAGAGAGATGTATCTTGTTTTAGAGAAATGTTTAACCAAATAAATAGCCCAAAGGAAAATACTAAGTCTGAAAGACCAAACACTTAATAGAGCTACAGTGATGGTGCTCCTCTTCGGAAATAACCTTCACAAAATGTAAGCACTCACAAATTCTACTTGTAACAAAATTTACGGTTTCGAAGTATAATCACTGAAGTAGAACAGCTGAGGCATGCTTAGACTATCCTTTAATAAGCAAGGCTTATTAATATTCTGTTTTCACCACGTCTCTCTTACCTGTCCAAAGGGATGTAGGAGTTCAGAATGGATCCTGCCATTGCTTTGGTACTGGCATTGTCACTAACTGTTCCCAAGCTAACTGTGCCAGATTCTCCACTCAAACTGTATCGTTCTTTCTGCACATCTGCTTGTACTTCCAGTCTTTGAGAGAAAGAGAGAGAGTTGCATATACTGCCACAACAGTTAAAGCACAGTAGTTGAAAACTAGCGTCATCTTGCAGACTGAAATAAGTAAATAATAAGTCAGTAATAAGTAAAGTTCATGAGTTACTTCAGTACAGATGTACATATCTACCCTATGAAACAGGTTCTCTCTTCCCACTGTCAAAAATGACTATTTTTTTGATTAAAAAACAAACAAACAAAACCAGATTTATTTCCCAACAAAGCAAAATGTTATATTTTATTCAAAGGTTCTGGATTCTTTCCCTCCTGAGATTTACATGGACAACTTCCAGGTTTAGCTATATTTCTTTTGCAGATAGTGCACTATACTTCAAAAATGGAAAAACCAATCAGAAGGGTACATAAGTTCACAACATGATAGTTCCCATGTTTCTTTACTAATCAAATAACATGCAGAGAACTGTGTTCTGTACTCTGCTTTTTTTGTATTGTTATCAACTGCAATAGGAATAATAGAAACCTCAGCAATCTTAAATGGGGCTGAGCAGATAAGCCAGAAAGCAGATTACAACCTTTTTTCCAAATGTCTTGTTTATCTATGTTCTAACAGTGAAACAGAAGTGGGTTTTTTTGTTTTCCACTCCATCTCTTTAAAGAGGAGGGTATGTATACCTCACTCAGCAGTCACAGCTTGAAACAAGTGCTCCAGCATAGGGGAACTCTTGATACTATTCTTCACTCTTTATTCTATATAGACTGGACTGCCAAATTACTCAAAATGAGCAGTGTTGGCACCTCATTTGAGGAGCAAATTCCAGCCTGAACCCTGAACATTAACAATCCTTTCTAGGCACTCCCTTTCTCTTCAAGGAGCAAAAGAGCCAACAAGCCGAAAGGTCCAAATTGACAGGAGGTATTGAGCACTGAGTGACAAGAAGCTGCCACCTGGGCAAGGCCACATACTCAGCTGCCTCCCCTCCCGCCTGAAGTCCATTTGGAATCCACACTCCATCCAGGTTTTCTGAAGGCAACAGAACAGGGCTTGGTACTTGTAGACTACTGAACAAGTCAATAGTTCTGACTTTGGGGCAAGATGCACCAGAGAACACAACTGCATAAGACATGAGGTGCCTCCCTCTGACTCCTGGGTAGAGGCAGCTCTCCTGGGAAGCAGGAAACAAGATCTCAGGCCTCACTCACCCTGAACAAAATTCAAGCTTTTCTTTGAGGATTGTGGTCAGGCAGGATCTCTTGAAAAATCAAGTAAGTCTGTCAGGGATGAACTGTTTACCTCCCAGAGACAGTTCCTTTTAATAGGAACCAATTTCAAAAAATAAAAATCAGAAAACCCAGCAATACCACTTCCTCTGCCTCCATGTAGAGCAGGACAGTGTAAAAAGGTCATGTCTCACCTGTTAAAGCAGTTAACCATTGCGCTCCCCGAGAGGCTCCCTGTGATGCTGGCCCCAGCCAGGGCCATGGTACTCGCGGTTTCGCTGAGGTTGTCTCGGATGGCTCCAATCCTATCCATGTGGCTCCCACTTGCACTTAGGCTGCCAGTCAGTCCTCCAACACTTCCTTCTCCTATGCTGGGGTTGTGTCGTGCCTCTGCCACGGAAGTGGTATCTAGACAGAAACAAAGACGGCTCATCAGTTATGGAAGTAGCATTTAGTTGTTTCTAGAATGTGACCATGGAAACTGTTCCTGAAATTGTGCTGAGGAGAAGGATTTGTAAAACATACTGTCAAAAAAAGAGAACTTTGGAGGAAAAAAAAACCAAACCCCACAAACAACCACAAATAATTAAAAGAGACACCTTTCTTGGAGGTGCTATAATGGTTATGCCTGACATCACATGCTTAAAATACCAACAGAATTCTGAAAGAGCAACATTAATGCTATCTTAAAACTTTTACATACGGAAAAGACTTGAGTCTGGCTTTGATTAAAATGGGCAAGAAAAGCTTTAATGCTTGTATTACAGCCTAGCCCAATATGACAGAGAGACACTACCATGACCTGAGAAGTGCTCTTTTCAGCAACGAGCAGAAGCAGCCCCAACTGCAAATAACTACTCTAGTATCTAAGGCAGCAAATACAAGTCACAAACCCCATATTTACAGAAAACGGAACACTGAATTTCCTTACCTACAGCTGCATTTGTTCCACCAACATTTATATCATTTTCATCATCAAATTCTATTCTGACACCTTTTCCATTGCCAGCTGACACACCACAGCCTCCACTTCGGCAGAGGGAAATTGGAACAACTCCGTACACATAAGCCAGCATAATAGGAACACCAATACCTACAGAGGAAAGTACAGTCTTTCATTAAATGTGGCTTATAGTTTAGAGCCTTTCATAAAGGCAATTTCATTCTCTATGATTACTTAATATTTCACACTTGAAAGAGGTCAGGAGGAAGTAAAATTAAGAAATATTGGTAAATCACTAAGGAGAAATTGACAGGAAAGTACTTTCAGCAGGCAGAACATCCTGTCAGCACTGATAGGAAAGGAAGCTTAATGATTGATGAATTAACACTTCCAGTATGTCTATACCATCTTTTACAAACAAAATTAAAGTATTTTAAAGGTTCATAAAAGCTCCACTGGGGACTGTAATAATGTTTCACCTGAGAGGAAAAATAGCAGAGCTCTATTTCAAACGTTATTCAACTAAAAATGTTAGTACCTCTACTAATTTAATAAGAGGCTCATTTTGCATCCAATGAACGCGGACAGGGCTTTGCTATCAATTTATTAGGACTTAGCATTATTATTATTCTGGAATATTTCAATATAAGGTTTTCTTAAAAGTAAACAATTCTGTGGAGCAGGGTGGCAGGAGTAAAAGGACACCAGTGAAAGGAACTGTGGGCTAAAGCGCACATAGATACACACACTCCCATTCCGCTGCTTCTAGTGGACTGTGGAAGTTACTCCTTTAGCATATGAATTAAATCATTCTATGGCTTTGCTGATGGAAGTACATGGAAAATACAAAACCAGCAGACTGAAAAATGGCAAGCTGGCACATTCTGAAAATGGACAGAAGCACACGCAATAGAAAGGTTCCTCAGTCTAATCTAAAATAAAGGTTCCAATTACAGGAAGTCTCCTTCACTAGAAATTTCTCATTATTCCAGGAGAAAATCCATATTCTTATGTTCATTATTTTGGAAGCCATACAATGCCCTGAGACCGGAGGCCATGTGTTAATAGCAATGGGGCAAGAGCAAAACTCTACAAAAAACCCCCAACTGCTTTGCCTGAAAAGCCACATTTATCTCTGTTCAGAAATAAGAAACAGCTTGAAAGAATGAGGTAAAGCAGACCTATAAATGCAACTATCAGACTTTGTGCCCCACTACCTGTTTAGCAGGGATCTGATACCACAGCTACAGAAGAACAATGCAGACTGACACGAAAGCCAGTTTTATGACTAGCATATCTGCATTTGCACAGTGGTCCAGCATTGATAACAAGCTGTTTAAAGCCATGGCTTTGGGGCCAGTTTGAACCATCACTTGCTAAAAGCGGCCCTGCCTTCCTGAGGTTATTCATTTCTTTCTGAGCATTGCTTCTGGCACGAGGGGGAACACTGCAGACACAACCATATGTTCAGGGGACTGATCCAGCTTAAAAGTAAGTGGTGCATCTTAGTATGAATCAGTTAATCGACACCAGCTTTTACTGTGCAACTGTGAAGATGCCTGTGCTGCAACAGAGGAGAAGCAAGGCAATGTCTGGCAAGTCCACTCCTTCAAAAAAAATCTGGGTTTACGGTGATCTTGAAATTATTTGAGAAGGTGAGAAGTATTTTGTAAGGTGCAGCCAGATTTTCCTCAAATGCTATCCTCAACAATCGCCATGAGAAAGAATGTAATAACAATTCAAACTGACTCCCAGAGCAAAACAAAAAATTTTTCAACTACTGTAATGTTAAGTGTAAGAGACACTGCATTGTTATTCTGCATTGAGAAAAGTTTGATACTAAGTTTCTAAAATACAAACAGACTCTGTGGAAACAGTTTTTTCTTGGTCATTTAAAAAACCTTTAAATCATCATGGACAGGCTTCGCAAACGAAGATTTAGGAAGGCTCTATCCACATTTGTTACAAGCACGCTGGTGGCTAATGAGGCCAATATGAGATAGACATATCCAATTGCAAAAGGCACAGCAGAAAGACTCCTTAGGTTGTATATTCCGCAAGGCTCGATTGTTTCTGCATTATCTTTTCTCCTCAAGAGTGATCCTGTGTGCGTTCTCAAAGGAAACAGCAGCGTTATAGATGGTGTGTCTCCAGACCTCCCGATTGGAGGCCAGAGTAGACCAGTTATGATGATCAATATGGTGGAGGCTGAGATGCTGTTTCAGGGAGTCCTTGTATCTTTTCCTTGGGGCTCCTCTCTTGCGGCAGCCGGTGGCAAGTTCACCATAAAGCAGGATCTTAGGGAGGCGGTCGTCCTTCATCCTTGAGACATGCCCTGCCCAACGCAGCTGTGTTCTCAGCAACATGGCTGAGAATACTTGTGACTGCTGCTTGTTCTAGAACAGATGTACTAGTCACATAATCTGACCAGTGGATGTTTAGGATTGTACGGAGACAGCATTGATGGAAGCGTTCTAGGAGATGCAGGTGGTGGCGGTAGATGACCCATGATTCGGAACCATATAAGAGAGTAGACAGCACTATGGCTCTGTAAACACTGATCTTGGCACTTTTCTTCAAGTGTTTATTACGCCATACTCTTTTATGGAGTTTTCCAAAAGCACTATATGCCTTTGCTAACCTGTTGTCTATCTCCCCGTCAATCTTACCGTCTGAGGAGATGAGACTACCTAGGTAATTAAACTGCTGGACTGATTTGAGTTCTGATTTGCCAATGGTGATATGGGGATGATGGAAGACTTCCTGAGGTGCGGGTTGATAGAGAACTTCAGTCTTCTTTAAACTGACTTCCAGCCCAAAGAGCTCAGCAGTGTCTGCAAAGCAGGATGTCAAACACTGCAGAGCTGCTTCTGTGTGGGCAACAAGGGCGGCATCATCAGCATAGAGCAGCTCCCGGACAAGATGGTTTAAGGTCTTAGTGTGGGCCTTCAGTCGCCTTACGTTGAATAGGCTTCCGTCAGTATGGTATCGAATGTAGATACCGTCCTGATCATCGAGGTCTGCAGTGGCCCTTTGGAGCATCATGCTGAAAAAGACTGTGAATAGGGTCGGTGCAAGAACATACCCTTGTTTCACACCATTTGTTATTAGAAAGGGCTCAGAAAGTGCATTGCCATATCTGACTTGGCCGTGCTGATCCTCATGGAGTGAGATGATCATTTTAAGGAACTTGGGGGGACAACCTAAATGTTCCAAAATCTGCCATAGATCTTTTCTGCTCACGACAATGTGGAAACTTCAATTTGCAAGACAAAAATTACTTTTAATTCTTCAGGAAATACTGCATTAAAATCAAGTACTGTATTCTTCATTCTGCTCCAATAAATATATAACCTAATATATAACCTCCTTGTCTCAGTTCCTTCACCTATAAAAGGAAACTACAGCGCTTATCTCAGCTGTGTTATTCATGAGTACTTCTTTTTGCAAGGTGCTACCGAGACATAAAATAGTAGTATTTGCTTACCTACAGTTACTGCAGCTACAACTGGAGACACAATTACAGATAAGGTTACACCACCTGCTATAGCCAAGTTTCGCTTGTGCTTTGAGATGTCTTTGCCTTCGTATCGATTGTGAATCTTGGAAGGAGAAAAGAAAGGGTTTTTAGAGTATTATGATACATTGCTGCAAGAATGGAAGAATTGACATCATTTGGAATTTGTACTCTTCTAGAGAGATCACATTCTATGTCATGATTTCTCATCTCAAAGAAAATAAAATTTATACATATCTTAATTTTAGGCAACTACTTAGAAGTCCTCCCATCCAGGAACTAAGCATTTACTTTCAGCCTCAAGTTTGAAGAGCTAAATCATTGAACAGCTTTGTTTGTTCAATCATTACTCCAGCTTACATGGCTGGGAAAAGCAGACAAACTTTAAGGATAAACAAATTGACACATCTGATCAAACTGACACTTCTTATTCCCAGTCATTTTCCCCTGAACAAGAGTGAAACTTTCACAGACTACTAGATCTATGGAAACAGGTTGACATAACAGCATCACGAGACAGCCTTCACCAAACATAACATGGAAGGAGGGGAGAGCAAGAACTCCGTTGCTCCAGCTGTTGAGACAGGAAATGTTTTTGCAAACCTGAGCCTTAGCTGTGCTACTGTTTACTGAGGAATCTGCAAACCAAACCTCTTACTGACGGTTCAAGTCTGCAATAACTCTGAAATGTGACTGCCTCAAACTTATCTGCCACAAATCCCACATGAACCTGAAAGGCCTTCAAAGATCACTGTTTCGCAGAGATTTCCCACTTTTTGTGCATTTCATTTACTCTCTCTGGGAATATGGTCTCGCAGGGATATGGACTTTATTTGTTGTAGTTCTCAGTTAAGATATAATTACAAAGGAACAACACTAGTAAGATCTTAATGGCTGTCATAAGACTAAGCTAATCCTCACTCCATCCAAGGAAGAACACAAAAGGCAGTACCGAGAAGATAACGACAAAAAATGAGCTGGATGTTGTACTTTCTAAATTACCATATTACTGAATGTTGTGTTTTCTAAAATATAATCTCAATTAGAGATTTGGTAGGGTAGTTTTCTTTGGAATAAACAAAGTATTTGTTCAGGCAAGACAGACCAGGAAGGGCAGAGAAGGCAGTGTGCTTCGTGCAAAGAGAACACATTTACTTGCTCCGAGGTATATGATACAGAGAGAGAAACACAGAGCGAGGGAGCACTTGAATATGGAACATGTCTGTGGATTAAAATGGAAAAACTGAACATAAACATTCTCTCACAGCATGAGTGTGTAAGAATTACAAACCCAGGAAAATCAAGTTTCACAGGGCTCTGAGCAATTGCCAGGATCATCTCAGGTGCTGAATTTTACTGTTATAGACAATTTTAACTCCCAAAACAGAAGGTATACATAAAACAAACAGAGATATCCTTAAAGGCTACTGGATTCCTTAAACATAAAATTACAAAAACCAACATAAAGGAATGGAAGGAAGAGGTTACAGAGAAGAAACTGATTGAAAACATCAAGACAGAAGGTTACACTGGTAGAAATTACTATGAAATAATAATCTTCTGAATATTGAGTAAATAATAAAGAGAAACCAAGTAAAAATACTAGACCAGAAGAGAGATTTCAATAAACACAGAAAACTGCTAGGTTACAAGACTTATATGTATAATAATGGAGCACTAGCACTTCCTGAAGGTAACTCTATCAAAGCACAAGCACAAATTCTTCCAATGAAGCAGACAGACAGTGTTGTAAAAGAACAATGAAGCTTCCTTTACTAAAGCAGCAGCAGCATTAAGAAAACAGAAAGTGGGTCAGATTACTATGAATGGGTATAAAGGAACCACACGAAGGTGTCAGGCCAAAATCAGAAAGGTTAAAATAGAGAAGACAAAAAGCAAGGGACACCAAAGTCAAGAAGAAATTATTCTACAAGTACAGTGCTAGTAAGAGGAAGACTGAATTGGATCAATTTGCTGTTTAACAAAAAGGAAAGACAGCCAGCAGATGAAACTGGAGACATGTTCCTATTTTTTTTTTTCCCTTCAGTTGTCACTGAAGATCAATTGTAAGCCAGATGACTGGTGACAAAGAAGTAAGATCTGTACAAATGCAGCAGGTTAGAGCACACTTACATGAGCTGATCTGAAAAATATCTCAACAGGCCCAATTTCAGTGTCACTAATAGTAATTTTTGAAAACTATTATTCGTAGAGGATGTCTGAAAAAAAAATTCTAGGAAAACTGGAAAAAGTTAAATGGCAATGGTAATCTCAAAAAGGTGTAAAACAAGAAGCTGAGGAATTAAAGACCAGTGAACTGAACTTTCATTTTCTGAAAGCTGGGAACTCGTAGACGTCAAAACAAAGACAGAAAATAAAGAGGTTGCACTGATTTTTTTCAAGTAGAATAATTTTCTTCTGTGACAAGGCAACTTGGCCTTGACGATGGGGAGAAACAGATGTCATGCACTGACTAACGAAATTCTTACATTCTTGTATGACACTCAACCAGGTTATAATAGTCCAGACTGAAAAAACGGACAAGAGATAGCTAGTATAAGCTTCATGTGAAACTACAGAAAACATGTGAATAGTCATTAGGTTCTTTTACTACACAAATTGAAATTCCTAACTCCATACTTTTTCCAAGAGATATGCCCTGGATCCAAGAGTATTGCACATTTTCATTAACCTATAAGATGGAAGGAGAAGAATGTGTGTGTGTTGAAATTCAGGCCAATACAATCTGGCAAGGTTGCAAGAATGCCATGAATTCATGCCAGTCCTGAGAAGTTGAAAAAATGGCCTGAAATTACTAAGATGCAGCCGAATGGTAATGAATTCAAGACTACCTTTAGGAAGAGGTCAGTTGCCTAAATTAGCAGTATGGTGGGAAAGGGCATGTGTTTTACAGTACACAAAATGAAAATAGCATGTTGTTGAAAAAGAGATAATCATTAGTTCATGTCACAGGATCACCCTTTCATTTAACTCCATAGTAATGCTTCGTCTTCACTGCTGTATTCCAACTAGACAAAAGCAAAGGTGGGTTGTACAACTACAAGGAAATACAGAAGCGGAGAATCAGATACTTAAACCAGTGTGTTTTCTTGACAGTTTGTCAAGAAAAACTGGAAGTGCTAGGTTTGTTCAGAGAGAGAAATGAAAGTGGACTTATAACATCATTAAATATGTAATGGCATATTGCAAAGCAAAAGGATTTTTTACATCAGCTGAAGATAGGGCAGTAAGAATATAATGTAAATTCTCTTCCTACACTAATGTTAAAAAGGCAAAATAAATTTTACTAAGAAAATTAAGCTTGGAGGGACTGTGGGATCTCCATCATCAGCCGTTTTGAAGAAAAATGTGAACATGTGACAGGGGTCATGGAAAAATGACCCTCATTAAGCGGTGAGGTACAACAGAAATTCTCATGAGGCTGCCCTCACAGACTAATGCTCTGAGACTTTACCATTACTACATGAAAGGTGCTCAGCAATAGGGATCTATCCCAAAATCTAATGAGAAAAGCTCATCAAGCAAAAGTAATTTGGAACAGGTAACTGCTGCCTTCTTCCTCTTCTCACCTACAAGGTTCCAATGACTCTATGGGACTAGGCCATAACACAATGAAAGGGTCAAAAGACAACTGTGGCAGAAGATAGGAGTACTTACTTGAAATAAAAAGATGAAAAATACAGTGAAAAAGCTGCATCCCTAAACCTTTTGTCTAGCAGCCTTTCCGCCCCAATAAATGCAGAATCATGAGTCTTGCCAGTCACTGTGAAAATCCATGCTGATAAAAGCAGAAAAACACATCTTCCAAGCCATCATTTCAAAAAGCCCATTTTCAAAAGATCTGGATAACTTACTACTTTATCCTGAGTTACTTACAGGAGTTTGTTATTTACTTAACAGTAAAAGCTATTATATTTTTAAGAGGAAATCTATCAACTGACTTCTGAATAACATGATCATTTCTAGCTGATTCCCATAATCAGTATAATGAAGACATATTCTTGTCTAGCCCTGAAGACTATTCCACATGGTGGACTGGCCCAAGGCAATTAATAAGCTGCTGAGTACAAATGCTTAAATATGTGCATGCACAAACCTAAACTACCTTAACTATAAATTCTGGTAACTATCTGCTTTTAAGAAAAATAAGAAGGATTTTCTTTTTGCCTTCCTTGTCCTCTAAATATTATTTAATTCTAAGGGACGCTAGGGAAACCAGAGATCAAAACCAGAGCAACTTTGAAAAAGCATGCAGCAACTTTGATAGCAAGACACAGAAACTGGAAATTGTTCAGTGTTCTGCTCTGCTTGTTTTAAGAGAAACTAGATTTTTAAAAACACTGCTTTTCCTTCCTGTACAATTGACACAAATATCTTGAACATAGTATTACCCAAGTCAAACAATGCAGAAGATAAACCCTGAAGGAGTTGTAGCATGTTTTACCTTACGTCCCACATACACAGGAATTCCAATAATCATAGCAGGAATAGCAATGCCAGCTATTAAGGCAATTCCTACAGGAGCTCCAACAAGTGTCCCTAGCTGCCACAGTATTTTCTTCTTACGGCTCCATGGTTTCTTCCCCCAAAATGTGCAACCTGATGGACTAATAGAAAGAAGAAAACTGTAAAGAAATTGTAAATAAATATAGCTACACAATACTGAACAGTTACAAACATTACCTTAGTTATAAAATTACTGTCCTTAGGTTAAAGTTACAGATAGTACAGATATCAAATCATCAGTTATAAATTCTTCAGATTTTTTTTTTGCCTTGACAGCATATTTTTCAATGTGAAGAGAAGCATATTGCATGTTACTACACACCAATCTGTGGTTCAAAGGTAACTTATACAATCAAGAGTTTTTGTAATGCTTACTATGAAGACAGAATTAAGTATCAGTATTGACATCAGCAAAAACAGTGGGTGTGTTCATCTAAAACACTTCATTTGTACTAAGAAGTCGTTGCATCCATAAAACTTAGAAAATATTTTAAAATGAAAAATAACAAAGCACTAATTTAAATACATTTATTGAAATCTAACTTAATCCTCTGATATGGGTACTTCAACTGTGATTCTCTACTCCGAGAAGAATAAACCCAGACTTATACCACTCGGGAATCTACTGCTATGTAGTTTAGAAAACACATTACCAACCGCATAGATTTTTTTTCTTAAATGTACCTTAAATAATGTAAATCTGAGATCTCTTTCATACATAGCCAACAGAATTCACAGCCACAGACAGCACAAGTCATATGATTGCAGCTTCCATCATTCATTTTTATTATATAAGCAGCACAGCGTGGGCATGGCTTTATGTCATCAGCTGTTTAAAAATGAATATTAAGATCATATCAGTTCTTTAGACAGGCAGATTTAATCAAAATACAGACATACATTTGGGAAAACCAACTGAACCATTATCTGAAAAACTGAAGAAGCTTTCTGTAAGGTTGCTTTCCAAATCTTGATTTGTCAATTACTCGATATCTATTAGTTTTTGCAAACCTTGGACTGAGTAAAACTAATGAAAACATGATGTATTAGACAACATTCAAGTAACTGAATAGTTAATGCATACTCTCTGTTCAAGCATTTACTAAGCTTAATGAAATATATATTAGACTCAGACATTAAATATGTATGTTAACACAGGACTGATAATACGGTCTCTAAATATAATCTTCTTTTACATTTCATGCTGTTATGAATCTTATACTTGAATATTCAGTCTCCACACTGTTAACTTATCTTAAATCCATCTCCCCATTCACATTCAATATACTTCTTTGGTATCACCAACCTCCTCTTGAGTCCTTTTCACAGCCCTACTTTATATGTACTTACTCCCTAGAAAAACACAGTGTAGCAAGAAGAAAACTCTGGAGGCTCTTCCCATTCCCAAGTCAAACATGGAAAAATGAGGTTCAGTGACTAGCTCTGACAAACATGGAGTCATTGAGCAACAGTGAAATACTTGTATACTGACACACCACAGTTGTGATCTTCACTCCTTTACATTACTGGTTAGCATCTGCCCTTTGGGACAAGCTGTTTATTCAGAGCAGCTGAAATACCTTGCAGCTCCTAGAGCAGAACTCCAAGTTTACTGCCTCTGTGCTACTAGGTAGGACAAAGGGAAAGGAGAGCTTATACTTGACAAAGAATTCCCAAAAAGGTGCAGAACCAGCAGAAAAAAGCAGCTCTACCAACTCCAGCGCACAAGGACAGTGAGCAGCTGAAAGGACGCACTAGCTATTCCCACATGGGAACAGATGCACAACCTACAGGTCAGTAACTAAACCGAGCAAGTTCTTCAGCACAGGAATGGCAGATCTACCGCTATTCAGGCTGGGAGGGATTGAAAGGGGAAGGAAAGGAGCTGCTCTGCTAATTTATTTAGTTTATTTTAAAATTTGTTTGCAAACTAGAGCAAGATGCCAATTTTTAAGGCAAGATGGGATGCCTTGTTCAAATAAGCCAGCACAAACAAATGTTTAGGGTTGGATTGGAGAACAACAGCTCTAACTGCAAGGCGCAAAAGAGACTCTTTATCCAAATATCTACCTTGTTTGTTCAGGCAGACACAAAAGCTGCCAATTAAATCAGAGTTTGGTGTAATTCAGAGTCAGTTCTTATTAACAGCAACTTGGACTTTTGATGTGCAAAATACTACACTCAACAGTTTATCCTCTTTTTTGGGGAATTACAAACAAGCTCAGCTTTAAGAGCTGGAATTGTTTGCTTTCTGGTAGACAAGACAGATGAGCATATCCTAGAAAACCAGAAGTTAGTACTAACAAAGATGTCAAACATCAGAGTTGGCATCAGAATAATAGTCTATTTTGAAAGCAGAAAAATCAGTGGATTTGAGTTTTATTTTTAATAGCTTTTATTATTAGCAGCCCTGGAAGCTTCACCTACAGTGGAGAAAACAAGTGTACCCAGTGTGTAAGTGATACAACTAAAAAAGTCAACATGCTAAACATGTGGGGTGTCTTGCAGCAAGTTAATTTGATTTCACATTTTTTAATTACAAAGTAAGAATTTAAAATTATGACAAGCTTCTAAGACTGAACTCAGATGTTCTGGTCACAGAGGACTTAAAATTATAACATCTAAAATTTTATTTCAAATTTAGAATTGTTATTTTATGTTTCTGAAAGACAAAGCATCTAGTATCTACCAGGCCATTATTCCATTCTTTCCTTATAATGTACAAAAGAGATGTTTTGCAGACACAGTACCCTAATCATAAATACCTGCTGCTCCAGATTCCTGGCTGTAACTAATAGATGAAGAACGAATTGTTCTCAGGCGCAGACTCTGAGCTCTCTCCTGGCGAGCAGCATCGCAGGTCTGGTTGGGATGCCAAATTTGCTTACAGTGGTAGCAAAACTCAGTTCCACAGCCTTCTCGTCCACACGTAAGCTTGGGACAGCTGGCACATCCAAAAGCGATCACAGCATATCTTGAACAATCAAGAGGGGCAAAAGAGAATTTTGTTAATAAAACCAGTTCTAACTATAGACCAAAGCTGATGAGACAGCTGTCAGAGCAGCTGAAGCAGGTACAAAGGCACTGGACATCAGGAGTTGACATTAGGTGGGCCAGCACGGGTTCCTTATCATCTCTTTTCACAATTCTATTGTCATTGCATTAGATTAAAATTGAACAGAAATACTATAATCACTGCAACACTCATTCACCTTAACTCCACGCAGTACTGAAATATACTGTATTTAAGGTTGAATGCAATACTGTAAGGTTTACAATCACAAAGAAACCACAGATTAGAAGAGCAGGACAATAAACCTCCAAAAATGCGTTTTTAAAAATACATTTCAAACAGTAAATGCAAAAATTGGTAAGAGTTCAGTGCTTCATTGCAACCTTTACTCTGATAATATTACAGAGCAAAAAGCTCCAAAAATGTTGAGAGTTACAAAACTGTGTTACACTACTTCATAATCAGGCACTACATGAACAATTCTACACAATGAGTGTTGTAGCAACAAATTAATTTCTTCATCAGATCTGCATTTCAAAGTTCAAATGACAAAAACACAATATGTATTATCGTTCATATAAACAGTACATACAAACATATATACACGTGTCTTCATTCCTACCCATTGCAATTTTTTTCAATTATTTTATGCATTAGTAGTATATATTTTAAGGAAAGCTAAGTCCACTGGTATGAAAACAGATGCATAGCTTTATTAACCTGAACAGCACCCCAGAATAGACTTCAAAAGATTTATAAATGCTGCAGGAGTTAAACTTCTGTTTTTATTTTAAAAGACTAAATTGTTTACTTTTGCCCTTGTCCATTTTACAGCAGTTGCATAAATTCAAAATATTCTTTATCAGTAATGATACTTGAAAAATTATTCCCACTCACATGCCTATTTGAAAATTTAGATATTTTTATTTTAGAGTAGCTAGTTCTGAAGCTCTGTAACATTAATGTAAATCTTATCCCTTTCATTATTGTTTTAAACCAGCATGTTTGAGGTTCCTCCCAAGAAGTTCTGCAAAAAAATAGGAGCTTTCAACCTTTCACTTACAGATGATGAAGTTACAAGTGAGATACATGCTTGTCTGTTTTCAAATATTTCTTACTTTCCAAGTAGAAATTTTGATAATTGCTAGACTCTTCTATATTGCTGCCAAGTTAATCAGCTCAATTTTTCCCACTGTCTGCAAACTGAAGACATAATTGCTCTGCATGTACACAGAGAGATTCTGATCCAAATGCTTCAACATATACAGGGATACATTCAAGGCTTGCTAACATTATATCAAAAAACCCTGTAATCTGTAAGTGTAATTTATATCCTGCCTCCTTCCTATTGCTAATTAAGCATGGGCACATCCCTGAATGCACTCCCCATTTGGGAGTGATGTATTGGCACACCTTTGGAAAGTAACTTTTTAGACCAGAGCAAAATCTCCGTTCAAACTGTACAAGACTCCAAGTTTAATTTCAACATTTTGCATTCATTTTACAGGAGATGTAAAAGCCAGAAGTTCTTGTTAGGCTGAGAGAAGGGTAAACCAACCAAATTCAAAGTAATAACCTGTAAAACAAAAACCAGAGGCAAAGAAAAATTAGTTGAAGAAAGGCTGCATATTAAGAAGAGGGACGAAGAATTTGTACCCTTTTGCCTGATTGCTTTTTGCTTGATAAAGATTAGAAAAGCTAAGAACTGCTGCTCTCTTCTAATAATGCGAGCAACACAATCACAGAGCAAAACCATTAAATAATTCAAACAGAAGACAGAACACATTTGCAATACTAATTCAATAAGGCTTGTTAAAATGACACTGGAAAACTGATACAAAAAACAGAATATAAAAAAATTAGTCTGGGAAACAGTTCAGGCAGTTTCCTTATCTGTGCTCCTTCCCCAGAGAAGGATCACCTATGTGACAGTGTCCCTTATCAAGCCCCTGCAGGTAGGTTACAGCCAGTCCAGACTTTCACAGTGTTTCAGGTAACAACAACGATCAGGATGCACTTGAGCTCACAACAAAAGCTGAGGATGAAATAGCCCAGGGTCAGAAAGTCTGTGGTGCCAGTGGGATGAACCATTCTGGCATTGGAATGGTGTAGTCCCAGAGACATCACAGTTCCCAGACAACTCATCCAGGGTATAACTACTGCAACAAAGGTTCTCCTCCAAACTAATGCACAGTTCTCTTGTTGGGAAGATAAGTTCTCCACAGGGACAGAATTAATAGGAATACACTTAATACTGCAGTTAACTTTGTTTTGAGATCTTTTTGGTTCAAATTTTGCAATGTCTATGATTTGTTTTTTACCCCAAACAGAGTGAAAGACAGTTGAAAAAGTTTCATTCATTGTTTTTTTCCTGAGAGCACAGGGGTCCATGATGTAAAAAACCCAACATTATAACAGTCTGGTCTAGCTCCCCTCTTCCTCTTGTTTATTTTCTCTCTGGGATCAAAGTTTTTATATTATTTGTTCTGTATCTGGTCTGAATTTTTGTCCTCTCGTGATGCCCAAACCCTGAAACAATATTACATGGGATGTTTTATCAATGCTGGGAAGAGCTGAAGCATTGTTGTGCACCATCCATTTTTTACCTATTTGTGCAGTAAATTTTTCCTACCAAAATGCTCCACTTAACACCAGTTTCCGATTTATTACACTACTTATTTCTAATCTTAAAGTCAATTCCAGGAAATAATGCTACCCTCTGAAGTTACTGCACCTCTTCTACTTTGGAATGAATTGCAAATTTAGTAAATGCATTCTATCTAGCTCCCTCATGAAATATTTGATCCATGCTAAAATCACGTTAGCTACCATCACAACTCTAATGCATTCTGCCAGTACATTTCAAAAACTGTTCCTTCCTCCATCCTCCTTCTATGCTCCACCACAACATTAAATCCATGTTACTACTTTCTATACCACTCCCACTCCTCCTTCCCACCTCCCTGTGTGTACTTTCTCCCAGCTAGGCACACACTTACTTGCCACACAGTGCTATGGTGGCTGCCAGGAGGCCAAATTTAAAACCATAACTGTAGGATTCATAAGCAGGTATTACTCTTGCTGAAGGCATTATCGGTGGTCTTTCTTTCGCTCAACCAGTATACTTTTTTTCCCCAAAAACTTCTTAGATTAATTTATGCTGAATGTTCAACCCCTGCTGCCCAACATATCTGAGAGTTCTAAACGTTTCAAAACAAGCAGAAGGATGGGAAAAAGAAAAAACATGACTGCATGAGCTCCTGTTCCTTTAGGATGACAACCATAAACAATGATCCTCCTGAGAAGTACCCCCATAACCAACTTCATCCCATTTTAAACTAGTAATAAGAACTCAGTGAGGAGGTACTATCTGTGCATTAAAAGCAGAACTCATTTATCACTGTGAAGCATTTCCGTACCACTTGAAGTCTGTCATGAAAAGTCATGTTAGCAAAAGTACAACATAAGGTTGCCTGTACAGTACTAGTTTGTTCCCTTTACACATAGACATTGGTAGAGTTTATCTGGCTGGCAACATACTGTGTTTTGCACAGGATTCCACTCCCAGAGTAAGGAGCATACAGCAGGCAGTTCTGGAGCAATGATTTAAATATTTGCTGTACACTAATACATTGCTGTGGTCTCACACAATTGCATGGAACTTTAACTGCACTCTGAAAACCCACTTTTTATTTTTGTAATGGTGTTACCCATAGCAATTATCACCGTTTCTGACCATTGAAAGATACTTAAAAGTTTTTTCTAAAAACAGATAAGAAAATTGAAGCACAAAAAACAGGCCAAGTGAAAAGTCTCCATTCAACAAACCTGCCTTAGTCTACTTAATTAAGTACTAAGAAAGTATCTGAACCATGAAACACGGTTTAATAGAAAATGGTTTAAAAGTTTTTAAATACTTCCCCTTACCTCAAGTAACAACGACTTATCTAGAACTCAAAAACTTAGGGAAACTCGAGCAAAGCATACTTCTGCCTATCATATAACACATTCTAGTAGTTTTCTTTTGCAGTGTCTAAATATTAAGAGCAAGCTGTACATTGCTCACATTTTTTTTCCTTCTCTCCTTAAACTATACCTGAGCAATGCCATCCACTTTGGATCAGATACGAAACTATGACCTTTCCAGTCCCTGCTTTTGACTCAAAAATTCTGTTTCATCTAAAGTATGAAAGCAAAACTGTACTTGAAATAAGTCCTAAACATTAGGCACCTGAATATTAATATTGGAATATTTAATCTACCTAACAGTCAGTCCTATTCTGCTTCTTCTCTTCCAAGATTTGTCCATTTCCTCATTCTACTTATTGCTCACCTGTGAGGCTTTGAAACACAGGTGTCATCCTCTGAGTATTGAGTACTGCACATCCAGATTGCAGTCATGGCTATAACCTTTAAGCAGTATGATAATGCAAACAGTCTCTAAAAAAGCAGCTTGCTGAAGAATGGCATTATGAGACACCAGCAGCAGAAAAGCGTGATGAGCTGCTCAGTAGTATTCAGCCTACTCATGTCAGAATTCAGCATGGTTTCAGAACTGTTTAAGCACTAAAGCAATGTTAAAACATTACGTTCCTCAGATAATAAGCAGGAACAAGCTGATTATCTTACATCAGAATCCTGCTGACAGGCAACAAGTGCTGTCTCAACAGCACTTCAAGATGGAAGATATCTCTAGCAGGAGAGGCCTTTTAATTCAAAGAAAAGCTTAAATCATGTTTCACAGTTAAAAAGCCAAAACACACACTGTGCTTTAACAAATAAACTAAGTTAAAAGCAGTCACAAAATCTTCAATTCTCTTTAGTTTCAGCTTTCCACCACTGCCTTGACAGTGCAACACTTTTTTTTTTTTTTGCCTGACGTAGATACATGGCAACCATTTAGCAATAAAAGTTTCTTGACACTGCTGAAATTCCCTTGGTGCAGAAAATAAGAAAAACCTACTTGAGAAAGGGTTTTATTTTGGAAGGTGGGTTGTGGCTTGGATTTTCATTTATTTTGATTTCTTGTATTTTAATTTTTTTTTAGAGAGAATTCTGCCTGATACCTACTTGTAAAACACAAAACAATATGCTAAAGTAAAGTAAGTAACTTTTCAAAAGCATAACGCTATGAAAATGACATATTTAGGCTGTCACTTTTTCGCAGATATGGGAAACATACATACCCACAGTCTGGAGCTGGGCACCACCTACAGTCAGGATCCGCAACCAGCCACCGCCTCAGCATAAACTCTTCATATTTTTCCATCAAGATGTCATCATTTAATATCAAACGGATATCATGAGGATTAAATCGTTCTGAGCATTCTGGACAGCTAATATTAACTCTGCTCTCAGAGATTTCTATCCGGAGATACTGACGCAAGCAATCCACACAAGATCTATGGTGACAAGTCATTATCTCCGGGAACCTGTCCTTGGAGTGCCGCAAAAGGCACAAGGGGCATTCCATGAAGTCTCCACTTGGTTTGCTGCTAGAGGTTGTTCCATTATCAGAAGAGGTACATGTGGAAAAAACAGAGTTCTTGTCTGTACACATTTCTGAATGAATACTTTCGATACTTGCAATTCCATCAACACCTCCATTTAAATCCCTAGACTTGCGTTTCGTGTCTTTTTTTCTCCGAAAAAGTGAGCCCAATGAAATTCTTCTTTTCTTTGGTGCCTTTTTAACTGATGGCAAGCTCACAGAGGAAGCAGAAGACTGGAGGTCCCGATCAGAGCCCATTTGCTGATGTAAACTCATGTCTAGGCCACTCATCAGAAAAGAGTTAAATTTCATACACAATCCTAATCATTTTTAAGGATCAAACAGAGTCAGAGGATACAGGCATATTATTATGTAATCCAGTTTGAGAGCCTTCATGTAGAAAATTCACATGTATCTGCTTCCAGCAAATTCTTTAGAGGAATTTCCTATATAAGGAGGAAAGAAGAAAAAAAGCGAAAATTAGAATCACAACCATCACCTTTGGTTCTGAAAGGTTACAGCTCTCTAATGACATGTTATTCCTATTACTACCATCTTCTCTTACCATCTGATCCAATACCTCTTTCTGTCAGCCTTTTCTATCTTTCACATCCTTCTTATCCTAACAAGCCTGACATTTCCCTGTGGTCAAGGACTATCTTTGTTACACTTAATCAGTGCCGAGAACAGCATCTTCACTCCCCTACTCTCTTAAGGGGGGACAAAAATAGGGAGTATGTGTGTGCATGTGTAGAAATTACCAAAACCCAAGGCGACAACAAAATAAATGTACAAGTTCCTCTAGAAAGCTTAGTAACAGGTTTCAGCATTGGAAACCTTTCTGTTTTCTCTACCCTACATTTTCCACACATGTGATAAGGTCAACTAAGAATCCAGTATAGTTAATTAAAAGAAAGATTTTTGTGTATGTTTTGAATCCACTTAGAGTGACAGCAGAAATTAAATCACTGTAGCTAAACAACTCAAGATATTCTCAAAATCTAAGGGTTCTCAAAGAAATATGCATATTTATAACAGAAGGCATGTGAATATTTCAGTGAGCAGAGCTGCAGAGTGAGTGACAGCCAACATTGCCTTGCCTTTCAACTTCTACATAATCAAGCAAAGAGTACAGTTAAGGCGACAACATCTGAATCTTTTATCAGATTGGTTTTTGTTAAAAAAAAAAAAAAGGTCCCAAAACCAGACTCCCATCACATATCAAGCTTCAATTATTGCCTATGTACAAGATGACAGCAAGGATTTCCTTCTGTTCCCTGCTGCTTAACTCACTGGCTCCAAGAGAATAGAAAAAGAAAGGTGTTTTCCTATTTTCCTCTGACAGAGGAGACTGCTACAAGAAGTGGCAAATCACCTCCAACCAAACCCATTAACTTCTCCCCAAACATGCAAACATTCCCACTTCTTGGAAGCTTGATTGTACAAAATGAATTTTTCTAACTCTCGGTGTATTGCTTCTGCAACAGAAAAATGAGAAGGCATTTCTTACGTGACACCAGTGCTGCAGACTCGAGTCCAACTATTGCTCGCACCATTTCTTTCCTCAGAGTTTCTCAACTTAACTCCCAGAAAGGCATGCACTGGGTTTCTATGACTTTATCAAAGGATAAAATCAGAAACCAGATATGGAAAATAAGTCCAAAGGTAGAAGTAGAGGAATGTAGAGATGAATGTCTCTATTTACCAAAGCCAGGCAGTCTGCACACCAGTGAGAGACCGGCACAAAAACAACTGTATGCTGTGTGTGTGTCTCCGGGAGGGATCACTGAGCTGCCTGGTTCAAGACTAGGAAGTTTCAGAGGATGATGTTTTCAGCAGCGGAAACAGGAATCCCTCTCCAAAGAGGAAACACAGAAATAGCTCACGGCCTGTCCATCCCACCAGAGCAATGTGTGTAGCAAACCCATTGCTCAAACCCATTGCTCGACCCTCTTCAGACCACCACAGCAAGGTGTTGAGTATGTCCGAGCAGGTAGCCAAGACAACACTACTCAGTTTATACTACCACCTAGTATAGTAGCACCCCACAAGAATACTGTCTGCTTCAAGTGTGAAAGTTAAAAAAGAGGAAAAAAACCAAAAACATTCACCATAAAAAAAAAAAACCACCAAACCCCCCCACACACCTCCTGGTTTTGATAAAATGAGGTCTTGAGGCCCTTGAGTTTTTGGAAAGAAAAAAAGCCCACTATATTCTATTTTTCAAATGCTGAATTATTACTGCTTTTTTTCCTTCTTTTTTTTTAAATAAAGGAAAATCTTACCACTGAACATATTAAAAAAAATAATCTTAGTTTACTCCCAAGGTCGAAAATAAAGCATATTTCAAGAACATAACATACTCTTCCTTCCCTCCTAAGGGAACATTTTTATACTAAAAATCTAGCCAAAAGGAATCTTGGATGCTTTACCTGCTTCTGTTCCCAAAACAAATTTAATAATTTTACAGCCGCTGTTTCTCATTACATGAACTAAAACATTCCTTTATGTAAAAAAAAAAAAAAAAAAAAAAAAAGAAAAAAAAGAAAAAGAAAGAAACTGGAAAAGCCTGCTCCACAATGATTACAGAAGGAGATATCCTTCTCTCCAGCATCTTGGCATGATGTTGTATCACAGATACATGCAATTGGGAAACGGTGTCTGAAATATGCTATAGATACAGCCCATGGCTGACAATGAATTAAGTTTATATTTTTAGAAGTGTAAGGATAACCTTAAAAGCATTATTATAATTGGATTATAAAAGCTTATAAATGCTTAAAAGCATAATTGTAACATTGGTATGTTCACACAGATACTACCAGGTCAGTGGAAAGTGCCATCCTCCCTAAACCAGGAGAGTCCATGAATGAAATGAACAGCAATCAAAGCACTCATTTCAGGCAAGAAGTTTTTTTTGTTGTTTTTTTAAGAAAAAAGTAAAATAGAAAGAAGTAGGAAGTAAACACAGTAACATAGCCAAGTCTATGACTACAAGCCATCCCCTCCTCCCTTTCTCTGGAGAGGAAAGAATGTGTATTACAGCATTTTTGCCAGTTCTAACAGATGTACAAAATCAAGAAATAGCAGCTCTGGTGAAGAACTGGTTGTACTTTTTTTTTTTTTTAAATAAACAAAGATTCTCCCATGCTGTAAAGAAAGAGACCAGTATGTCCTATAGTTCTTTGAGCAAGGGGATCTGATAAGCAGTCTCTCAGAAACAGAAGATTGCTCTTCTAAGGAAAATAGTTAAACCTTTGAGGGGATCTTTGAATGGAAAAGCTGCCAGTTATTTCAGACCATCATCAATTATGGTCTCTAGATTTAAATGCAGAAAGCTAGTTTTAAAAGCCATGCTTTTCCTTATATAGTAATTCTGGATTGACATTTTAGTGACGTTCAAAGATGACTCTGCTGAAGTGAAAAGATTCAGCAGATGATTTATTACAGGAAAAAACGAAGACAAATGTTACAATGCTAATAATGATCAGAGTTGTACAAAATCATAAAAGCTTTACTAGCGCAATCTGGAGCACCGGCCAGTTCTCATGTTGCCCAACCCAACACAGCATCTGCATGTTTTTGCTGACAAAAAGAAGGAAAAGAAATATTTGATTCTGTACAGCCAGAGAACACAATGCCCGTATTATTCCAGTAACAATGAGTCCACATGAAGTAGATACACTGTGTACAAAATGAAGCTCTGAAATCCAACTACTTGAAATGAGCCAAAGACACACAAGTTATGGTAGTAACAAACAATCTGATTTTCAGGCAAAATTTCAGGCAAAACTGCAAGTTTTGCACTACTCTCACTGACCAGGATAAATTCTGTCAACACACAGAAGAAATTAATATGGGCAACAGCAAAGGGACAGAAAAACCACAGAGCGTAAATCCTAAAAATTTAAGTTCACCACTGTTCTCAACATTTCCTCAAAAGCACTTACTGACTACAGAGAAACCATGCTTCTGGCTTCCCGCCATGCCCGAAGCTCTACCACAAATCCAAATTCCAGCCGTGCTTCACATTCTGCTCGTGCCACAGACTACCACAAAACACCAGTTGCCACAGCACAAACACACCTTGTCATTTGAAGATTTCCAAAAGCACAAATGACATTTACAGTTGCAATTCATGTAAAGCTCAGTACTTAACTGCTATCTGTTTCTTCTGCAATCCTGCCTAAGCTGTTTGCTGGGGAAATCTAATGAACAACCAGTTAATTTCCTTCTGTAATTCTTTTCGACCATGTTCCTTTAAGTAAATGTTATTGCTGACCATATATATAGTGAGGGAGGGAAAGGAAATCAGAATAATTTCGCAAAGGGAGAAGTTTTCAACTCAGTTATGACTGGGGTGAAGAGTATCTTCTAGTACAGTTCTCCCATGGCACAATCTTCGCTTGTCTCTTACCAATTTCGAAACATTTTGGAAATGCCCTAAGGGCAGCTGAGGATAACTCTGCTATTTTGCAAGAAAGGAGCAGCAAAGCCCTATTTCTGTAAGCCTGCTGGGGCAGACTAACCCTGTCATGCTCAGAACTGTCCTATAAACACATGAGAGGCACAAGCTCAACATGCTGCCTGCCTGCTCCTCCATTACACATTCAACCTGGTGTACAGGAGCAACAAATCAGGCAGTCACCCATCAGGACAAACAGCTTCATACACGTTTGCAAAACGAAGGCAGGCTTAAACATTTATGTAGAAAAGGAGAAAACCCACAATAAGCATCGATGTAGTTACATCCTCACTAAAACCCTTAAATATTCCCTTGTAATTGGTGCTTAAACAGCAAATTTAGACTTCCCCTGTTCCAAGCAAACCCTCTTTATCTTAGGCATTTACTCCTCCAGTGATTTAACCAAGCACTGACTCTGTTAGCATAGTGAAAGTTATTTCTTGATTAAAACTGACTACTGACAGCTTCCTCTCTGACATCTGTAATTCCCAGCATCTATACTCTGTAGCTGCCTTCTGAGATGCACTGATCCACCTTAAAGAGAGCTGTAACAAAAAATCCTCCGGAGCTTGATTTTCATACACCAGAAAATCACAGATCTGAAATATATTTCTGCCTCCTCCTTCCAATAAGCATCTCCTGTCAGTCACACAAAATTTCTAAGCTATGATGTTCTTAACATAGAGGTACCTCTAAGCATCTAACAGAGGCATCAAATCCAACTTTTCCTTTTCATTTAAACCATGATCTAAGAACTGTAAACACAGTGGAATAAAATATGCAGAAGTTTAAGCTACTAAATGAAATACCAATGCACAGGATTTTGAAACAAAGCAATTAAGAATCTCATTTCAATGGCCATTCTTTAAATGTCAATTCATTCCGCAGCAGTTTTTTTAAAATTGGGGGAAAAAAATCCAAACACTTTTGCCTAAGGATTTTCACTTTACACGTGTCTCAGATTCAATTACACATCTAGCA